ATGGACCAGAACAAGCCAGGCACTCCTGTCTTCCACTGCCTCCCGCAGTTGGGTCAAACTCATGCTGGTAGCTTCGAGAACACTGTCTAACCATCTCGTCCTTTGTCATCCCCTTCTCCTTGTGCCCTCCATCTTTCCCAACATCAGGGTCTTTTCCAGGGAGTCTTCTCTTCTCATGAGGTGGCCAAAGTCTTGGAGTCTCAGCTTCAGGATCTGTCCTTCCAGTGAGCACTCAGGGCTGATTTCCTTAAGAATGGATGCACTTGTTCTTCTTGCAGTCCATGGGACTCTCAAGAGTCTCCTCCAGCACCATAATTCAAAAGCATCAATTCTTCGGCGATCAGCCAACTTTTTACAAACTACTAAAAAGAACAACAAAATGAATTGGACTCCTTGGCAGGTTTCAAATAAACACAAATTTATTATTGTTAATACAATAGACAGATAATTTAAGGATCTTTACAATTTTACAATATGCAGAGAATAACATGTCTTGAAAAATCAGAGAGAGGAGCTGAGGGAAGTCTTGGGGGGGGAGGGTTTTTCTTGGGGAGGGGGGAAATGGGGGGAATGAAGATGATACGTTTTTGATAATTGTTATGTTGAAATTTTTAATAAAAACTATTTTTTTAAAAAGGGGGGGAAAGAACATCTTCTGGCGTTCCTTCGAAAGTCACGCACAGCCCCCCCAAAGTAGGTTGCCAGGATAAATGGACTCAGCTTACATCCGCTCTAGTCATCCTCTGCCCGCCTGCCCCCTTCCAATTCAACTCTTCTCTCTTTCGAAACCAGCCATTGTTTTACTGGCTTTGGAGTGGCGGGGGCAATGCTGGGTGTTGGGCGGGGGTGGATCAGGCCCCCCAGCAAGGGGGCCATTGTTTAGTCCAGGCCTAGCAGGACCTTCCCCTGTGATCTTAGACTGGGTTTTTCTAACACCGCACAGTGTGTGTTTCTTTCCCCTGTGAACTTTGCGGCCTGAAAGGGGGACGTGTTGTTAAAAGGGGGCCTTGTATCAGCTGTGCGCTGTTTGCTTGGGATGGGTGCCCACCCTTCTGGCCAAGCTGCCCGGTGCCCGGCCCCACCCTCCTCAATATGTGACCAGGAGGCCCCCGGGGCCTGTTTGTTTTAAACACAGCCGGTGCCAAGTCCCTCGCTGCCGTCGTGCAAAGTTTCGTTCGCCCACTCCTGCACCCCCCCCCCCACAAAACAAGTCCGTTCTCTCACCATTCCAAACCAAAGGAACTGGGATTATTTTGGTCGCTGGAAAAAACAGGTCAGCTTTGAAACAAGAAGCCAAGGATTAGCTCAGCGGCACGTCTTCTTAGAACCAAAAGAAAAGAAATCCAAATCTGTGTCCAAGGGAAAGGTCCCATTTCTGAGATGGATCAATATCTGACATGGTTGGTTTTTCGCTGCCCCCAAGAGCTGAAGCCATGGGAGAGCGTCTCCCCACAAGCTAGCACTTTCCTTCCCAACTCTGGGACCCTCCAAAATTAGCATTGGACTAGCACAGAGGTCGGACGCAGGTGGCGCTGTGGGTTAAACCACAGAGCCTAGGACTTGCTGATCAGAAGGTCGGCAGTTCGAATCCCCGCCACGGGGTGAGCTCCTGTTGCTCGGTCCCTGCTCCTGCCAACCTAGCAGTTTGAAAGCATGCCAAAGTGCAAGTAGATAAATAGGTACCGCTCCAGCGGGAAGGTAAACGGCGTTTCCGTGCGCTGCTCTGGTTCGCCAGAAGTGGCTTAGTCCTGCTGGCCACATGACCCGGAAGCTGTACGCCGGCTCCCTGGGCCAATAAAGCGAGATGAGCGCTGCAACCCCAGAGTCGGCCACGACTGGACCTAATGGTCAGGGGCCCCTTCACCTTTACCTTTTAGCACAGAGGTCAGCAACCTAAGGCCCGTGGGCCACAAGAGGCCCACAGGGGTCATTTAACCGGCCCACAAGATGCCCCCAAACCGAGACACCCACTCAGCGAGTCCCCCCACACTGCGCTAAACCGGCTCAGCACAGGGACTTGCTTTTGTGGCGCCGGAAATCACATCTGCGCAGATGACGGAAATTGCGGGTGTGGGCGCTTACACACACACGGAGGGATCTCCGCTGGAGTGACCCGGCCCAGGTGAGGTAAACCTTGCCGACCCCTGGACTAGGACCTGGGAGAGACGAGGCCCCAAATTCTCACTCTGCCAGTGGAACTCACTGAGACAAGATGAAGTGCCAGCATTGGGCGGCAAGATCTGCTGCAGCGGCAGATCCCAGAGCTGATCTTTCTCTGCCCCCTGCCCTTGTTCTTGATGTAGATCTTCCCTCACCCCTTCTTCCCTGGGGTAACGCCTTTTGGGGGTCTGCCTCGGGTGCCAAAATATATTGAGCTGGCCGCATCTCCGAATGACCACTGGTCATCCTGGCTGCTTGGGGGTTGGAGTCCAGGCTACATTTGGAGGGAACCTGGACAGGGTAAGGTTGCCGCAGGAAGCCCTTGAGAAATTAAAAACAGGCCAAATCTAGGTAAACGTCTGTTCTGAAACCTGAATAAACTCTAAGCATTGAGACGACAGCCATGTATGAAAGGCTCAACCCCCTGAGCCAGTTTGGAATGTTGGGGACCATTCTCGCCACGCGCCTTTAGCCTGTGGAACTCAGCGCCACAAGGTGCGGTGATGGTCACTAATTTTGATGGCCATAAAAGGGGAAAGAGTAGTATTTCAGAGAGAACTGCAAAGGTAAGCTTGCGTCAATACAAGTTCATTTGGTTTTATGAATCTATATATCATTTTTTTAAATGTTGTACGCTCTTTTTCAGGGGTGGCCAAATCCCAAGAGACTGTGATTTGCTCACAGAGTTGAAAACTAGCAGTGATCTACCCCCTTTTGGGGGGTTCAGGTCAAGGTAGTTGAGGTTTTTTTTAGAAGGAAAGCCCTGTTTTTGGGGTGCAGGCTAAAAATGTTGAGCTTTTTTTAGGGGAGCCAAAGATGTTGAGAGCTTCTTTGGCGGGAGCCAGTGATCCACCAGTGATCTACCACAGACGTCCAGTGATACCTGTTGGACGTGCCTAAATTAGATGACTGATTGGTCCAGAAACATGGTCAATAAATAAAATAAGAAAAGGCCTGTTTGACCCCTTATGAACTTTTTTCTTTTTTTCATTTTTTTTTGCACCCATTGCACAGCTTGCACAACTAAGGCCCACTCTATTGAATGGATTTTGGCCTCCCCCACCCCACTGACTCCCTAAAGCTCATAATAAACCTTCCACTGCCTCTACCCCTGCCAGAAAATAATATTTATTCTTCTTTTTAAACCGGTTCCAAATTAAATGCTTTATCCTGGAGACTTTGTGTCCTTTAGGATGTCGAATCATGTTCATTATATGATCAGAACATGAGGCAGATGCGTCCTGTCATTCTCCGACTCCTCCGGCTTTCCAGGGGGCGAAGAGACAACCCCCCCCCAAAAAAAATCTGTTCCCCAAACAAATGGCTGAGCGTCTATCTTGAGTGATGTGTCAGAGGCGCAGATGAGCCAGGAAAGCTCCAGTCCTGCTGAGGTGCAAATTAAACCGTGTCTAAAAGATCTGGCACTGCAGACCGGCTGCAAGTGGCCAGTGCCAATGCAGAGGCGCACCCTGGTGGTTAAATACCTCTGCTGTTTTTGCTATTATTGGATGTTGTTCATACAATCTCCTTATATTCACCGTGCCGAAAGGATGTCGCTGTTGTTTTGCATGCTGTTATGCTTCTTCTCCTGTTGTTTTCTTATGTTATGAAACAGTTTTACAGTGTCTGGTGTTGAAAAGCATTCCTGCTTTCTCTGTTGCTTGCCACTTTGGGCATTTCCTGGAGGCATTTGTACAAATAAAACATATGAACGAACATATATATGTTTTTATTTTGATTATGTTTTGTGGTTTTATATATTGATTTTGTTCTGGGAACCGACCCGAAACCTCCCGGTATATAAATTCAATTAAGAATAAGAATAAGAGTATTTTACGGCAGTCACCATCAGTGCTAGTAAAGGTAAAGGGACCCCTGACCATTAGGTCCAGTCGCGGACAACTCTGGGGCTGCGGCGCACATCTCGCTTTACTGGGCGAGGGACCCGGCGTTTGTCCACAGACAGCTTCTGGGTCATGTGGCCAGCATGACTAAGCTGCTTCTGCAAACCAGAGCAGTACACAGAAATGCCGTTTACCTTCCCGCTGGAGCGGTACCTATTTATCTACTTGCACTTTGACGTGCTTTCGAACTGCTAGGTTGGCAGGAGCAGGGACCGAGCAATGGGAGCTCACCCCGTTGCAGGGATTCGAACTGCTGACCTTCTGATCGGCAAGCCCTAGGCTCTGTGGTTTAACCCACAGCGCCACCCGCATCCCTACCATCAATAAAACATCAGTCATTAAAAGCTTCCCTAAACAGGGCTGCCTTCAGATGTCGTCTAAAAGTCTGGTATGTAGTTGTTCTTCTCTTTGACATCTGGTGGGAGGGCGTGCCACAGGGCGGATGCCACCACCGAGAAGGCCCTCTACCTGGTTCCCTGTAACTTGGCTTCTCGCAGTGAGGGAACCGCCAGAAGGCCCTCGGCGCTGGACCTCCGTGTCCAGGTAGAACAATGGGGCTGGAGACACTCCTTCAGGTATACTGGACCGAGGCCTTTTGGGGCTTTAAAGGTCAACACCAACACTTTGAATTGTGCTCGGAAATGTACTGGGAGCCAATGTAGGTCTTTCAAGACTGGTGTTATGTGGTCTCGGTGGCTGCTCCCAGTCACCAGTCTAGCTGCCGCATTCTGGATTAGTTGTAAAAAACACCAGTGCCACCTATCCTGATTAATTTAGATTTTACACAAATCCAAAAGCAGGTTCTGTGGCACAAAAGGCAGTGCTTAATAATAATAATAATAATAATAATAATAATAATTCTCTAGAAATCTCACCAAGATCTGGAGGTATCTGGTTTGGAGGGATTGAATTAAACTTGGCCAACTATACAAGATGTCACATGCTATGAAGTCCTTTATTTTGTGATTGTCTAGGAAAGAATTGTCACATTGTTACATCGGTCATGTTACGTTGGTCACATTTCATTTGCCAGAAAACCTCTTTTCTGCAGTTTTCAAATAAACATTACCAACGATTTGGCACTTGGCCGTGAAACCCTAGTATAGTGCAACAAACAGAAGAAAAATTGATTCATACTTTCAGAGGAAAAGCTTGCCCATGTTACAGATAAGTTATTGAGGTTGCAAAGCTGTTACATTGGCTACATCTTTTTGAAAAAAACACAATAAAAAGAAAACATTTAAACAACCTTGGCCATAATGATTGATTGTTTTTATAGGGAAGGATCAAGGCAGGTAAGAAACAGCTTCATGTTAATTGGAGTTACATAATACTAGTCAAATCACACACAATATATATGCAAAGAAGCTGCAAATGTTACATTGGTCACTACAGAATCGCCCATCAATTCTTGAAATCGTAATTTGGGAAGCGGGAATTCTGGTCAAAACAGTTTTCCATGGCAGCACCATCCATTAGGCAGCACTTATTCTGTTCCATCTTTACTGCGCCTTGCTTTTCGCACATCTTGTTCAGGAGGGCTGACCACTGGACCAGGAGGGAGACAGATGAGATGGTCAATAAGATGGCTAAGTAGGGTTTCTTAATCTGGGCCGACTCAGACCCTCTTTTTAATATGTGTCCAAATGTCTGTTTTGCAAAATGTGTGTGTGTGTGTGGATTTGCACACAAAACAGCAACAGACTGAGAAGAGGGCAGCTTTGGGTCGTCTGCAGAGCACTCTCTCGTCCCAAAGTAACCAACGATCACATTTGGCATTCGAGACGAGGCTGTTCTTTTGCCTCTGTACAGTGGTACCTCAGTTCTCGAACGTCTCCGTTGACGAACGTTTCGGAAAACCCGGAAGCAAAGGCTTCCGTTTTCAAACGTGCCTTGGAAGTCAAACGGCTTCCGCCGTGTGTTTTTCAGTTTTCTCCGTTGAATTTGCAGCCTGCCCTTTCTTTGCGCCTCAGTTTTCGAACGTTTCGGAACCTGAAGGGTCTTCCGGAACGGATTAAGTTCGAGAACCGAGGTACCACTGTACAACTGAATCCTAATTGCCTTCCCAATCACTTCCCATCACTTTGCCCAGACACTGAGGTCCAGCGCCGAGGGTCTTCTGGCGGTTCCCTCACTGCGAGAAGCCAAGGTACAGGGAACCCGGCAGAGGGCCTTCTTGGTGGTGGCGCCCACCCTGTGGAACGCCCTCTCATCAGATGTCAAGGAAATAAACAACTATCAGACTTTTAGAAGACATCTGAGGGCAGCCCTGTTTAGGGAAGTTTTTAATGACTGATGTTTTATTGTATTTTTAATCTTTGTTAGAAGCTGCCCAGAGTGGCTGGGGAAACCCAGCTAGATGGGCAGGGTATAAATAATATACCCTGGGAAGGAAGGAAGGAAGGAAGGAAGGAAGGAAGGAAGGAAGGAAGGAAGGAAGGAAGGGAAGGGAGGAAAGGGAAGGGAAGGGAGGAAGGAAGGAAGGAAGGAAGGAAGGAAGGAAGGAAGGAAGGAAGGAAGGAAGGAAGGAAGGAAGGAAGGAAGGGAGGGAGGGAGGGAAGGAAGGAAGGAAGGAAGGAAGGAAGGAAGGAAGGAAGGAAGGAAAAAGTTGGAACGATTACAAGTCTTTCAAAGGATATCTAAGAGCAGCCACCCCCTTACCCTGGAATGAGCCTAAGAGCAGCGCCCCCCCCCCGACCCCACAAGGCCCCCATATTAAAGCAGTTGCCATATTTGTCAGGCCATGGGGGACAATGAGAAGCACTCACTGCTTTCTGGGAGCAAGGGAGCTTCTCCTTTTCAGGCTGCCGGCAGCACTTGCCCAGAGCTTCTCCCAGATCCACGAGGACATTAGCCTTCTCATAGACGTTTGAGTAATCGGAGTCTTTCAGGCCCTGGGACAGCTTCTTACTCCCATCCTTGCAGATGTTCCCGATATTCTTGGCGCTGGGGCGGGCAGGTGGGAATTTTTCTGGCCCTCCTTCAACCCTTACTAGTAATAGTAATAATAGTAATAGTAGTAGTAATAATAATAATAATAATAATAAAATTTTATTTATACCCCGCCCTCCCCGGCCAGAGCCGGGCTCAGGGTGGCTAACAACAGTAAAAATTACAGTAAAAACATAATAGGGGAAAACCAAAAAAACCCAATTTAAATTACAGGTTAAAATGCAATTTAAAATGCAACCTCATTTTAAAAGTAGCCCATGGGGAAGATGAGAGAGAGAGAAGGATGGAAATCAAACTACGCTCATCCCAATAGAAGGAAGACGACACTGCCAAAGATGACGAAGGAGATTGGCAAAACAAACTAATGAACTATACTGGACACACCAGACAATTTCCTCCCCCCCCCTTTTTAAAAAAAAGGGAGAAATGTTCAGGCATAATCAGTAAGCTTTGTGCATTGATTTCTACATTAGTCGAACTTTTAAAAGCTCACTTGTAATAATATATATAAGGCTTTAAAATTGGATACTTAAGAGTGATTCTGCAGACATAAAAAAATATTTAAAAATTGTACCAGGAGGGGGAGTTGGAGGGAAGTCAGTTAAGATGTATGATTTTGATTGTGATGTTCTTTGGGGTTTTTTGTTTTTTATCATAAAATTAATAAATTGTATCAAAATACAAGAAAGAAAGAAAGAAAGAAAGAAAGAAAGAAAGAAGCAATCTTTCTCTCGCCCTCTTTATCTCTCTATTATTATTCATTACAGTGGTACCTCAGGTTAAGTACTTAATTCGTTCCAGAGGTCCGTTCTTAACCTGAAACTGTTCTTAACCTGAAGCACCACTTTAGCTAATGGGGCCTCCTGCTGCCGCCGTGCCGCCAGAGCACGATTTCTGTTCTCACCCTGAAGCAAAGCTCTTAACCCAAGGTTCTATTTCTGGGTTAGCGGAGTCTGTAACCTGAAGCGTATGTAACCTGAGGTACCACTGTATTCCATTTGTTCACCGCTTCCTACCAAAGTCTCAAAGCGACATATAAAACAATAAAATACGTAGTAATGCCAATTCATATCAAATACATTGATTTGTTAGTATATGATTTTCTTTTGTTGCATGACCTAAGATTTCTAAATGACTGTTTTCCTAAGAAACTAGCCCCATCCCCCAACACGGATAGTAGTTGGAACAGAGACCCTCTAACCTCGTCCAGGAATCTGTATCGGTCGCTGGCGCATATCATCTGTAGGGAGAATCAGAAAAAAAAAGATAATGATACATTAAAATTTGGTGTTTTGTCTTGTTTTTAAAAATTTATTATTATTATTATTATTATTATTATTATTAATTCCCCTCCCTTCCCTCTCCAAGGAACCTAGGTCAGCAAACAGAAACACAAAGCTAAAATAGTGTAAAACAGTTAGATCATTATAAAAAAAAACCCAGCAAAACTTATTACATTTGAAAGCATCTAAAAGCAGCTCCAGTTAAAATATTCTAAAAGCCTTTAAAGCCGAAAACATGGCTCCATCTAATGACTGTGGTGTTGCCAGGACTCAATGTTGTGCATAGGGGCTGTAGCCTGTTTTGCATGCAGAACACCTGCTTTGCATGCAGAAGGTCCCGAGTTCAGATCCTGGCATCTCCAGGCGGGGCTTGGAGAGACTTCCTGCCTGAACACTCAGACAGACACACACACACCCCGGTCAGGGGGACCACTGGTCTGGCTCAGCAAAGGCAGCTTCCAGTGTTCCTATTTGAAGCGGCCCTTTCCTTAGAACCATGAGGACTAGAGACTTACTTTATTTTAAAAGGGGAGTGCCACGGCTCAGCGGCAGAACACCTGCTTTGCACGAAGGAGCTTCCCAGTTTGACCCCTGGCACCGTACAACCGTACCAAAAGAACTTCCTTGACGACTTCCTTAATACCTGAGTTAAGGGACACGGTGGCCTCTTCCTGGATTGGGGTGGGATGGGGCTTAGCTAGAAAGGGAGATTTTGTTCAGGGCGGGTCCTACCATTAGGCAGAGTGACATGGCTGCTCCCAGCGGCAGGTGGACTGGCGCAGGGAGGTGTTGGGGGGGCTGCCCTGCCCTCCATCATGCCCAGTGGAGGATGTGGGGGGGGGGGGTCCTACTCCAGGCATAGCGAATGATCCTAGTAGACATAGATTCATAGAGCTGGAAGGGACCAACAAGTCTCATTGAGTCCAGCATCTACTCTACAAATGTGACAGTCCCTAAAAAATTATGGGACCTTTTTGTGTGAGTTTCATACGGATGTAGAAACGGCCACGTCAAACAGCCCATAAATTGGTTAAATAAATATGAAGAAACCTGAGAAAAGGCAACTCCCCACAGTTACAGGCCCACAGGGATGAGGGTGGCGCTGTGGTCTAATCTTGGGCTTGCCAATCAGAAGGTCAGTGGTTTGAATCCCCGCGATGGGGTGAGCGCCCGCTGCTCTGTCCCAGCTCCTGCCAACCTAGCAGTTTTTTATCCGCTTTTTATCTGAGACACCACCACCTCTTGCTAAGTCCCAGGTTTCTTCCTTCACTTCTTTCTCTCAAATTTTCTTTTCTTGTGTGGTAGGCAGCATAAGACAAGTCTCTCTCTCTCTCTCTCTGAGGCAGGGTGGGAGAGGGCAGGCTCATTTAATTTAATTTGATTTACTTTTAAAGACATTTTTAATTTGGGTTTTATACACACACACACAGGGATGCGGGTGGCACTGTGGGTTAAACCACAGAGCCTAGGGCTTGCCGATCAGAAGGTCAGTGGTTCGAATCCCTGCGATGGGGTGAGCTCCCGTTGCTCGGTCCCTGCTCCTGCCAACCCAGCAGTTCGAAAGCACATCAAATTGCAGGTAGATAAATAGGCACCGCTCTGCGGGAAGGTAAACGGCGTTTCCGTGCGCTGCTTTGGTTCGCCAGAAGCAGCTTAGTCATGCTGGCCACATGACCCGGAAGCCGTACGCCGGCTCCCTCGGCCAGTAAAGCGAGATGAGCGCCGCAAACCCCAGAGTCATCTGCGACTGGACCTAATGGTCAGGGGTCCCTTTACCTTTACCTACACACACACACAGAGAGAGAGAGAGAGAGAGAGAGAGAGAGAGGTGGAGTGGGGAAGTGACTGTGGGCACGGTCGCTGACGCAGTGGTGGCTGGTCAACTTCAGACATGTTTGGAGGAAAAGGAATATCTGGACCCCCTTTCCATCCGGCCTCAGGTCTGATTTGGTACCCAAAGAGCCTTGATGCACTGCCTGGTGACCTCTGAATAACGTCTGCCCTGCCATGATGCTCAGGGAAACCAACACTGTGTCATCATCTTCCAAGAAGCCTGCCTTGCAAGGGGCCATTCTGAAGCCCACCCACACTGTGCCAGCTTGCAGATCTCGCTTGGCAAGCTCTCTCCTTACCCCGCAGAACATCCTGTACACGTTTGCCCTAGTCTGGAACAAAGGAAGGGAGTGGGAAGCAAAGCAAGCGAAATCTCAACTTGTAGTTAGTGATGGATTCTCTTGTAGGTCTACCTGAGCCGGGAACAGATTGCCCCAGGACGAACCAAGAGACCAGGAGAAGGACCTGTATCTTCATAGCCATATTGAAGTCGGACGGAATTGGCTTCTCTCTCCTGGTTTGTGGTTCTGGCTCCAGACAGTTCCTCTCTGCTCCTTCTTCTCCTTCTCTCTGCTATAGGTGCTGCTGGTTTTATAAGCTGCTGGGGGGGGGGAGAGAATGATAAACTGTTGCTGAGTGTACCCAAAATACAATTCTGTTTAAAGGTCTTTGTTGTCTTTAGGGATTTTTTAATATATACTTTAAAACATTTTGTTCTTTTATCCTTCTACATGGCAGCTGATCTCCCTTGAGATTACAAGCCACAGAGACTCACATAAAGACTAGGAAGTGCAAGAGAAAAGTTTATAAATAAGTAATCTCCCCCTTTGGCCAAAAGAAAAAGTCCTATGAGGTAACTATGAAGATAAAATATTTTGAATGGGGGGTGGGAGTCAGGATCTCTATTTGGAAATAGATTACTCTGCCTACCCAAAATGCTTTGTCACTTGAGGCAGAAAATCCAAATAGTGGGTACGCTATTGAACCTTGAACAGGCAATAACATATAATTCAATTTTAGCATTTCTAATGCATTAACATTGGTGCATTAAACGGCCACCCAACCCTCCACAAAAATTGAGCGTCCTCCACACCTAGCTAATCTAAATTGGGTTTTAGTTTATTTGCACACACACTTCCACCACATGTGAAGTGTTGTACAAGTGTCCCTCCTCTCACTTATGTGGGAGTTACATTCTGGGCCCCAAAATCACATAAGTGTTGAGTAAAAAGGTAAAGGGACCCTTGACCATTAGGTCCAGTCGTGGCCGACTCTGGGGTTGTGGTGCTCATCTCGCTTTATTGGCCGAGGGAGCTGGTGTACAGCTTCCGGGTCATGTGGCCAGCATGACTAAGCTGCTTCTAACGAACCAGAGCAGCACACGGAAACGCCGTTTACCTTCCCGCCGGAGCGGCACCTATTTATCTATTTGCACTTTGACGTGCTTTAGAACTGCTAGGTTGGCAGGAGCAGGGACTGAGCAATGGGAGCTCACCCCGTCCCGGGGATTCGAACCACCTTCAGATCAGCAAGTCCTAGGCTCTGTGGTTTAACCCACAGCGCCACCCGTGTCCTAAGTGTTGAGTACTCTCTAAAAAACCTCTAAACACCTGTTTTTCCCCTTGCTACCCAGCTGTCTCTCCACAGAACTCGTCTCTTCAACTGGAGTTGTTCGGCGGGGAGGCTGAGCAACTGAAACCAAAACGAAGCCCCTTTCCACCCCTACTGATGTCCTTTTTGGGCTCCATGGAGGGTCTCTTTTGCACGTCATGTAAGACTTTGTTACAGACAGACTGGGCTGTTGTGCCATTTGTGTTTTGGCAGAGTTCTGGGTGTCCCTGATGTTCCAGATTAAGCACCTGCTTCCGCATGACTTTTGCTAAATGCGTTGGCACTCAAAACCCATTTCGTGGCTGTTCTTGCCATTTTGATCAGAGGCTGCTTTCTTCCTTATACCCAAAACAATGGCAAAACTACTTGCTGTGCATGGCTTTCTTTGTGTGTCTGTGTAACGTAGGTCTTTTTCATTCAATGGCATGTCCTGTCTCTTTGCGTGATTTAGAAGGAGGAGGAGGAACAGCCAACACTTTTGTTCCCCTTCTATTGTTCACTGCCACACATGTGCTTTGAGAGAATTTCAGAACTAGTACCAAGAGCGCATTGCAGTAATCTGACCTCAAGGTCACTTAGCGCATGTCTATCCCTGACCAGGAACACAGCTGGTAGACCATTCCGACTTTTTTCCAGTGAAATTTCCCCAAATATATAAGTAAAATAAAGAAGTCAGATAACGGAAAGGATTCATCTAAAAAGTGGTTTATTAGAGCCCTTTGCCTTGGGCAGATATCCATCCGTACAAGCACTTCACTACGATATGAAAACATGTTCTGTGAGCTCAGTTACAGCTGGGAAACAAAGATCGAGATGCAATGGTGTGACTTGGCAGAGTAACCCACAAACTCCCCTGTACAGTGTTTCCTTCTGGGCTAGTGTGTTTTCTGGGCATGTTTCAATAACCATTACACCACACCAACTCTTCCCTTGTTATTTTATCCACCGTCGCCACCATCATTCCTGATTGCTAGAGCCTTGTTGGTAGGGCTGTACCTGCCTAAGATCAGCAGAAAAGCTACTCAGAAATAGAAGTTCCCCTTCTCCAGTCCTTCAGGCCCTGTGCTCCTGTTCCGCTTTCTTCACTAAAAAAACAAAAGCACTGGCACCCATCTACCTAATTGGAGACCATCCTGATCAACTTAAGTTTTGCACAAATCCAAAAGCAGACTCTGTGGAACAGAAGGCAAAGCTCCAAATAACGATGATGACAAAGACCCTCCAGATATCTCACGAAGATCTGGAGGTATCTGGTTTGAAGGGAATGAATTAAACTTTGCCAGCTGGCCAATATGGTGGTGGGGGAGGAGGAGGAGGCACTCCCTAGCAAGAGAAATCCTCTCTCTGCTTTCTCCCAAATTCCCCTTTTGAATCAAAACGCCTTTTAGCACTTTGGTGACGGAAGACAAAAATCAGACAGAACTTTTTCTTTAAAAAAAAAGGACTGAGATGTTTTACTTGGGTCACGACTGCCTAGAATTTAACGTGCATACCAGTGAGGGCTTCCAGAGGCCCCCTTATGAGAGGTCAGTGTGTGCAGATTGCTTTTTGCTCCCCACCCCCCACTCTGCTTTGTCTTGGGGAGGGAGCAGCGTCTTAGATAGTTGATAGTCTGTAGGTCAGGGAAGCAGCTAACCCACTTCCCGGAAGCATGGAACTGGAACCAGCCAGAGAGAGGAGAGGACAGAGGAAGGGAAGAGGCGCATTTCAGCAGTAGGGGGCGAGTCTGTTTCTGATTCACACGGACGGCACCGTTGGGTGGGTGATCTGCACGGAACTGGCGAGAGACACGTTGTTCAGGTAGTTGACGTTGAAGCAGTTGCTCCGGGCCTCGCCCTCCAACTGGGAACAACATTTCTTGGGGTCTTTCCACGTTTTCTTCTGGGAGCTGCAGAGTGCCACAATGAACTGGGATTTCTGCAGGGAGGAGAAATAACCACATCACGTTAAAGGATCAAGGATGTCAGTGTTACTCTCTTTTCTGAAACGGTGGGACATCATTGACACCCATCACCACCTGGAGGGTCACAGGTCCCCATCCCTCATTTATAGGCAGAGGAAGGAGGGTTGAAACGCAAGTTAAAAGCGGAACCCCTCCTACTCAGCTCATACTAGGCTGCTCCTAAATCAAGATCCTTGTCAACAACCCCCCCCCACAACCCTTGCCTTGTTCTTTACAGATGAATAGCTGCTTCCTCCAACCGATTACTCACCACATCCTCAGCACACTGTGTCCTCTCACTGCCCTGCAACTTGCAACAGGGTTCTGTGATGTTCTGGACCAAAGCAGGGATGTTTTTCCTGGAGAACAATATGAAAAAGTTGGGGGGGTTGTGGTTATAAAAATATACTAATGGAAAATGCCCTGCAGTTGGGCAAGGACAGTTAAACATTTATGCCACACATAAGTCTTGATCGACACGTCAACCATTTCAGATGGCAAATTCCTCGAAATTTTCTATTATCTGTATTTAGAGACTGGCAACTCTATCAAATTTCAGTTTCCCTCAGTTTCTAATTTTTCAAACCATAAGTTCAGTTCACCATGTTTCCACATCAGCTTGCAAATATTTTTTCCTTTAATGTCCTCACGAATGTTCATCAGAATTTCAGTGTGAATTTGTCCTAACATGCACATCTTTGCAAAGCAATTTCCTCTAGTATAATGCACACCTGTATGTTACATTCACTAAAATATGGGATTTTATTAGCATACGTCAACAAAATATTTGCAATTTTCTACACATTGCAAAATTTGAAGAAGCACGAATCTTGGCCGTGGTTCAATTCACATATCATTCCTGGAAGTGCAAATTGGGCTTATTTGAAAAAGCAAACAGGAGTGAATTTCTCTCCCATTCCTTTTTTTTTTTAAATAATATTTATTAAGATTTAAAAGGTTACAAAAAGAGAAAATAGAAAACAGCATATTAAGCAAAAACAAAACATCACATCACAATAAGGAGGGAAAAAAACTAGAAAAATAAAAAGTTAGGAAAAAAAAATACAATGAACCTTTCCATAACTTATCTTTCATTTGCTTGTTTCCTTGACCTCCTCACACCTCCCTTTTTTGTATTCTAGTTCAGTTAGCTATTTCAGCAAGTCCTTTCTATCTTTTCCAGTTTTTGTCCTATATTTTATCTTCATATAATGTAACTTTACTTTCCCTCCTTTCACCATTTAACAATCTGTTTTTTCTTAATCCTTTATAGCATTTCTGCTAAAACCACATTACTTCATTCCAACATCCTTCTAACATTCCTTAAAATTTATCTCCCATTCCTTCCTGTCTTCAGCTAATAAGACTACGTAGACTGGAGGAGGAGGATCTTGAACTGTAGACTGAGAATGGTTTGGGTAAGGGGGAGGAGAAGAGAGAAATCACTTTGGGTTTCAGCCACAAGGGGGAGCAACAACCCTAGGTCTGAATTAATTATCCAGCCTTCCTTAAATTAATTATTTCTGAACAGCACAGTTTAACTTTTTTAAAGATACACAGAAGGCTTGTTTGCTGCCTGCAAGCAAATTGTTGATACCAGGGGTGGCTGCAATCTCTGCAATCTATATTCTGCCCAGTTGGAATAACAGTCATTGCATCTTTATACCACTTGCTACTGACAGATGCCCTTTTCACACTCCCACCCCACCCGCCTCCAGTATAGGAATTCTTAAACACACTTTTTCTAGCCGGAGAAGTGCATGGCACAAATCAGAAAACCAAACTTCTCCAACCTCCCCTGCAATCTACTTCTCGACAGCCCAGCAGAAACCTGAAGCCCTCTTGATATTCCACTGCCCTCAGAAGTTGGGGAGTTCTGTGTGACAGCCCCTAAGTCAAGGAATTCCCTCCCCACAGAGCTGCGTCCAACACCAACATTATGCAGTTTCTGCCATGTATTGGAAGAAGATGCACCTTTCAAACCTGGTCTTTGATACCTGATACAGTGGTACCTCAGGTTAAGTACTTAATTCGTTCCGGAGGTCTGTACTTAACCTGAAACTGTTCTTAATCTGAAGCACCACTTTAGCTAATGGGGCTTCCTGCTGCTGACGCGCCACCGGAGCCCAATTTCTGTTCTCGTCCTGAAGCAAAGCTCTTAACCTGAAGCACTATTTCTGGGTTAGTGGAGTCTGTAACCTGAAGCTTATGTAACCTGAGGTACCACTGTATATATCTTTACAAGAGCCACCCTTTTCCTGTGGCTGCCACTTGTTGGAAACAGTTTGTGATACTGAACTTTAAATTGCTGTAGCTCGACCCGGGACCTGAAGGGGAAGGGCAGGTAAGTAACTGAAACGGAATAAATAACCATACTTACTGCTTGGTGAGAAGTGTGAATTGGCCACAGAGCGAGTCCAGGAGGTCTGGGGTGACCTGACCGAGGTTGACCTGTTGAATTTCCTGGTCGTAGGCGGGGTATGGAGCCAAATTGGCAAAGCAACCATAACGGGCCTCCCCTGCAGGGACTTTACAGCAGAAGTGTGGCCTGGTCTTCACAGAGAACTCCTGTTTGCAGTACTGGGTCAGAACCTTTTCCCACTGGAAAGGAAAGCAAAACAGGGGAAAGTCATGAGGGAGGGACAGCCTCTAGGGATGAGCAAAAACCGATCAGTTTCTTGCAGCTCCTTCAAGAAATCTTAAGTTCAGTTCTCTACAGTCCTCATGAACATTCGCCAGCACTTTTCAGTTTCTTCCTAATATGTACATTTTTGTATGCTACGTATGTGTTTGCAATTTCCCCAATACAAAGCATTTTTGCATTTGCTAATATAGACCATTATATGCACAATTTACACATCTGTGTACCCGTTCCTTGGTTGGAAGAAGCGACAAACTTCCCAACGGTTAGCCTGCAGGACTGCAAAATTCCAAAATGCCACACTGGGTGTTACCCCCAAATCAAGGACAAGTCCTTCATTGTGAACTGCTCAGATACTTTGGCTGCATGGGAGAGGCAGCTTGTGTTTGAAACAGACCATAAAGCATGGCATGCTGGGAGAGAAAGGGATGCTGGGAAAAGACCCAAGCAGGAGATTCCCGGAGTCCCTCCTGACTCACTCACTCACTCACTCACTCACCCCTTTGCGGGCACAGCCGGCATCCTCCTTTCGGCAACATTTCTTAAACTCATTTTCCAAGCGGTTCACAGCCTGAGCTCGGCGCACCAACCAGCCAAAATGTGACTTTGGGAAGACGCTGGCCAGGTAGGTGGGCCGGAATTTACGCAGCTTGCAAATATTTTTGATGTTGGCGCTGGTGGGCTCTCCAGGAGGAAAGGTGACCTCGAGAAGCTTCAGTGGGTTGACCTGCTCCGAGGGTTTGCACCCGGAAGGATTGCTGCAGGTGACCGGCTGTGATGGACCTTGACCATCAGAGCTCTTGAAGTCATAATTCGGGAAAAGGGAATCCTCGTCAAAGCAGCGATCCCGGCTGGCACCTTCCAGCATGCAGCAGTGGTAAGGTCTGGTCTTTATCGAGAATTCCACGTCGCAGAACTGCTCCAGAACATCTGACCACTGGAGCAGGGTGGGGAGAGATGAACGGGTCAATCAGATGGCTAACCAGAGTTTTTATCATCTGGGCCCAAACTCAAGAGTCTGCTTTTGATACCACATGTCTGTCTGTCTGTCCTGGGATGTGCAAGGCGGCAGCAGACTGAGAAGAGGACAGATTTTGGCTGTGTAAAGCAGGGGTCAGAAATCTTTCAGCAGGGGGCCGGTCCACTGTCTCTCAGACCTTGTGGGGGGCCAGACTATATTTTTTGGGGGGAAATGATGCAAGAGCACCACGAGCCCCGGTAGCTGCTTACCTGTGTCTTGAGAGCGGCAGGGGCTGGTGGCGGTGGGATGATGAGCGGCACGCGAAAGGGCTCAGGAGAATGGCTGCTTAAAATGGCGGCCTCTCAAGCGCTGCTGCAGCTGCTGGCACTAACAAAGCCCAGCCCCCTTCCTCCTCTAGGCAGGGCGGGGAGAAGCCAGGAGGGGGGAGGGAGGAGTGGCTGCCACTGCCGCCATGTGAGGGAGAGGGAAAGAACGCGCGCACTGGCGACCCATGTGGCAATTCCCAGACCGTCCACGGGCTGGATCCAGAAGGCAATTGGGCCTGATCCGGCCCACGGGCCTTAGTTTGCTAACCCATGGTGTAAAGAGTGACTTTGCCTCAACCACAGCATGCCCTACCAACACATCTGGAGGGAGAGGAGAAGCAGCTTCAAAAGCCAACCTTGAGAGACCAAATCTGTGCAAAGTTGTGTGGGCCCCCAAACGCCCTTTGAAAGGAGTCCCACTAGAGTCCCACAGAGGCTCGGTTTTATGCTCCAACCTTTGAAAAGCTGAGGATGCATCATTCAAAGGCATAGTTGGTCTTCACAACCAGTGCAGTATCTGAGCATGTCACAACCAACACTGAGGGGTATGCTATACTACATACACACAGCCCAGACAAAATCTCATCAGATCTCAGTTGTATAGAAGTCACCTTTTACAGAATAGAATACCTCTCTGCGTTCCTCTTACTGCATGAGGAAAAACAATGGCTTGGCCACAGACGGTCTCAACCCTGATAAGAGCATAAGATTAACAAATTTGGGGTGAGAATGATCAGACCTTAGAGACTGGGATTGAGCCAACTATCCCTTTTTTAAAGGGTTTTGACCAAAATGCTCTGTAGGGCATGTTCAGCACCCACAAAATCCATGCATGAAAGACTCTTCCTGCCTTTTTAAAAAACCGGTGGAAAGAATTCAAGCTCAAAACCGGTCTTTCCAAGGAGAGATAAAGAGTTGGACACGACTAGACGACTAAACAACAACAAAAATATGCCTAAGAGCAGCAGCCCCTGCCCCCACAAGGCCCCCGTATTACAGCAGTTGCCGTATTTGTCAGACCAACAGTCGGACTGCAACTCCAATCAGCCCTTATTCAGCATGGCTGGATGATGGTGGGAGCTGGATTCGGGCAACAACTGGAGGGCCACAGATGTTTCCCAACCCTGATAGACACGTAAGATTTACAGATCTGGGCTGCAAACTGTCGGCCTTCAGAGACTGGGACCGAACCAACAGTCCCTTTTAAAAAGTTTCCACCAAAATTCTCAGTAGGGTGATTTCAACACTGACAAAGAGTAGAAGAAAGGGTTTTTAGACTTTCCCAAAAATATAAATAAATGGTGGAAAGAATTCAAGCTCAAAACCAGTTTTCCAAAGAGGGGCTAGGAACATAATGAGTCTTAGGAGTTGCAGCTCCTGCCCTTTAATGAAAAGTGCACCCGTTATCACAGCAGTGCCATATTTGTCAGACCAGGAACAACAACGGTAGCAACTCACCACACTCTGGCAGCAAGGGAGTTTCTCGCTGTCGGGCAGCTTGCAGCACTGGCCCACCCCGGACTCCATGTTGTTGAGGGCATCTCCCTGGCGACTGAGGTGACCGAAACCCGTCTGGGGCACATTCCAGGGCCCGTAGGAGAGCTTCCTCCTCCCTTCATTGCAGATGTTGCCAATATTACTGATGTTAGGTTGGGCAGGTGGGAATTCGTCCAGTCTGAAGCGAGGGGGCAGCCGGGTGCACCCGAAGGCACTGCTGCAGCTGGGCCTCCTGCCCCTTGGGCTGAGGGGAGAGGATAACCGTGTCTGGGGCTCTCCATTGACTAGCAGCGGGAGATCAAACTCTGGGGAAGAGGAGAGGGATGGAAATCAAACAAGGCACACTCACACCTCACATGCATTAGCTGGGAAGTGCCCGTTTTGAAACTAAACCTTAAAATATTTCTATTTTTTTCTTTTATTATCTTGGAGGCAGGGGATGTATAAGTCTATGAATGTTCTTTCTTACTCTATGGGAGATTTCGTTATCAGGTGCCATGTACAGATAATACAGGTGTTTGAGAATTTCCGAGACATCAGCAGTCATTATTTGGGTCGCTGTGTGGCAATACATTTCCCTTCAGACTTACAAAACAATAAGATAGACATAGTAGATTCGTAGAATTGTAGAGTTGGAAGGAATCACGAGGCTCAAACCCTGAAATTAGGAGTCTCAGGCTCTACTGACTGAGCTACCCCAGGTTGGTATGACCTATTCAAAACAAATACATCAGTCTGTTCCTGTACAATTCTCTCTTCTTGACCAGCCCAAGGGTTTTTGAATAACCCTTTCCTGGCCCCAGTCCCCAGCATGGATTGTAATTAGAATGGAGAACCTTGAACCCTCACCTCCCAGTTCATCATTATCTAGTGTCCTCTGAAGCAGAACCTGCCGTGGGATCCCAGCCGGAGGGATTTCCTCTTGGAGAATTGGCTTCCCAAGTTCAATAACTAAAAGAGAGAATTGGGAAGGAGGGATTAGAAAATTTATTTAAAGCAACAACAACAACATTATTTACTGAATTGATACCCCTCCCTTTCATCTCTAAGGATTCCAGGGTGGCAAACAGACACACAATTTAAAAACAAAGCAAAAAAAATTGTAAAACAGAACATTGTAAAAAAAAATAAAAAACAGTTTCAGTTGAAAACATGCTTCCATCTAACAATCATGGGGTTGCCAGGACCTATATCAGCAAAGTCAAACTAGATCCAGCATCACAAATTTCCCCCCTTATTTTACTGGGGCTTCTCAATTTGTCCAAAGAGCATATAGTCTTGGTTTGCAAGGACGAAAGAAAGTTTGGCAAAAAGCAATAGTTATGGGGCAGAGCACCTGCTTGGCATGCAGAAGTTCCCAAGTTCAATTCCTGACATCTCTAGGTAGGGCTGGGAATTCCCCCTGCCTGAAACGCTGGAAAGCCTCTGTCAGGCATTTGTAAACAATACTGAGCTAGATGGACCAATGTTGTGACTTGGCATAGACAGCTTCCTATCTTTTTTCCTTCCTATCTTTTTTCTGAACCATGAGGACTGGAGCCTTACTTTATTTTAAAGGGGGAGTGCCATGGCTCAGTAGCAGGTACGCTGAACTGCAACTCCAGAGTGGAAGTGGTGTGTTGATCAGGAAGCTGCACGAATACCAAAACAATAATTGTACCCTGTACTTGGGGAATTCAGGACTTGGCCCCCAGGGCATCAAGGCCTAATTAAAACAAGTAACCATAGCACAAGAACGTGACTTCCTTAATATTTGACTTAAGCCATGTGGCCACTCTGCCCAGATTTGTTTGGGGCAGAGCTCAAACAGAAGGGAGACTTTGATTGGGGCCGGTCCTACTATTAGACGTGGCTGCCTCTGGTGGCAGGTAGACAGCGGCAAGGAGGTGTTGGCCCCGAGTTTCCTCGTGAGCAGTGGAGGATTTCAATGGGTTTACTCCGAGCAGGATTAACACTGAACACACAACCCCAATATTTTAAATTGTTTTGCCCAGGGGCCTCATTGTGTGGGACAGAATTTATTTTTTTTAAGTAGATTTGGAAATCAGAATATAAAAATGATTTAGCACACATCGCTAGCTCCAGCAAAATTGCTTTTACGGGCTGGAAGGCCAGCCATGTGTTGCCAGAACCAAGTCTTTCTTGCTATGGTTAATCAGCCTGGTTAATCAACTTCCTCTTGTCAATTACAAGCACAGTTCTCATGGATGAGTAAGCACAATCAATTCCAAAAGAAGAGGAAGTCAATATACTCTGCCACCCGCTAATTAACACTTGCGGCAATGATGGAAGTCTGGCTCGCTCCATGGGGCCAGTTTCCTGGGCAGACTCAGCCTGACTACCTTATCTGTCTCGTACATATTTTGTCCTTGACTTCCTGTGAAGGTTTCTACCCATTATTTTGCAGCATGGCTCCTGCAGCTTCAAAAACAGGTACTAGACAGGCAGAGATTCTACAGGTGCAGCAATTGGGGGGGGCGGAGAGAGAGAAATGGCCCCTGTTGAGTTCTTCAGCTCCACATCTGGCAGGCCACACAGATGCTTCTCTACCCCTCATCTAAGTGACCAGCGATATGTGCTATATGACATCACCACATTCAACATTTCATCGCAAGTCTCTGGCAAATGTGTGTCCTCCCATGTAATCTTCTTCTTTGGAGATCACTCGTAGTCAAGTAAGATCGTCTTCCATAAACACAGTATCACATTGTGTAGGGTGTCAATAGTAACCAGGGAGGAAGGAGAAGATTGCTGCATACACACCATACATTTTAAGCATACTCCCCCCCCCCCCAAGAATCCTGGAAACTGTAGTTTACCTCAACACAGAACTATAATTCCCAGCACCCTTAACAAACTACAGTTCCCAAGATTCTTTGTGGGGAGTGAAGTACTTTAAATGCATGTATGACGAGTCTAGTTGGCTTACGAACAGAACGAGAAAAGCCAGCTTATTCTTCTGGTCTTGCAGGGTGACGTTGCCATTAGGGCAGGGAAAAGTCCTCTGGAATCAAGAGTCGCTTTAAGGTCTCTGCAAATAATGGCCTCAAAATCCACTCCCTGCTTAGGGAAGGTAAATATTGTATCATGCGTGCCGAGGGAATGAGATCTAGAGGAAGCCACCCACCACAAGGTCTTGGGCTGCACCTGACATGTGCGTTCTTAACACGTACACCCCTTTTCAAAACAAATAACAGTTTACTCTCACAGCCAGTGCAGCGCTTTTGTACAGTTTGCACAGCCAAAATCCCTGCTGGTTGCTCCTCACGGCAAAAAGATGGCAGGCTGGTTGCACCATCATACCCTCACATCAAGGAAGGGGGTTCTAGGTTTGGTATAGACAGACTTCAGGTTTGTAGGATCTACTTTATGGTGTGTGGTTTTTGTTTGTACTAAAAAACCTGAAGTTCAACAACAAGAGACAGGTGCACAATAGAGACTGAGCCTAGTGGACATATGCTAAGAATTAAGGAACAAGGGTGTCTCTGGGCATGTACTGAGACCAGATGGTCAGTACTAGAATCAAGATAAGAAGTCCTTCCTTTCAAAATTCCACTTCTGGTCACCCTACCACTGAGCGTTCTTTTTCAGCATCTAACAGGGGGTGTTGGTGTTTGGGTCATTCTTGTTGCGGATCAGGAGCTCTTGCTGAACTACTGCAAATCACCCAGTAGACCGTGATAGACCTGCGCTGCTCCCAAGGATGCTACTGTTGAAAAGGTCTCTGTAGCTAATTGTTTATGCTGTGCAAGGGGCCTGACCACACTGATGCTTTCGAACATTCCAGGTGATAAATAGCAGAAACTTCACTTCCTTCCTTCCCCGCAAGCCAGCTTGTCCTCCAAGCAATCGCCAAGAAACAACAGACCTTCCAAAACGAACAACCAGCTTCTGCACTCCCTTTGTTTACTTTGAGGTTCAGGGGAACACACAGTGCATGCTGGGAAATCAGAGCCACTGTGCTCCACTAGACAGAGAACTAAGCTTGGAGACCTCAGAGGCCTGGATCCCAGGGCTTGGCTCTGCCATGGGACAGATTATCCAATGCCTCAGCCTCAGTTTTCCTCATATGTAAAATGGGAACATCTGTAGTGGCCTATCAGAAAGGGTTATTGTGAGGCACTGTTTTGGGTTCTGGGTTTTAAATTTTTGGTTGGGACACACACATGCATTTTGGGAGGGCTATATTTTCTCTGTAACTCAAGATACACACAACATCTTGTACACAGCAGTACAGGACTATTCTTTACAATCTATTATGTTATGGCATGTGTCCCTTCAATCCAGAGTTGTTCTTTTATCTGATACTACTACTTCTTTTTCCCCTCTTTTTTTTTTTTTTTTTTGCAGAGGGAAGGAATTGTTTAAATTTTAAAACATTGCAACACAATTTGGCTGGAAAAAACCAACACCAAATAAGACGACAGATTTCACAAGGTTAATCAGGAGATTTTTCAGATCCAAAGCCTGTGTCACATTTTTTTCCAGTTAAAGCTACTGAAAATCATGATTTATCGCCCAGTTGTGCTAGATTTCACAATGCCTAGAGTGTTCGGGGTTTTTTGCCTGGAGGCCTTGAAAAAAAATATCAAATACTTAGAGGATCAACAAGTGTGTAAATAATTGGTTTTCAGTTCCAAATCACAAGACTGATGATAGATGTGTTGTTTTGAAGCCTTATTCAGCCTGAGCTGAACAACAGCAGACAACAGCAGTTCTGAAACACGATTAAGGAAAGAGAGGAACAATGTTGATTGATTTGGGAGCACCCAGCTACACAAATAAACATAAAAAGATAAAGTAGAGGCTGTGAATAGCTTCTGGATCTGTGCTCAGAGAATAAAATGAGAGCTGTCTTGAAATTTCAAAAGGTAGGGAGACCCAAACCTTTGAGAAAACTGAGGGAGATTGCAGGCCTCAGAATGGCTCAATATTTGATTTACATCTCAACAACGTTCAGGGATTCTGAAGGAGATAACAGGGGTTAGCTTCTATAAAACACAAAAGGGGCTGGTGTGTGTGTGTGTTTGTGTATGTGTACAGTATGCTGAAAGTTCTCTTGCCTGTGTATTCATACACCCTACATTTAAAGCACACAAACCACTAATAATCCTGTGAAGTGTAGTTTGCCAACTCACAAAGCAACAATCCCCAGAACCCTAAACAAACTACAGTTTCCTCGGGGTGGGGGGGTGCCTGAAATGTGTGGTGCCTATGCAGCCAGCGGTTTTTCCCTGCAGTGACAATTAAGGTACTCTCTCTGAAACAGCTGGAAGGTGGGGGAGAATAGGCAGTTTCAGAGAAGACTTGCACAAGCAGGGAAGGATCCAGAAATTTAAAATGTCCACTCCCCGCTTTATAGGAGCGTGGCACTAACACACATAAGGCTGTGTACATGCCATACATTTAAAGCACATGGCTCTCCCCACCCACAACTCCTGGGAACTGTAGTTTCTCAAGGGTGCTTGGAATTGTGGGCCTGTAAGGGGGCAAACCACATTTCCCACAATTGTCTTTATGCATGAGGGTGCTAATAGAGGAATAAATGTGCTTTAAAGGTATGGTGCGTATGCAGTCTAATGCACCAGTTGTTCCAGGCTAACAGGCAGCACGGAGGGTGTGAGGGAAGTGCCAACCTCGCTCGGCAGCTGTCACCTTGCCCTGCACACATCTACCCTAGTTTGCAACAGGGACAGGGAGGTCAGGAAACAAGTAAGCAAGCAAGGTCCCAACTTGTCATAGTTAGTGATGGGTTCTCGAGTAGGCTTACCTTCGGGCGCAAGAGTGGCGGATTGCGCCAGGACTAGCCAAGAGGCCAGGAAAAGGACCAGCATCTTCATAGCCGTCCCGAGTCAGGTGGAGTCTTGCTTCTCTCAGGGGTTGTGATTCCGACTCCAGGTGGTTCCTCTCTGCTCCTTCTTGTTGCCTGAGCTGCTGTTGCTGCTGGTTTGCTGGCTGCTGCTGTGCTCTTTTATAAGGCTGGAGCCTGGCAGGCAAAAACTGAGTCATCGGCTGACGTAGGGAGACACGCCCTGGGTGCTCATGAGACAGCAACCCACTACCACCAAAACCACAACTGGAGGGGGGGGGGAGGAAAGAAAAACAGAGGCATTTTCCTCCTCCTCCTCCTCTCTCTGCCCCCTCCCCAACCTCAAGTCCAACCATGATTCCTTATTAAGGATCAGGTTTCAAAGCAACTGCTAACAGATAAATAAAAGAGGAAGGGAGAACATTCGCCGCCTATTATGAAATTATCACCAGACCATTTCATAATACAGTACAAAGGAGTTGGGGGAGGTGATGAATACACCCTAATGCAAATCTGTTTAAAGAATGTGTTTGACTTTAGGGTTTAAAAAAAACACCACACCAAAAAAAAACCCACAAGCAAACCGGTTGCTGTTTTATCATTTCATCATGTTGCAGCTGATCTCTTTGTTGCAGAGACCCACTTGGTGGTGCAGGAGAAAGACTCAAAATAAGTAAATAATGTCTCTTCCCAACTCCCATCTCCACTCCCTACAAAATAGGCAGTGCTTCTCAATAAAAGAACGTGCAGTTGGGGACAGCCCATAGTGCAGATGTGGAGCATCTGTTTTGCATGCAGAACGACCCAGGCTCAATCCCTCAAATTTCCCGGTACAGTGGTACCTCGGGTTAAGAACTTAATTCATTCTGGAGGTTTGTTCTTAACCCAAAACTGTTCTTAACCTGAGGTACCACTTTAGCTAATGGGGCCTCCCGCTGCCGCCACCCCATTTCTGTTCTCATCCTGAAGAAAAGTTCTTAACTCGAGGTACTATTTCTGGGTTAGCAGAGTCTGTAACCTGAAGCATCTGTACCCTGAAGCGTCTGTAACCCGAGGTACCACTGTACTGCAAGGAGAGACCCCCTCATTTGAAATCCCAAAGAGCTGCTACCAGTCAGCTTAGAGGCAATACTAGACTTGATAGACCAAGTGTCTACTTCAGATTAAAGTAGCTTCCTGTTGTCCTGTTTAACTCAGAACCACAAGGACTAGAATCTTAGTTTTAGGGGAAGGGCTGTGATACATCACAACATTGTTCCCCCCCTCCCGACCTTCAAAAATATTTTTTTACTTAAGATGCCAATGCTGACAGATCCAGTTGTGAGTTTCAGTTTTCCAAAGAAGTCACCTCATCTCTCTGAGGTCCCGCTGCCCACCGCTGAATGTGCTTGCCTTGGCTGATGTATTTTTTTCCAAGTTGAGATCTCCTTTGGATCAAACTTTGCAAAGAAGAAGAAGAAGAAGAAGAAGAAGAAGAAGAAGAAGAAGAAGAAGAAGAAGAAGAAAGTGTCTGGTCTGTTGATAGTGAAATGTCAACACTGCTTTGCAGAAAAAGAAGCCAGACTCAGCAAAACACTGGTGACCTGGGGTTATGGCTGTCGTTTCACCGCAGGCCCTTTTTAGCATGCCTGAAATTCAGTCCCAGCAGAAACAGTAGCTGCTGCTGCTGCTGCTGTAACTAGAAAACAAGACCCTGGCAACATCAAATGGTATATTTTAAGGGAGATAAGGCCTGCCCAGGCTTGCTAGAAGGGGATCTGTCATAGAACCAAGTGTAAGAAAATGCAACTCCTGATTCTTCTCTGTATTTGCAATTGGAACAAGTGGTGGCAGACAGCTATGTGTGCTTGTGTTTGTGCTACACATAAAATCATCATGTTTGGGGGCATCTGGGTTTTTGTTTTTGTTTACTTGTGTCCATAGTGGCTTGGAACTCACAGCTCAGGTGTTGTCTGAATGGTACAAGAAAGGTAAATCTCACATCAGTTTTATTCTACTTTTAACAGAGGAAATGGCCAAAAGACCAGTGTAAAATAAAAATGATGATGATTCTTTAGCATAACAAATCCCTTGGACAGAGGAAGGTGTATATTCTGCATTTATAAGTTTAGCTGCAAATTGTGTGTTTCTAAGAGGCCCAGAATCAGCTCTCTCATTTACCACCATCACCAAGTGAAAAAGTTTATCACCCTCAAGGCTGTGAAGAAGTACGCTTGTAAAATTATGGCAGTGAGTGGCAAAATCCCACTAACCAGAATAGGAGGCAGTGCTAGGTTTATTATGGTCAGTACTCTGGCTTAAGGTAAAGGTAAAGGGACCCCTGACCAATAGGTCCAGTCGTGGCCGACTGTGGGGTTGTGGTGCTCATCTCGCTTTATTGGCCGAGGGAGCCAGCGTACAGCTTCCGGGTCATGTGGCCAGCATGACTAAGCCGCTTCTGGCGAACCAGAGCAGTGCACGGAAACGCAGTTTACCTTCCCGCCGGAGCGGTACCTATTTATCTACTTGCACTTTGACGTGCTTTCAAACTGCTAGGTTGGCAGGAGCAGGGACCGAGCAATGGGAGCTCACCCCGTCGCGGGGATTCGAACCGCTGACCTTCTGATCGGCAAGTCCTAGGCTCTGTGGTTTAACCCACAGCGCCACCAGTGTCCCAACTCTGGCTTAGTGGAAGTCAAAACAAATGATCTGGATATTATAGGCACATTTGGATTCTTGGGATCGTGAACAGCTTCTCCCTGAATTATGATCTATTTTGATTGTGTACATGTTAAAAATTGTCACAAAAACTAGGGCTCTCCTGCAGAATTATGATGAAAGAGCAAATTGTATACCTCTCCATTGGGGAAGGGTTGTAAGTCAAGTGATAGAACATCTGCTTTGCATGCAAGTAGGCTCCAGATTCTGTCCACAGTGGCATTTACAGTTAGGGCTGGGAATATTTCCTATGTAAAACCCAGGAAAGCTGATGCCAGTCAGGGTAAACATTACCAAGCTAGATATATCTACTTATAGGAACTGATTGCCTGGGGCTTCTCGTGGTGCTGGATGGACATTTAGCACTCAAAAGGGTTTCTCAAACTTTGTTGAAACTTTACTCCCCTTCCAAACGGTTTGCTCAATCTTCCTGGACGGATCTCTTTACGCCCACAGCGGCACCACAAGCACCAACTGCTTAGTGGGCGAGCATGTGAAAGACCTCGTGAACGGCAGCATATCTCCCTGCTGCCTACGTGCCGAGATCTGCGGATCTGGGTAATAGGGCCAGCCCTACCCTGGAACAGAACGGAGATGGTCACCTCAGGGATCACATTTGGGTTGCCCTTGAAAGACATTCAGCAGGTTCCATTATGTATACCATGGTACAGCACCTCGGTTTCCAAACTCTTGGAAGTCGAACGTTTCAGTTTTCGAACGACGAAAACCCAGAAGTAATTGCTTCAGTTTTCGAACGCTTTTCGGAAGTCGAATGTACCACGCGGCTTCCATATTGAGTTTTCCGTAAGCAAATGTTTCCGGAAATGCATGCTTCGGTTTTCAAATGTTTCGGAAGTCGAACGGTGTTCCGGAACAGGTTACGTTTGAAAACTGAGGTATCACTGTATTTTAAAAATCATGCATTATATATTTTTTCAATCTATAGAGGGCGCCATTCGGATGTTTTACCTGAGGCAACCCACCTTGGCAGTGTGAGCAGTGGCTTTAAAAAAATGGTTAGACCTCAAAGGCTAGAAACTTGGGTGAATTGGGGTTTTGAAGTAAACAGGAACTGGCCTGGCAATGTCTAGTACCCAGAAACACAACCCTCCATATTGAGAGACAGGACACCTTTGCTAGGGCAGAAAAACAATGCACCAATTCGAAATTTGGTGATACTTCAGAATTCTTACATGTAACCTTGCAATTTGAGTTTTTCTTCAGGTCTAATCATTTCTTTAAGCCACTAATGGAAATCATTCAGTATCTAATAGGGGTTCCTCCTTCCCTTAAAATCTAATAAGGTCCACAATTCAAGAGGTCTCAGGTCGCAGTGGTAGACTATGAGCCTTGTATGCCAAAATAAAAAATAAAAAATAAACATTTCAATCTGTGCATGTCGAACTAAAAGCACAGGGAAGGATGCTCTCTGTCAGAGACTCCATAGCTGTTGTCAGTCAAAGGAAATTATGCTAGGCTTGATCAGGGGAGAGGAACAGTTTTCAGACCAAGGGCCACATTCCCATCTGGGCAACCTTTCAGGGGCCACACCTTAGTGGTGGGTGAGGCCTGAGGCAAAGGTTGGTGAACAATAAGCTAATTTCCATGTATGTGAAGCAGGGCTAGTCAGGGTGCACACTGGGGAGATGGGGCATGGCTTATGAGGTGGGAAGGGAGCTCAGTAGGGTCTAAAGGGCCAGGCATAGAGGCCTGGAGGGCCACCTTTGTCCCTTGGGCACCAATAGACAGATCCAGCCTATAGCAGCTCCCTGGAAGATTAGAAAATAAAGAAAAAGAGTGAGATTATACATCCAAATTTTCAGGGCGAGGGGAAATTAAAATAAAAAAGAGGATAACTGACGGACTGAGAGCTTTCCTCACCCACCTCCTCCCCACAACCTTGCATTTTCAAACAGGGATGGATATTCCCATCATGCTTTGCTTGTGAACATCCCAGGTGTGAAGGAAAGTGGCCACAGGCTGTGGCTTTTATACACCATACCTTTAAAGCAGCTTCAAAGCACACACCCATGCCGCAAAAAAGAAAAGAAAAAGGGAGTTGTAGTTTACCCCCTCACAGAGCTACAATTCCCAGCACCCTTAAACTAGTTCCCAGGATTCCTTGTGGTGGAAAATGTGCTTTCAATATACTGAACTAGATGGGGGACACACAGAGCCTGCTGTTCTTATTATGCTATCCCGTTTGGGCACGCCAGCAAGCATGAAGAAACGGGCAAATAAAGCAAAGCAAATAAATAAATAAAAACAACAAAGCAGCCAGGAAGAAAAAAAATTGAAAACAACCGCCATCATTAAATGCTGTTAAATGAAGCCGCCAAGACTAGGATAGAGGTTGAATGAGCTCATTGTTTCCCTCAGTTGAGAAATAAGTCAGTTTCCGATCCTAGGAAAACACCTGCTAAAACTGCTTATTTGTGTGGGGGAAGGAGTGGGGGGAGGAAGATTGTATTAAATGTGTCTTTTCTCACCCTCCCCATCTTCATGGCGTACGTGGTTAAAGTTGCAAGGCTAGGCCTTGCATTGTGGGACAGCAGCAATGAGGCAATAAGCTTGCTTTTTTAGAAGAAGGGAGATTAAAACTGACACTTTCAGGGGATTAATTATTCAGGTTGGAGGCTTTGAGTGCCGGGTGGAGAAAGGTGGAGGGGATGCCCGGTTTTTGTAACCTACACTGTTAGCAGAGTTCCCAAAAGCACACACTATGAAAGCAAGCTGCCTGGAAATTACAACCTTTTAAAAACTTTTCTCGTGTGGGGAATTGCCCATGGTTACTCCATGCTGAGGACAATGCACTCTACACATGCCCAGAGGCACAAACCTTTAGGGAATCATTTCTTTACACGGGTTTTCACACTCTTTCCATTCACAAAATGCCGCCTCAGATGTGGCGGGGGTCACAATTTTGCCAGACTTAACACTTGAAGGCTCTTCCACACACACCCTCACTGTTAAAGTTTCCTGGATAATTTTGGGGCCAGTCTGTACTGCTTCGCAGGGTTATTAGGAGGAGAAAATGTCTTAAAAGGCTGTCAAAATCACTACTAAGGAAATAGACGAGTCTGAGGAAATACTCTCTCCCATTGTGGTTAGAAACCTTCATGAAGGGCAAAAGTATTAAAGATTATTTTGTAAGGTTATGCTTTTTGAATCCGCTGCCTGATCTTGTAAGATCAGAGAGATAAATTAAAATTACCACATGTGGATAATTGGTGCCGGCCTGAAACAATTTGTCACCTGAGGCACAAAACCCAAATAGAAAAATCCCTGCCTTGAACAGGCAATAAAATATAACTCAAATATAAATGGCCCAACGTTTCATTGGACTTTCATTATGCTATCTGAGGCAGCCATCTTAATCTTCACCTCATGGCAAGCAATGACCCTTTCACCTTTTCAACGCTCATTGGTTTTCTGAATCAGATTACCTCCTCTGTGTATGTTGCCCTTTTGAAACAAACAAAAAAATCTCTTCAGATTTTGGTTGGGGTTTTGGGAACAAGTTTTATGAAATAAAAAAACACCAAATAGCCACACACAAAAAAATTAGTGAGGTGTTCTTTACACCTGTCCCTGTACACCCAACCAAAAGAAATTTTGGTTTTAGCTTCTGTTGTAAGCTGCCCCGTTTTCTGTCTGAAAAAGACTGAAATCTAATAGACTTTTCCAGTCTGAGGGAAGCCATGCTGAGAAGTCGCACACTGGTTGTGTGAGAGAAAAGGAGCTCTTTGATTGTTGTGACAGGAGAATAACTTTCCCCTCAGAACAAAACAGTTGTCGCCAAAATACCTGATAACTTTTTGAATTCACTGATGTAAGAGGGAGCCAAGAGAGAGCTAATCTTGATATTTCTGACTCAAAACATCAGTCCCACTGGTTTCCCTTTTAGATTACACAGATAATCCAGTTAAAGATTTCCCCCTTTTCTTCTCTTTTTTGCTTTTTATTACGGTCTTTATCTTCATCTTCCCTTTCCTCTCTTCATTTGTCATCAATGTCGTTTTCCTTTAACACAGGTCAGCCGCCAAGCGCTTATCAGTTACATTTGTTTGATGTTTCTACAGCTTTACAAATGATAAAACGCCTAGGTGTTTTTTTAAAAAAAAAATGTCAGCAGTGCAAGCATGGCTCTTTTGAAGCTGGCAAAACTAATTTGCTACCTGTATGCAGTTTCCTCAGGAAAAAAAATATACCTGTTTTATTTTTATTTTATATTATTTTATTTATTTACAACATATACACAGGAAAACCTAGCTATTACCTAGCTGGAATATTTGATTAAAACAAAAATAAATCCAATGATAAGTTAATATATCCCTTCCAGCAAAACCGAGCTGAGGAACTAGTTGTCTCATGAATAAATGGCAACTACAACTGTTTTGTTGTAATGGCAGGTAGCAAATAGTGGAAATTGTTCTTTGAGGAGTAGAAGCACAGAATTTAAATTGAGGAAAGGGTGGCGGGGATATAACTGCCATTACAACTTCTTTGCAGCAAATGCAAGCCCTACCCCTTCCCGGTTTTTGTGACAGTTGCAGCTGGGATGCCATGTACCGCAGCGACAAAAACAGACCGATTACGAGACATTTTCCTGGATTACATGAAGTGCCAGTGAGAGAGAGAAATTCCAGAGAACTCTTTCATTACGTGCCTCAGTTTCCCCACCCACACTCTTTTTAAAGACATTAGGACACTGGCCACTTCCTCACCAAAGGATGAGGTAACGAAGAAACAAAGTGGCTTTGGGTGTTGTGTTTGAGGGGGATAGTTTGGTTTAGTTTGGATTTTATTACAGATTTGCACTTCCTGGAGCAATACGTCAACCCCAATACCCACATCTACGCTGCAAGATTTGCACTTATACAAATTTTGTGCTGCAGTTCTGCAATGGGTTAAAAAATGTGAATATCAGGGGGCATTCATTAAAATTGCAGACTAAAAGGCATTAGGTTAGGGAAATGTGCTTGCAAAAGTGTCTATATTAGGCAAAAGCTATTTTTTTTAAAAAAATGTATATTATGAGAAATACACACTAAATATTGACAATTTTTTGTGATTACCTTTTAAAAAAATGGTAAACTGATGTGGAAATGTTGCAAACTGAATTTACGACTGAATAAGAAACTGACAAGATTTATCCATCCCTTTATGTGGGAAAGAGGTGGTATACAGTATATCCTTGGTGAATCTGTTGCATCCAACTTTTTACTCAATAGTGGTAGATTCATCAAAGTTAATGGCCTACTCTGAGAATGACTTAAGGTTGGACACAGCCCCATTTATTCAGTATCAATGCGTGTAAGAAGATTCCCAAAGGCTTCCAGGTCTTTGCAAAAAGTTGGCCCAGACTGGCAGAGTCAGCAAATTTCTCATCCAGGGCTCATTTCCAGCCAAGAAAAGCCGTTGCTGGATGAGAAGTTAAGCAACTCAGCCACACCCAAAGCCAGAGTGACAAAACGGTTTGGGGATTGGCGTCATTTCCCACCTCAATTTTCATTATTTTATTTTTAAAGGTGCATGGTCTGATCTGGGTTTGCAGAAAGGCCTAGCTAAGAACAGGCATCATTTTCAAGTTGGCAATGTGTGTGTGTGTGGGTGTGTGTGTGTGTATGGGTATGTAAGTGCCATAAAGGCTGCAAGGGGGTGCAAGTTGGTTGTGTTGTGTGGAGGCTTGTTTGGTTAGATTCCATCTCATATCTAGGAAGGAAGAAAACTGTTTTGAAATTGCTGTAAAAGCCAATGGCAGGGAAAGAAAAATTGAGCAATGATTCAGCAAAGAAACAAATTTAGAGTGCAGGAAGGTTGATTAACCAAACAGCATATTTATCTCTTCTGAACACAAGTGAACATTTGCAATTAAGAATAAAGTCTACAGATATTCCAGAATTGCTTTGAGAATGTTATTCACTGAGAGATGTGAATACTCTAAAAATCTAACTTCTGAGGTACTATTCAAAATATATACAGTACCTCTCATCTTTGGATCTGAAGATGTAGACTGTGAAGAATCTGAGGAACACGAAAATGTCAGTTAGTGATTTTTCAGTCAGCACTCCTAAGCCTTTAATAGTTGCACAACAGGCAGAAATTAAAGAGGGAACGTTTCTCCAGAATTCAAAGTGAAAGTCATACAAGATTGTTTCCATTTGTTCCCTTTCAGGAACCTGGGATGACTACAAATCTCTCCAGGGCACTCCCAAAAGCTTTGGGTCGATGCCTGGAAGGGACATCAGTCTCACATTACAAGGTAGAAGATGGCTTTTCCATGTAGCTGTTTATCAATATAGCACCTTTTTGCCACCTAAAGGGACCCTTTCCTGCTTCTAAATCTTTCCTCTGATCTCCACAACTGTGGTCTCTCTTCTTAGCTTTCCTGGCTCTTTCTCCTCAACAAGCCTTTTCTCTTTAAAAGCTACTGGCATGAAACATTTGCTTCAAGATGCAGGGAAACTCTTGCATTAGCTTCTGCTGCAACAGCCTAAAACTTCTCTGGTTCCTTCCCTCTCACATTTCACGTCTACATTTCAAGATTCTAGTCCTCACTGTGCAAACATCTCTCTCTCACTCTTCTCCCCACTTATGTTACTTTCTTTGTTCCTCACAATATCACTGGTGCTATGGGCACTGGACAGAGGCTTGAGGGTATTGTGCCAAGGGATGTAATCTCACTGGGGTACTCTGGAGAAGGGTCATGCCATTGGTACCAAAAATTGGGCAACACAGGGGTGTGGAACCTCTGGCCTGAAAGACAAACACAAGCACCCAAGGTTCTCTATTTGGCACTTGGGCTCTCTCCAAGCCACACCCTTCACTGGTCTTCACTGGTGTCTCAAGGTGGGGAGTGAGCATGTGTACTTAAAAATGGAAAGCGTAATGCTGGTGGTCAACAAAAGTGGTTTAAAGACTGTCTCAAGGCAAATCTAAAAAAAGTAGTATAAACACTGACAACTGGGAAACACCAGTTGGAGAACAGCCTTTACCAAAGGTGTCATGGGTTTTGAAGACACTCGAACTCAGGACGCAAGGGAGAAATGTCCTTAGAGGAAGGCACGCTTGGCAAATCCACACCGTGATCAACTCCTGCCCGGAAACCAATGTGCCCTCCACAGTCCCTTACGGACTCATTGTTAAAACCATGTTTATGGAAGACAATCTTACTCAGCTATGAGTGATTGCCAAAGAAGATAAAGAACATTTGCATTCATTGCTCCACACAGTATTGTTTCTGGCCCAGCCCACCAATGGAAAGTTGCCCAGAAGGAAATGTGGTCCTTAATCTGAAAAAAAGGGTCTGCACCTCCATTTTAGCACTGCTGTCTATGCATTTGTCTGACAGTCCAGCTCTGAGTGCAGATTCTGGAAAATGAGAAACTGCAGCTTGGCTGTCTAATAAGAATGGGCTGGCCCTGTCATGGCTGCTTAAGCGTTTTTGTGGCTTTAAACAGAAAATCCACAACAATGTCCTCCTTGCCTCCTGCCAATTAACATGGGCCACAATCCAGCGACATCTGGGTTTGGGTGTTTATTGGTTTTTGCACAGTGCTGAAATAAGCAGTTGCTCTGTTTAGTGAATGTGGAATTCCTCAGAACCCGGTGCTTCCCACTAATTTTAATTGGCAATAAAACTAAGCCAATCTTGCAAAGCCTGGATAAAAATCTTTCGAACTTCTCCCATACTGCTCAGCCGAGGAGGAGTTTGGAATTTTTGAAAGCCTCGATGATACCAGATGCATATTGCATTTCTGTTCCATCACCAGCCCTTCTGGCAAGTAGAGAAGTGGGAATTGTTTAAAGGGCATTATGAATGTAGGAAGCTGTCTTAAGCCCAGTCAGACCACTGGTCCATCTTGCTCCATACTGTCTACACTAACTGGCAGTGATTCTCCAGGGTTTCAGACATGCAATTAATCCCAGCCCTACTCGAAGATGCTCAGGGCAGGGATGTGACTTTGTTCATTGTGTCTCTCAATACCAGAGAATTTAAGGGGTGGGAAAAGACTGCATGGAGGGGACTTCAAGACCCAATTGTGGGCTTCCTGCTGGGATGGATCCAAGAAGGCAAATTCTTGTGTGGCAATGTACCAGCTTGTGTATCTGAAAAAGGAGTGTGTCCCCAGGACAACCTCAGAGCCAAGTGTGGGCTAACCTTAACACACCAGGTGTGCGAAAGTACATTGCAAGGAATGTTCTTGAGGTGTGCTCCTCTCGGTTCAGCTTTCAGGAACCAGTTTGGTTAAGGTAATTGAGCAGAGAAAAAGGGCTCGCTGCACCCATCTCTCCCCAGAACCCCCCTTGTGAGCATTAGTCAGGGGAATTTTATCTGATCTCCCCAATTCGAAAACAAAGGGGCAGCTTGATCTCCCCGGAAGGTATAGGAATGTTTACAGGAAGATGCAGAATACAGGAGGCTGGTAACTAGGGGAACCTCTCGTCTTTTGAAAGAACGTCTCATTCTTCTCTAAGAAAATGTGTCATAATGTTTATGAAGAGTTCTCTGAAAACACGTATGTGGCAATGAATAATGGAAGGGGAACAAAAGCGTCCACTGTCCCTCATGTTTTAAAATATTTTTTTTAACACCCAGAGACGGCGCGCATGCCATTGAATGAATGAGACATGCATTACACACATGCATCCAAAGCAAGTAATTGTGGCATCATTTGTTTTGGGTATAAGGAAGGAAGCAACTTGTGCTTCACATCTCCTCTGAAAGGACAGCCTCTCATCTCCCAGCGAAATAGGACCTCAAGTGCCAACCAAATGAGCAAGTCATGCGGAAAAGGACAGTTAAGCTAGAACGTCACAGACGCCCAGACCTGTCCCAAAACACAGGTGCACACAACGCCCCAGTCTAGCCCAGCCTGTCGTGAAGTCTTATGTTTGTGCAAAGGGGTTTGTGCTTGTTCAACCTGTTTCCTCTCTACTCTGCTCTCGAAGCTGGAGTTTGTAAGCTTCTTGGGGAAAGGGCCTTTGGACTGCCCACCCATTTTTGCTTGGCCACAAGGCAATAATACTGTGTAAATAGTAAGGACCAGGGGTTAGGGGAGTTATAGTCCAATAACAAATGGAGGGCACCATACAGTGGTACTTCAGGTTAGACGCTTCAGGTTACAGACTCCGCTAACCCAGGAATAGTACCTCGAGTTAAGAACTTTGCTTCAGGATGAGAACAGAAATCGCACAGCGGCGGCGCGGCGGCAGGAGGCCCCATTAGCTAAAGTGGTACCTCAGGTTAAGAAGAGTTTCAGGTTAAGAACGGACCTCCAGAACAAATTAAGTTCTTAACCCAAGGTACCACTGTACTAGGGAGATTCGCCAAGCCCGCTCTTTCCTGTTTTTCCATTTCCTGTCTTCTGGAATTCTTTTTATAAATGGTTTGTTTTGCTTTTCCCAGCATCGTGTTTTGAACTCATGGTTGCTCTCTTACTGTAACCCCCTCAGGGATGGAAATTGCCTTCTCGTGCCATACATAGTGCCATCTACTGAAATAGCTCTATAATTTAAATAGCTCCTCGACACATCACGCATCTAGTCAAGCACAATAAATTAAACTAATTTACATGATTAAATTGTCCAAGGGATGATCATCAGTTGATGTTGTTTATCCCTCTGTCTTATGAATATGGTAGCATATTATCTCCTTCTATATTTGACCAATATGTTGTTACTTCAGCAGTTAAGCCGTTATAGTTGTTGGGTTTTGGGGGTGTGGAGCGTGTGCAAGTGTGTGTTCCAGAGTTTTATTTGTTTATTGGTGCTTCTGTTTGGAAAACTGCATTCAACAGTTTTTGATACATACATATATATATAGAGAGAGAGAGAGAGAGAGAACCTTAAGAGTAAACATTTACAATAAATCACATGAAGCTGAACATAAGGAGGATTTGGGACAGACAAAAGACGGTATATCTTTATGCAGTGCATAAACTATGGAATTTATTTTCATAGGAGGCAGTGACGACCACCAAGTACCCCATAATGCTTATATTCTGCAGCCACAACTGGAGGCAGCCATGCTTGATGCAGCAGAGAGAAAGAAAAAAGCTAACGCTATTCTAGGCTGCATCAACAGAAATACATGTAGTGTCCAGACCAAAGGAAGTAATAGTACCACTATATTCTGCCATTCATTCTGCCACACTATATTCTGCCATTCATTCATCCATTCTGAATGAAATCAGCCCTGAGTGCTCACTGGAAGGACAGATCCTGAAGCTGAGGCTCCAATACTTTGGCCACCTCATGAGAAGAGAAGACTGCCTGGAAAAGACCCTGATGTTGGGAAAGATTGAGGGCACAAGGAGAAGGGGATGACAGAGGATGAGATGGTTGGACAGTGTTCTCGAAGCTGCCAGCATGAGTCTGACCAAGGTGCAGGAGGCAGTGGAAGACAGGAGTGCCTGGCATGCTCTGGTCTATGGGGTCACGAAGAGTTGGACACAACTAAACAACAATATTCTGCCTTGGTCAGTTCTGGGCGCCACAATTTAAGAAGGATGTTGGAACATGTGCAGAGGAGGGCTACCAAGATGATCAAGAGTCTGGAAATCAAGCCTTATGAGGAACAGTTGAAGGAGCTGGATATGTTTAGCCTGGAAAAGAGGGGACTGAAAGGAGATATGAGAGCCATCTTCAAATATCTGAAAGGCTGTCACATGGAAGAAGGAACAAGCTTGTTTTCTCCTGCTCTGGAGGGTAGGACTCAGACCAATGGCTTCAAGTTGCAAGAAAGGAAATTTAGACTAAATATCAGAAAGAACTTTATGGCAGCAAGAGCTGTTAGATAGTGGAACGGGCTCCTTTGGAAGGTCGTGGGCTCTCCTTCCTTGGAGGTTTTTAAGCAGAGGTTCGATGGCCATCTGTCATGGATGCTTTAAGTTGAGATTCTTACATTGCAAGGAGTTGGAATAGATGACCCTGGAAGGTCCCTTCCAACTCTATGATTCTGAATACCAGTTGCTATTGCACTTGGGTCCTGCTTGCAGGCTTCACACTGGGGCATCTGGTTGACTACTGTGAGACCAGGATGCTGGACTGAATGGGCCACTGGTCTGATCCTGCCACAGGGCTCTCCTGATGCAATTCTTTCACAGGTTTGCAAAAATTCAGCTTTTCATGAGGCAGTACTCCCTGCACCCTGAAGCAGAAACCCAGCCCCACAGAGCATTCACAGCCCTGCTTATGGATCTCTGGGAGTTTTTTTTTACCTGAAAATGAGAGGGTGGGGAGGAGGAAGTTGCAAGAGTTGCTAGAGGCTCCATTGCACAAGGGAAGCCTACACCACAATGAGCCCTGCTGCCGCCACTCCTGCCGAAGAAAAGCAAAATTGCATCAGGGGCTCGAAAGTCATCCTTTACTCACATGAGGATTCCGGCTCCTTGGAAAAGGGGGAGGGAGCAGGCATTGTGAAAGAGGGGCCGTTTTGTTGTCTTGGGCAACCGGAGGCCGTTTAAGAAAATAAAATAGATGACTGAAGAAGAAGAAGGAGAGGAGGAGTTTGGATTTGATATCTCGCTTTATCACTACCCGAAGGAGTCTCAAAGCGGCTAACATTCTCCTTTCCCTTCCTCCCCCACAACAAACACTCTGTGAGGTGAGTGGGGCTGAGAGACTCCAAAGAAGTGTGACTAGCCCAAGGTCTAGCTGCATGTGGAAGAGCGGGGACGCGAACTCGGTTCACCAGATTACGAGTCCACCGCTCTTAACCACTACACCACACTGGTGAAGCTGTACCCACTTTCCAAGATTGCTCCCACAATCCATGGCTGGCTCCATGGCCTTGTTTCTGAAGAACAAGATCTCAAGGCAAGAGCTGGGATGCATCAAGAAGGAAAAGCACTTGTGTCTGTGGAAAGCGTAACTTGTAAAGAACCACCCCATAGCCACGTAGGAGGTTGCCTTCTACAGTGGTACCTCAGGGTACAAACACCTCAGGTTACAAACAGTTCGGGATACAGACTCTGCTAATCTGGAAGTAGTGCCACGGGTTAAGAACTTTGCCCCAGGATGAGAATAGAAATTGCGGCGGCAGCGGGAGTCCCCATTAACGAAAGTGGTACCTCAGGTTAAGTTTCAGGTTAAGAACGGACCTCCAGAACGAATTAAGCTCGTAACTAGATGTACCACTGTACCCAGACAGAGCATTCGTGTTTGTAGCTCAATATCGTCTGCACGATATCAGCAGCAGCTCTCCAGGGTTTGAGGCAAGGACTCTATCCTAGGCCCTACCCTGCAGGTTTGATTTATTTCATTTCTTTCAAATGAATCTCAAAAGTGGCGTACAAACAATCAATAACAATGACCTAATAGAACATCGCAAATACAGTGGTACCTCAGGTTACATACACTTCAGGTTACAGATTCCGCTAACCCAGAAATAGTGCTTCAGGTTAAGAACTTTGCTTCAGGATGAGAACAGAAACTGTGCTCCAGTGGCGCGGCGGCAGCAGGAGGCCCCATTAGCTAAAGTGGTGCTTCAGGTTAAGAACAGTTTCAGGTTAAGAACGGACCTCTGGAATGAATTAAGTACTTAACCCAAGGTACCACTGTACATACAAAATAATTAACAAATTATAAATAAAGCAATCCATAAAACACTATTAGCAAAATAGCAACTAAAAAAAAAAATAAGCTAAGCACTGCTAAGTTCATACACATTCTCCACACCCCCATGACTCGCAATCCTTCTCTCTATTCAGTTCACTAAAATACAGTAGTACCTCTGGTTGCGAACGGGATCCGTTCTGGAGTCCCATTCGCAACCTGAGCAGAATGCAACCCACGTCTGCGCACGTGTGGGTTGCAATTCGCCATTTCTGTGCATGCGCGTGATGTCATTTTGAGCGTCTGCGTGAGTGGCAAATCCAGAAGTAACCCTTTCTGGTACTTCCGGGTTGCCGCGGGACGCAACCTGAAAAGATTTCACCCGAAGCGTCTTTAACCCGAGGTATGACTGTACTTGTATGGAAGACACAAGATCCGCCCACTAGGGAAGAATGGCAGATGAAGTTGATGGACTACATGGAACTGGCGGAAATGACTGGCAGAATTCGAGACCAGGGAGAAGAGTTGGTGGAAGAAGATTGGAAAAAATTTAAAGTATATTTACAAAAATATAATAAAATTAATGAATGTTAGATGGATGTTGGAATGAAGTTACATGGTTTTAGCAGAAATGTTATTAAGAACTAAGTAAAAATGGGTTGTTAATGGGTTAAAGGGTAAAATTTAAGGTCAGATCGGGTTAAGGTAATTTATAGAACAAAAATTGAGAAAGATGGAAAGGATTTGTTGAAACAGCTAAATTGAATTAGAATACAAAAAAGGGAGGTGTGAGGAGGTCGATGAAACAAGTAAATGAAAGATAAGGATATGGAAATACTGGATGTGTTTTTTAAATGTTTTTGTTTTTAAATGTTTTTGTTTTTGTTTTCCCTCATTGTTGTGCTGTATTGTTTCTTATTTTTTTGTCTTTTTTATGTATTGTATTGTAACTTTTTAATTTCTTTTTTTAATTTTTTTCTGTAATTGTTAAATTTTTAATAAATATCTTTTAAAAAAAAATATGACTGTACTTGTAATGTCTGTTGTTAAGCCAGCTCAGCCAGATGTTGCGCGAGATGCTGGGCACTGAACCTGGTGTTTTCTGTGTGCGGAACAGGGGCTCTACTACGAAGCCACAGCCCTTCCTCTACTGGCAACTGACACCAGCAGGTTAAAATCAAGCTGGCCTTGAACTCTTGTCTGCTTCTGAAAGTAGAAAAGGGACCTGCTTCAAGGCATGCACAGACGACGGCAATGCTAGGCGACTAGTTGGTCGGGGTCTGAAGGCTGGATTCCTCAGAAAGCTTGTCGCTCACTAGGAGAGTGAAAAACAACAAGAAACCATCCCCTCTGTATTGTGAGCCCAACTCTGTGGAACTCCCTCCCACTAGAAGTCAGGCAGATGGTGACTCAGTCATGCAGGATATTTTCCATAGAGTTGGAAGGGACCCTGAGGGTCATCTAGTCCAACCCCCTGCAATGCTGGAATCTCAGCTGAAGTATCCATGACTGATGGCCATCCAACCTCTGTTTAGAAACCTCCAAGTAAGGAGAGCTCACAACCGCCTAAGGGAGACTATTTCACTGCTGAACAGCTCTTACTGTCAGCAAGTTCTTCCTTCTGTTTAGTCGGAATCTCCTTTCTTGTAACCTGAAGCCACTGGTTCAGATCCTACCCTCCGGAGCAGGAGAAAACAAGCTGGCTCCCTGTTCCATGTGACAGCCCTTGAGATACTTGAAGATGGCTATCGTATCTCCTCTCAGTCTCCTCTTTTCCAGGCTAAACATACCCAACTACCTCAAACGTTCCTCATAAGGCTTGGTTTCCAGACTTTTGATCATCTTGGTTGCCATCCTCTGCACAAGTTCCAGGTTGTCAATATCCTTCTTAACTTGCGGTGCCCAGAATTGGGCACAGTATTCCAGGTGTGGTCTGAGCAAGGCAGAATAGAGTGGTACTATTACTTTCCTTGATTTGGACACTAGACTTCTGTTGATGCAGCTTAGAATAGCGTTCGCTTTTTTTTGCTGCTGCTGCTGCTGCTGCATCACACTGTTGACTCATGTTCAGCTTGTGGTCTATTATGACCCCTAAATCCTTTTCACATGTACTGCTAGTAAGCCAGGTGTCCCCCATCTTATATTTGTGCATCTGGTTCTTCCTGCCTAAGTGCAGAACCTTACATTTGTCCCTATTGAAATTCATTTTGTTACGTTTTGGCCCAGGTTCTCAAATCTCTTAAGGTCATTTTGAATCCCAATCCTGTTTTCTGTGGCATTAGTTATCCTTCCCAGTTTGGTGTCGTCTGCAAATCTGATGAGCACCCTCCCAGTTCCTGCATCTGTTTATAAATCTATTGAACAACAACAGGCCCCAGACAGAACACTGTGGCACTCCACTTGCCACTTTCCCCCCAGGGTGCTGAGGAACCATTAGTAATAATTCTTTGGTTTCCGTCAGTCAACCAGCTACAAATCCAAATTTTGACCAATTAAATGTGCCTATTTCACAGTCAAGGAACACTGAGGTGGAAACATGAAGTGCTTAAGGGCAAGGCAAGATGTGTAAATATATCGTTTATTTTTATTTACATGCAGTTTCACGGAACGAGTTGTTGTTCCAGTGGAGAGTACCAAATAGGAAACACCAAGACTGAGAGAGAACATTGCCACTGAGCAAGCAATGCTAAGCGTAAGTACACTACAATACTATGATCCTATGATGGCTGTGTTTTTGTGCAGTTGTGTGAAAGCCTCGCTGACTTACTGCAGCAAGGGGAACAATCTACCAGTCCCCTGGGGTAAAGCAAAAACAGCATATGTACTTCTGCGTTTGAACAGAGAGCATAACACTTATTACTCAGTCCACACTCACCTTTCCCCAAGTTCCCAACTCCCTGCAAGCTAGAAAGTAAGTTAGTTAAAGATCAGAGGGTAGTAGGTGCCAGTCATCTAAAAGCCCCCAGGTCTTTCTCTCTCTCTCTATGAAGAGCTGAATGCCAGGTTATGTTTGCAACAGTGTTGGTGGTTGCCTTGAATTTTTGATGGATGCCAATTACAGATTTAAAAGCACTTAGTCACCCATGCGCGGGTGATAAATCCTTTCAAACAGGTTTTTCCAACCTGCAGCGGAAAACCTCCTATTCCTGCTGGGTTCAGGCCATCAGCATCCCTTTCCCCGCTTTTTAACAAGCCAAACAACGCCACCAAAGAAAATATTGAAGAGTCACTGAAGCCCAGTAAAAACTGACTCCTGGCCTGACTCTTTATGATACCCCCCAATATCCAGCTTGCTATCAGAAGGTCACGTTTCTGTCCTACCAAAAGGAAAAAGGGGGTGCAGAGCCGTGCAAAAGCCAACAACGCAGGTTGATCTAGAACACCTGAACGCAATGATTTACTCAACCGTGAGTCAAGGGTTCTCTGTCCATGTTCAGGGACACCCTGTCATAGCTTCGTTTTTGTTCCGGAGCTCAACTGTGGCATTACGGACATGCCTTTTCTTTTCCTTCAAGCGGATGAAAGCCAAACTGAGTCAGAGTTGGGTGGCGACCCACGTCACCTGTTGCCCCAACTTCAAGTATTCTTGAACCAGAAAAGAATCCTGCTCCTTCCTCTCCCCCCCTTGCCCCTCCCCCTCCGCCAAGTGTTTCGTAAGTGTGTTACGTAAGAAGAGGAGCTCGGCTGAATCAGATGCCGAGTGACCATCTAAAGTTTAATCTAGAGGCCGAAGTGGTGCCCTAACAGGAAACTTGACCGGAAGGACACCTTCTCCCCTCCCGTTTTCAGCAGCTGACGTTCAAGGGATATTTCCCCCCTAGCATTTTAGCAATCAATCAATCAATCAATCAATCAATCAATCAATATCAAGGCAGACTGCCTCTGAGCATGGGAGGTTCAGTTTTAAGCCACCACCATGGTTAAAAGGTCTTTGATAGAGGTCTCCTCTGTGAATTGGTTCCATCTTTCCCCCCCTGACAGTCACCTGAGCTTTAAAAGACAAGAGCTGCAAGACAGAACCTATCATTAGGCAAAGTGAATTATCATTATTATTAGCGTTCCACAGATAGACAGACAGACAGACCAGGGCAGTTCAATTTTTCATGCCAAGTGGGCTGCAAGAGAACTTCCAACACAGGACCTGTGGGCCACACACTGAAGTAAATTTCCATATCGTAAATAAAAAGTGTTCACAATATGTTTTATATTATTTAATGTACACAATTTATATATTTAATTAAATATTTATAATTATATACACAATAGGCTTAACTATTAAAGAAATTTTATACACCAACAGATGCATGCGCTTTCATTAACAATGCATGACACACACAAAATTTAATTTTTAAAGGCTTTAAGGTGTTCTTTCCTGAATGTTGCTGAGGGCTGCCAAAAAAAGCCTCATGGGCTGCACCACCCTGATATACCAAAATGCTAAAACCACTTAAATACTAAAAGTAACTAAAACAACTTAAAAAGCACTTAACGTAAGTACCTAAAAAGACCCCGATGGACCTGCTACCGGGATGTTACGCAGGCCGGCCCTGAGTAACTATTTCCATGCATCAACTCCCATAACCATTAAAGTGACCTATTTGCATCTGATAAAGGATATTAGGGGCAGGGGGCAAGGTAGAATTTATGAGCCGAGCTGCTGTTGACTCAGTCCTCTGAAGAGGTGTGTGTGTGCGTCTCTCTTCCCTTCCCACCTGTGGGTCCTCTGCAGCTTTCCGGGAACGAGCTGCGACAAAGATGAATCACTTGAGCAATGTGCACACACACCTGCCGTTAAATGCCCCCCCACTCTAGGCACCAGTTTCAGTGGGATCCCTTGTCAACAAGACACACCTTACGCATCCTTAGAAAAGAACAACTTGGCCTGACCCCGACCTCGACCCGCCAAGGCCCCTGGGGCTAATGCAGTAGTTCGCAGCGAGGCCAACCAATCAATGAGACCGCCAGCCAAGCTGCAATTTCTCAAGAAAAGGTATTTTAATTACGGGCCTCCACAGGGGATGTGGTGACCATGAAAGACAGGCTGGCCAGCGCGAAGGAGAGAAACTTGGCATCCCTCCAAGAATGCGTTTCCACAAACAGCTTTTCTGAGAAAGAGGGTTCTGCTCTCCTGCGGCCTGGTTGTTGTACATGCTGCTCTGCCAGTCAACCAAGAAAAATTGCAAGATTTTGAGGGATGTTCGAAGAAGGCAGCGGGGATGCTTTGATGTACGGCCTGGGCTGGTTCAGCTCTAGCAAACAAGGATTCCTTGCTTGATAAGATGACCTGTCTCCAAACTGTGGGGGCATCAATGCAACTTGGTAAAGACAAGGATCTTGAAATGTATCGTGACCTTGAGGTGCCCCAAAAGCATGACACTTGTGAAATGATTCACACACACACAGCTTTTGCTGTTGTTTCTGTTACTTGTGCATGTCCTGGCAAGTTGATGATGGGGGTCTCACCTCTCCTTTAGAAAAGATCTTCAGCATTTCTGACACGAGCTTCCCGGAGCTCGTGGAGCCTGCGCAGCACCTCGTGCGAATCCCGCTCACCATATTGGTGGTTGTTGCGGCTACGGATGTTGACGGTGCGGTTGGACTTCTCCTTCCGGCCGACCACTAGAAGCAAGAACATAAGATTAAGGGGAGGCTGCTGGGTCAGGCCAATGGCCCATCAAGGTCCAGCATCCTGTTCTCACAGGCCACCCTGTTGCTTGTGGTAAACCCGCAAACAGGACCCAAGCTCAAGATTAACAATCCCCTGCCTTGTGTTTTCCAGCAACTGGTATTCAGAAGCATTGCTGCGTCCAGCTGTGGAGGTACAACACAGCCTCTCCATCATGGCTAGTAGCTCCATGAATTTGTCTAATCCTACTCTGAAGCCATTCAGGTTGGTGGCCATCATTACCTCCTGGGGGAGGGAGTTCAATAATAATAATTATTTTTTATTTATATATATATATATATATATAAATTATTTATACCCTGCCCAACTGGCTGGGTTTCCCCAGCCACTCTGGGCGGCTTCCAACAAAGATTAAAAATACATTAAAACGTCACACATTAAAAGCTTCCCTGAACAGGGCTGCCTTCAGATGTCTTCTAAATGTCAGGTAGTTGTTTATTTCTTTGACATCTTACAGGAGGGTGTTCCACAGGGCGGGTGCCGCCACTGAGAAGGCCCTCTGCCTGGTTCCCTGTAGCTTTGCTTCTCACAATGAGGGAACTGCCAGAAGGCCCTCAGTGCTGGACCTCAGCGTCCGGGCTGAATGATGGGCGTGGAGACGCTCCTTCAGGTATACTGGACCGAGGCCGTTTAGTTTACCGTAACTACACACTGCATGAAGAAGCACTTTCATTCTAAGAAGTAGTAGAGAAGAAACAGGAAGAGACATGGAGATTTGGAGGAGACCACTTGGCTACATGGATTGCAAGCTTTCAGGGGACATAAAACAAACTCCCCATTGTTTTTAAAAATTGCCCTTACACTTGCAAGCATATAGCCCAAAGCATAACAACTCGAAACTTGATTCTGAGCGCTCTCCAGAGACTTCGCTTATTCTTCACCCTTTTGGATGCTGCAGCTGTACAAGAAGTTCGGATCATGCATATAGCCCAAACTTTTAATCAACCTAAGGCAGCTGGGGGGGGGGGGAATGATCCAACTTGGTATAATGTAGCTTCCTACGATGAGGAAGGGCTGTAGCTCAGGGGCAGAGCAGAAGATCCCAGGCTTATTCGCCGGCACCTCCATCTACGGCTGGGGAAAGACTCCCCCCTGCCAGAAACAACAGAGAGCCAGTCAGTGTAGACAATGCTGAAGCTAGATGAACCAATTTGGTCTGACAGTTAAGGCAGGCTATTCCCACTCGCTTTCAGAGATGCCAGCTCACCAAACTGGAAGTTGTACTGGGCCAGCTGGGCTTTTCGGATCTTGCGGTTGAGGGTTAAGCTTTGGTCGGCATTGATGTCTGCCATGAATCCTGCCTGGTGGAAGAGCTGGTGGACCTGAAACACAAGGGGGAGAGTGTGTGAGAGAAGTGTCAAATAGTTAACCCAGCTGCAGTCTGCTTGGAAGGAGGCAGTGGGAGAAGAGGAGGTACCGTATTCTTCCATGTATAACACAGCCCCATGTATAAGATGACCCCTATTTTTTGGGAACGCAGCAAAAAATTTGGAGTGGGGATTGCCCAAAGTTGTTGAGCTTTTTGGGGGGAGGTTACCACTGCCAATTGCTCTACAGCTTACAAATCGCACGCATCACCACGGCCACCAATCGTCTGCACGCTCGCTGCCAAAAGCCCACCTGCCCACTTGATGCAACCACAGCCGATTGTACGCATGCCTCGCCGCTGGCGTAAATCACATGCCCAATTGCTGCAGCCGCAGCCAATCATCAGCGGACCTTGCCTTGCCACAGCAACCAATCACACGCCCAATCGGCGCTGCCCGCTGCTGCCACCAATCACCTGGACCCCCTCTGCTATCCGTGTATATGACGACCTACAATTTTTGCCTAGTATAAGGAAAAATTACCATCTTATACACGGGAAAATACTGTATTTGCAGTCCCCTCTCTATTCCGAGCAGGTGATGCCTCATAGGCAGCTACTCTGCCCATTCCTCACTTCCTTACTGGTAATCACACACCCCAGTTCTATCCCTCCAAGGCAGCTACACTTTATAAAAATATATATTTGTCTACACTAAACATTCTGTGGCAAAGCAATTCTGGGCCTTTCCATCTGCATGCCTTAACCCCTTTCACTGCATGAAACTTATTAATAGTATTTAACATTTGGCTAGGGGACATGGGGCGGCAGGGAGTGATTAAAAGGAGGTCAAACAATTAAATAGAAGTCCTGCCCACGATAGATTTGGGGGGGGGGCACGCTTTCTTGACCTCCTCTACAGCTTTTTCCACATTTCAGCAGAAGCTACTACGGCACACTTTTCACACCATGAGGACTAGAGTATTTTTTTTTTAATGCACTGAAATGTTAATGCACTGAAATTCCTAGAAAGCTGAATTGTGCACCTAATACTTCTCCCCTTCACTGTTTCCTTACATGATTTCACAGAGTATAATGCTTTGTGTATAATGAACAGGCAGATCCATGCTAGTTCTTCTTGTCTCTCACCTCGCAGGCATAGTCCTCCACGTCTGGGCCAACAGGGATCACCATAATTTGGAACGGGGACAGCCAGAAGGGCCTGCAATGAGAGCAGAAGGCACAACACCCTCAAGTCAGCCTAATTCTTCCTTCCCCTCCTGCAGCTACCACTTCCTGGGTGATCTATTGATTTATTAACTTTTATGGCTGACACTCAGCAGCTTTTGCAGCTTCACAAAAACCCACAGTTCTGATTCCTTGACTGCTTTTGCCCCAGCATTGCAGCATTTTCTGTTCACAATAAACCTTGGAGAGCGTATATAGCTGGCTCCACAGGGACAATGCCAGCTTAACACTTAAAAGTTGGACATTTCGATTGTTGGTTTTTCTTTGACAGGTAGAAACACAGCAGCAGGGAGTGATCCGGCCTATTTATAAGAACGTAAGAACTGGGACACGGGTGGCGCTAGGGACGCGGGTGGCGCTGTGGGTTAAACCACTGAGCCTAGGACAGAAGGTCGGCAGTTCGAATCCCCACGACGGGGTGAGCTCCCGTTGTTCGGTCCTTGCTCCTGCCAACCCAGCAGTTCGAAAGCACGTCAAAGTGCAAGTAGATAAATAGGTACCACTCCGGCAGGAAGGTAAACGGCGTTTCCATGCGCTGCTCTGGTTCACCAGAAGCGGCTTAGTCATGCTGGCCACATGACCCAGAAGCTGTACGCCGGCTCCATCAGCCAATAAAGCGAGATGAGCGCCGCAACCCCAGAGTCGGGCACGACTGGACCTAATGATCAGGGGTCCCTTTACCTTTACCTTTAAGAACTGGAAGGATCAGGCCAATGGCCCACCTAGACCAGCATCCCGTTCTTCAAGTAGCCAACCAGATGCCCTAACAGGAAGCCTACAAGCAAGATTTCAGCCAAGGGCACATCCCCCTCCTAAGGTTTCCAGTTTTCAAAATTATTACTGACTCCATCTATGAAGACACCACATAGCCATCAGGGCTGGAAGCCATCGATAGCCCTCTTGCCTCTGTGAATTTGTCTACTTCACTTCTAAAGCCATCTAGGTTGGTGTCCTGCAGGAAGGAGCTCCATAGTTTAATTACGTGGTACAGTAAGAAGGACTTTCTTTTGTGTCCTGAATTGTCCAGCTTCATTGCATGTCCACAGCTTCTAGCATTACGTGAGAGGGAGATAAAACTTTTCCCTATCCAGTTTCCCCATGTCATGCATCCTTTTACGAACTTCATCTATATGAATTTGAACAAGAGGAAACATTTTCAAACAATGGCACCCTGCACTTGCAATCGCTTTCACCACCTCATCCTGAAACATGGCGAGACCCAGCAAGGAAGATCGGTGGCACAGCCCCCCGGTCACTCACCACTTCCCGCCGTAGTTCTCCGCCAGGACAGCCAACATCCTCTCGACAGAGCCAAGGACTGCTCGGTGGATCATCACTGGTCTCTCCTCCAAACCACTGTCTTTGCTGTATGGGACATGAGCACACGGAGTCAGCACCTGAACTCTCAGGGCTGTGTATGCTCCATGTTCCTGAAATCCTTTTGGATGAAGCTAACCTTGGTTTCTGCCCCAACGCTGCAGCCTACGTTGAACGACGGAAATTAAGAAGGTAAGAAGGGCCCTGCTGGATCAGGCCAGTGGCCCATCTAGTCCGGCCTCCTGTTCTCACTGTGGTCAACCATCAGATGCCTGTGGGAATCCCCACAGACAGGACCTGAGCACAAGAGCTCTCTCTCCCCTGGGATTTGGAAGCACTGCTGCCTGCAGCTGTGGGCTGTGAGTGCATCTGCGTAATCTAGGCCAGGGGTGCAAGCTTCGCTCAGGTGGGCCCCATAGCTTCCATGTGGATTTGTGGCGGAAGGCAGGAGATGGCACATGTTTAGGAATGCAGGAAGCTGCCATACCTTGAATCAGATCATTGGGGTCCGTCTAAACTGACTGGCAGCAGCCTTCCAGGATTTCAGGCAAGAGATGTTCCCATCCCTTCCTGCAAACGCCACTTGGGACTGAACCTGCATGCAAAGCATGTGATCCTACCACTAAATAATGCTAATATTCCAGTCCTTGTGGTTCCAAATCAAGGGCTGACTTAGGAAAGCTGCCTTATACCCAAGTCAGATGCTTGGTCAGTATTCATCCACATTGTCCAGCATCTGGTCTTCAGGGTTTCAGGCAGGGGGTGTTCCCAGACTTAACTGGAGAGTTCAGCGGTCAAACCTGGGACCTTTCACATGCAGATTCTAGCAGCTGTTCCTGACTTCCTGTTGGGAAGGTGAACAAGGGTCTCAACCCCAAACCAAACCAAACCAAACCAAACCACGTCAGGTCTGGAACAAAATTTCATTTCGGGCTTTTTTGCTTTTGCCTGCTTGTGTTGTTACTCCTGTTTTGTGGTTTAAAATTAAAACAATTGCTTTTTTTTAGATGATAGATAGATGGATGATCGATAGAATATCAGTACTTTGAAGAGGCCCAGTCCTCCCCACCTAGCTATTCCTTATTTCTAAGAGGGATCTTTGCCAAGATGCACAAAAAAGCTTGCCCAACAAGGTTACAGTCAGACCTCTGGCAGGCAAAACACTTCCCCGTTCTTCCAAGTCTGACACCTAGAGCTGGCACACAGCTGGTGCCACGCAGATTGCAGATTAGCTCCTGCAGCTGGTAAACCAATCTCCAGAAAGCTACTAAACAAAGGCGCCTTCACATTCCTAGGCAGTTCCTCTTTCCCTGTCCTGTGGTCAGACAGGGGTTGGGTAGGGGAAGGACCAGTTGCGAAAGTTGGGTGTGAGGAAGCGAAGGGAGAGGGAGAGAGTGAGAAAAGAGAACCTTCCACTCAAAGAGACCCGAGAATGAGGCTCCTCTGACGGAATCGCTGTGGAGATTTTGCGTTGGCTCTCTCAGAAGTTACGCACTCATGTCTGAGCTTCTTGCTTGATGTTATAAACACTATGGCAATGTTCTGTGTTCAGTGTAGGGCTTTGGGGGGGGGGGGGAGCAAGGGGTGCATGTCCAGTGGTGGAGCATCTGCTTTGCATGCTACGGTGCCAGGTTCATTCGCACAAAACTCACTCCGTGTTTTGCTTGCACAATCTGGCAGGTCTGGAAAGAAACTCGGGTGCATCTGAGTCACTTCAGCCAAGAACTGAAAATGCAAGAGCCTGTAGCTCTGTGGCAGAAAGTCTGCAGAAGGTCCTTCGGGTCAATTCCCAATGGCATCTCCAGGGACGGTGGGCAAACACTCCTGTCTAGAGCAGGTGTGGGGGAAACTGTGGCTCACCAGACATTGCTGAACTACAACTCCCATCATCAGCATCCCCAGCCACTGGCCATGCTTGCTGGGGCTGATGGGAGTTGAAGTTCAACAACATCTTGAGGGCCAAAGGCTCCCCACCATCACCTTACAGAACCATTTCCGATTAGTGCAGGGCCACAATGGAAACCTGTGCCTCTCTAGCTGTTATTGGGCTACAGTACCCATTATTTTGTTGTTGTAGTTTTAACCATTTTAACTACAGTGGTACCTCTGGTTGCAAACAGGATCCATTCCGGAGGCCTGTTCGCAACATGAAAAGAGCGCAACCCGCAACGGCGCATCTGCACACGCGCGGGTTGCGATTCGCCGCTTCTGCGCATGTGCGTGACATCATTTTGCGCTTCTGCGCATGTGTGAGAGACAAAACCCGGAAGTAACCCTTTCTGGTACTTCTGGGTCGCCACAGGACATAACCTGAAAGAACGTCACATGAAGCCGACGTAACATGAGGTATGACTGTATTTATTTGTGTTTTTACCTTGTATTTTTACTGTGCGAACCGCCCTGAGATCTTGTGATGCAGGGTGGGATCTTAATAATGATAAGAATGATAAGAATTCTAACCAGTAGCTATGCTAGCTGATGGGGAGTTGAGCGTCCTTTCATGCTGTTGAAAACCAGCCCTTTTTCCAGAACCATGAGGACCGGGACCTTGCTTTATTTCTAAGGGAATAGCTATAGCTGAGCAGTTGAGCACCTGCTTTGCATGCAAAAGGTCCCAGGCAGGCAAGTCCAGGTAGGGCTGTTCAAGGCACCCGACAGAAAACTCTGCCTTGTCAGCTAGACCAAGGATCGGGATAAATCCCAGCCAGTCAGGGATGTTAGGGATTGTAGTCTGGACAGCTACAGGTGTGTCCAGGGGAACCAAGAGGAAGACCTGAAGTTGCCTCCTACCCAGTCAGACCATTGGCCCATCTACATCAGTAGCGTCTGCACTCACTGACAGCAGTTCTCCAGGATTTCGGGAAAGGAGACCTGGAGATGCCATTGAACATAGGACCTTTTGCATGCAAAGCAGATGCTCTCCCACTGATCTATGGCCTTCCCCTTAGACCATAATGGCCTGACATGGCAGGAGACAGCTTCCTCAGTTTCCAAAACATTTTCCTTTCATTAAATCCCCCTGCATGAAAATTCGAAGGCAACCTGGGAATTTTAGGGGTCGGTAGGAGCAGAGCGCCAAGTATGTGAAGCCCCCTGGCTATCTACCTGGAGCAGAGCTCACCTTGCGTATGAGAGATCAAACCGGATGGGCATCTGGAAATCCAGCTGAATGGTGGCACATTGGTGGTGCCGGCCGAGGGCATCTTTAATCTGAATATCAACCTGGGGGAAAATGCACACAGAGAGAATGCTGTGAGGAACAGGACCCATTACGTGCCTCAGCTAGCTTTGACCTGCAAGTGCCGGTGGGCGATGTTCAAAGAGGATCAGAAAAATCCACAGAGGATAAGGCTGTCAGTGGCTGCCAGCCCTAATGGGCATGTTCTGCCTTGACTGTTGGAGGCAGGCAGCTTTTGAATGTCAGTCGCTGGGACTCAGAAGTGAGAGGAGTGGGCTTTGTTCTCACTGTGAACACAAGCACCTAAGAAGAGCCTTCTGGATCAGGCTGAAGGGGGCCCATTTGGTCCAGAACCCTGTTCTCACAGTCGCCAACCAGATGCCCCAATGAGAACCTGCAAGCAGGATTCAGACACAAGAACACTCTTCCCTCCTGGAGTCTCCAGAGACTGGTATTCCGAACCAGTGCTGCCTCTATGACTGTGGAAGCAGAGCAGAGCCACCAGGACTAGCAGCTGTAATAAACGAAAATCTGCCCTTATTTCCTTATGGGGAACACAAAAGCCCTTATAGAGTCCTTTGTAGGTTCTCCATCAGTCAGAGAAAATAACAGAGGCCAAGCAGAGAATATTGAGAAGCAAAGTAGCTCGTAAGCCTGCTCTTTATCGAACTGTTGCAACAGAGTTGTGATGGGAAGATGAGCTGCTTGTGCGTAAAATCGTATTCCCTCAGAGTTTGTTCAAGTCCACAAACCTCTGTCTGTGACTGAGCCCCTCTGACATGGCTCCTCTAGTCACTAGAAGATTCCGACAGTGGCTGCTTTCGTAATCGCTTCCAACATAAAAGCTCCTTAACGGAAACACGTCTTCTGGACTCTCTGCGTGACAGTTTCCGGCGAGGAGTGGGTGTCCCAACAGGAGGTCCGGAAACCTCACCACTGTTTTCGCTGGAAGTATCTCTGAGCCATCCCCCAGCTCCCTTTCCCTCAGTTCAGCTTCTCTCCCCTGCTGGTTTCCTCTTCAGCTGCTGAGTCTCTTCCAACCTGTCTGAGCCCTTTCACCTCCCTCAGTTCAGCTTCTCTCCCCTTGCTGGTTCCCTCTTCCGCTGCTGAGTCTCTTCCAACCTGTCTGAGTCCTTTCACCTCCCTTCCTTCCGATGGCAGTTCCCTGACAAGAGTGCTCCCCTCACACGCAGGAAAGGAGGAGGACCCAAAACAAAGGCGTGCCCGCCCTTATATAGACATTTTAAATTGCCCGCCCTGGAGTCCCAGACCACCCCCAGACACATCATACCTACATCACAGAAGGGGCGGTCTACAACAGAAATCTGAGTGCATTGTTTATCTCCTGTCAGGCAGGTTACCTGTTAATGCTTCCTTGATTGGATACCCTGGGGAGCCTGGCCAGCCTTTTGTAGCGACAAATACTTGTAGCGACAAATACCAGGTCACAGGCTCACCCTATTCATACACAGACATACCCTTAAGACAGCTTTTGTGAATGAAAAGACAATGGGGAGGCTTTTCCATTTTCCTTTGACCTTGCAGAGAAAACATTTGGTCAGTTTGGGAGCCAAAATGGCTCCAGGGCTGCCCTCCTGTGCTGCCTCAGATATGTGGCCCATACATTTATGTACGTGTTTGCCTGGCACATCCATGGACATTTATTATATATGTGAGACCTTAATTTTATCCAGCTACCGGGTCTTCCTACGGTTCAGGATTTCTGGCAGGCAGGGCACTCACTGACCTTTGGCCCGTAGAAGGCGCCATCCCCAGGATTGAGCTCCCAAGGTTGTCCAAAGTCTCGGAGGCTTTTTTCCAGCAGCTGGAAGGTGAGAGAAAAAGGAGGAGTCAGGAAACTGAGCTTGTTGAACACTTGGCAAGCGCCCGCCAGCTGGGTGGTCAGGTCACGGGAGCTTCTTTGAGTAGAAAAAGGACCTCAGGGCATGTTTGCCTAGCAAACAGGATGGAACAAAGGATATTTTTAAAGTGGGGTGGGGGGGGAGAGAGAGAAGCGTTTTGAGAACACACACAAAGCTAATCCTTCCCATCACTGCGAGGGATAAAACCCGCACGAATATGGATTGAAACGTAACATTGAAAGCTATTTAAGTGCTTCTCAGGTTGATCAATTTGCAGGCAGGAAAAAAAATTGGCTCTCCTAGGCAATGGCAAAAAATTGGCTCTCCTAGGCAATGGATGGACAGTGTTCTCAAAGCTACCAGCATGAGTTTGACCAAACTGCGGGAGGCAGTGGAAGACAGGAGTGCCTGGCGTGCTCTGGTCCAGGGGGTCACAAAGAGGTGGACACGACTAAATGACCAAACAACAACAACAGGCAATGGCAGGGGGTCTCATTCTTACCTCCTCGGCCCGATCCCAAAGGTGAGGCTCCCCAAGGAATTTCTCGGGGCGGGTGGAGAGGTAGAAGCGCAAAGTGAATCCAAAAACAGAGTAGACAGCTTGAAGGAAGTCTAGGCAGCCTTGAATTTCTCCTTCCAGCTGAATTTGAGGGGTGGGGGAAGAGAGAAGAAAAGAGGTGATAATATCCCATTCCTTCCTGGTTTGTCCCGGCATTCCCTCCTCCCCTTTAAAAGATGTTCCAGTTTTTGCCCATTTGGTATCAGAAGACTTTTATGTTGTTGTTTTTTTTACATTTCCTTTTAACTGATACTCATCAAAAGGTATACCAAAGTTTATACCCAACACAAATTCTATTTTTATAATATACGAAAATAAAAGAAATGTTTTAAAAATCCAACCAAAAAAGAAAGGCACAAAGAGGAGGAAGGTTGAAGAAAGAAAAGGAAAGAGAGAGAAAAGGAACAAATGAAGTCTCAGAGCGCTGTTTCAACAGAGACAGGTGGAGCCTTCGGGTTCAGCCATGCAGGTACAGTGGTACCTCTGGTTAAGTACTTAATTCATTCCAGAGGTCCGTTCTTAACCTGAAGCACCACTTTAGCTAATGGGGCCTCCTGCTGCCGCCTCACCACCAGAGCACGATTTCTGTTCTCATCCTGAAGCAAAGTTCTTAACCCGAGGTACTATTTCTGGCTTAGCGGAGTCTGTAACCTGAAGCGTCTGTAACCCGAGGTACCACTGTATCTTGCCATCGCCCCATCCCTCACCTGATCCATGGCGCAGAAGATGTGAGCGTCATCCTGCTGGAACCGGCGCACCCGCGTCAGCCCAGTCAGGGCTCCCGACGGCTCGTTTCTGTGCAGAACCCCAAAGTCAGCAAGGCGGAGAGGCAGCTCCCTCCAAGACCGGGGGCGGTGGCCAAACATGAGGCTACGTGGAGGAAAGGGAGAGGAACTTGCTTCTACCTCTCAAGGCACATCAACGGAGCTTTAGGGGCAAGCTGAATATACACCCCCAGGCCTCCATCCCTGCCCCACCCTAATAATTCATAACTCACCAATGGCCAGGGCAGTTCATTGGCTTGAGGGCAAAGGTCTCCTCTTCGACCCTGAAGGAGAACATGTTCTCGGAATAGTGCTGCCAGTGGCCAGACGCCTCCCACAGCTTCACGTTGTAAATGTTGGGGGTGATCACCTCAGAGAAGCCGCGCTTGAGATACTCACTCTGGGACACAAAAAACGAAAGGGAGGGGGATACCAGGAGTTGGGGCAGAGAATTAAGGAAAAGATGGAGCATCGGTCCCAACATGGCTAATAGATATTTAAAATTAGTTTTCTTCACGCACCAGCTCATTAAAAATAATAAACATTTGTTTGTTTTTTAATTCCTGACTTTTATAACTCACTCCAATAGGCTGACTACGTGGTTCGTCTTTTAATAAAGTCTGCATAGGAAATTAGGTTGTTTGCTTGCATCTCTTTGCTCACATATAATGGGCTGATGTGGCAAGAGTGGCAGAAACTGTCTTTTTCAAACTGACCATCCTACTCTCCTGTCCGGGACACGGATTTTCTCCAGTTCTTACCATGCAAAATCCTGACTGCGCTGTACAGGGAAACATCTTTGCATTGTATATATCAATAATGAACACTGGGTTTAAAGTCAACTTGAATTGTCATTCTTACGGACTGTTTCTGATACTTAGCCAGGGAAGGATGAACTTAGATCGTCCGCCTCAAACAGTGTGTGGCATCAGAGACCAGCTCTGACCTTTGCACATAAGTCACGCACAGGCAAACACTCCGATCTGAAGCATTTGAGAAGCGATGGATTAGGAAGCAGAGCACACCTTAATGAAGTCCATGAGAGTTGTGTAAATGTGCGCTCCTTTGGGGAGGAAGAAGCAGCTTCCTGGGCTCAGTTCATGGAAGAAGAAAAGCTCTTGATCCTGTAGAGGAACAAAGTCAGTCTGTGCGGCGTAATAGTTTAGAACGGGGGAATAGGATCCGAGAGACCAGGGTTCAAATCTTCACAAGGAGACCTTGGGCCCAGTCACTGTCTCTATGGCAGGCATAGGCAAACTCGGCCCTCCAGATGTTTTTTGGGACTACAACTCCCATCATCCCTAGCTAACAGGACCAGTGGTCAGGGATGGTGGGAATTGTAGTCCCAAAACATCTGGAGGGCCGAGTTTGCCTATGCCTGCTCTATGGCTTGCAGGAGTGCTGAGAGGATAAAAATGGGGGAGAACCACGTACAACCACCTTGAGCTACTCAGCAGGAAGGCAGGGTGTCAGTGCATCAATATATACCGTATTTTTTGCTCTATAAGACTCACTTTTTCCCTCCTAAAAAGTAAGGGGAAATGTGTGTGCATCTTATGGATCGAATGCAGGCTGCGTAGCTATCACAGAAGGCAGAACAGCAAGAGGGATTGCTGCTTTCACTGCGCAACGATCCCTCTTGCTGTTCTGGCTTCTGAGATTCAGAATACATTTTTTCTTGTTTTCCTCCTCCAAAAACTAGGTGCGTCTTGTGGTCTGGTGCGTCTTATAAAGCGAAAAATACGGTATTTTACAGGTGCTTATTCGTAAAGGAATGTGACCCCCTGGGCTAAAAAAACCCCTCCCCCGCCCTTGGGGGATGGGGAGAGAGGGAGGGAAGCATTTCCTCCCGGAGGTTATACCAGACCCAACAGGTCTTAATTCCACCTTGCCTATCCGCCGATGATCTCGCTGGGCAGCCTCCTCTTGAGCACGTTCCCATTCCGCGAGCTGCTTGGGGCTGGGGAAGGAGATGCCGTAGACCCGCTGCAGGGACTCCTTCGAAGGGTCTCCGTGCCAGTAGGAGGCGGCGTTCTGCCAAGCCAAGAGGAATGACAAAAAAAATATAAGCATGCAATATTGCCTGGTCCAGAAAGAAGGGTTTCTGAATGTATGAAGGTTCAGGACAGGGGAAAAGAAAGCAGTGAGACTATGGAACTGGCTTCCGGGGGAGGCAGCGATGGCGGCCAACTTAAGATGGCTTCCAAAGAGGATGTGAGGCAAATTCATGGATGGCTATGCTCTGCCTCCACTGCTAGAGGCACCAATGCTTCTGAATACCAGTTGGTGGGAATTGCGAGAGGGGAAAGTGGTTCTCCTTGAGGGCATCTGTTTTGCCCCTGTGGGAACAGGATGCTGGACTAGGTGGGCCCTTGGCTCGATTCAGCAGCCTCTGCTTAAGCTATTACATTAGCGCAACTTTGGCATTTCTACCATCTGGGATATTATATTATTATTATTATTATTATTATTATTATTATTATTATTATCATAATCATTACAGTGATACCTCGTGTTACGTTTGCTTCACGTTACGTTCTTTCAGGTTGCGACCCAGAAGTACCGTAAAGGGTTACTTCCAGGTTTCGCCGCTCGCACATGCGCAGAAGCGCAAAATGACGTCACAAGCATGCGCAGAAGCGGCGAATCGCAACCCGCACGTGCGCAGACGCGCCGCTGCGGGTTGCGCTTTCATGTTGTGAACGGGCCTCCGGAACGGATCCTGTTCGCAACCAGAGGTACCACTGTATTATTATTATTATTATTATTATTATTATTATTATTATTGCTATTTAGACTTAATGGTCACTTGCTACCTAACAAGCCTCCAAGTGACTTAAAAACATAGATACAAAGGGGGGGATTATATGAAACATTAAAATGTTCACACAACAGCTATGCTTCATTAATATGCCTATCCTTATTTTATTGATTCGCAGCATTTGCACTAGGCTCTTCAGCCCCCCCCCCAAAGGCCCCCCACCCTACTGCCGGATGCCTGCACATGGGACGTTAGCACCCACCTTCAGGAGCTTCAGTGCACGGATCTCCCCCGTATGCCGGACGTGTGGCCCCCGGCAGAGGTCGATGAAGGGCCCGCACCTGCAGACAGGAAAGAGGAGAGATGGTGAGTATCGGGCCTTGATTATTCCTGATGCTTTGACACCTTAGGTGGCGTACTTATGCTCCAAATGGAGAACAGCCTTTAACAAACCTGTCGTGGGTTTTGAAGACGCTCGAACTCAGGACAAAAGGGAGAAACGTGCTAGGAGGAAGGCACTCTTGGCAAACCCTCACCGTGATCAACTCCTGCCTGGAAACCAATGTCCCCACTGTGGAAGGACGTGTGGATCCAGAATTGGCCTCCACAGTCACCTACGGACACACGGCTAAGACCGTGTTCATGGAAGACAATCGTACTTGGCTACGAGTCCTTGAAACTTGGCTATATTTTATATTTTTAAAATATAAATATCTCTTTAAGAAATATAACTAAACAAAACTAAATTAGAATAACAGGAGCATTGACGCTGTGGCAATGGCAACAGGTCTGTTAAAGGGCTAGGTGGCAATATTGCTTACACCGATGCCCCTAAAGGGTTTTGCTACAATAAGAGGAGCCCTTTGGGGAATTTAGTTGATCACTGTGAGGATCATAGGGTTGCGGCGCTCATCTCGCTTCAGGCTGAGGAAGCCAGCGTTTGTCCGCAGACAGCTTTCCGGGTCATGTGGCCAGCAGGACTAAACTGCTTTTGGCAGCGGAACTCCATGATGGAAACCAGAGTGCACAGAAATGCCATTTACCTTCCCGCCAGAGCGGTACCTATTTATCTACTTGCACTGGTGTGCTTTCGAACTGCTAGGTTGGCAGGAGCTGGGACAGAGAAGCGGGAGCTCACCCCGTTGTGGGGATTTGAACTGTCCACCTTCTCATCAGCAAGCCCAAGAGGCCCAGTGGTTTAGATCACAGTGCCACCCACGTCTCAAAAGGAGGCAACAACCGCAGGTCAGCCGTGGATGTCCAGAGTCGAGGGTTTCTCTCACCTGTACACGGTGGCAGTCGGAGATTTCACCTTTTCGTCGATAATCTGAAGTTTGAACTTGTTGTGCTGGAAGGGCAAAAAAAGAGCCAACAATTGTCAAGGAAGTTTCGCAATAGTTCGCTGTGAGAAACAGGGTGCTGGACTACGTGGGCCATTGGCCTGATCCTGCCAGCTCCTCTGGTGTTCTATCCATCCTGCAACCGCATCACCCAAAATCCCACTTCCCTGAACACTTTCCAAAAGAAGAAAATTAGTCTGAATGCTCAAACCAAAGCTGCTGGCCTGCATGCAGAAGTCTCCCGGTTCAATCTCCAGCATCTCCAGGTAAGGCTGGGAATATCCCCTGCCTGAAACCCCTGGAAGAACCTCTGTTGGATCATCAGTCTGACTCATTAAATGGCAGCTTCCTCTAGTCCTATTTAAACTGGCCTATTAATCAGAACCATGAGAACTGAAATCTTACTAGCCGTTTGAAACAACCCACACTACAGTGGTACCTCAGGTTACAGACTCCGCTAACCCAGAAATAGTGCTTCAGGTTAAGAACTTTGCTTCAGGATGAGAACAGAAATCGGGCTCCGGCGGCGCTGCAGCAGCAGGAGGCCCCATTAGCTAAAGTGGTGCTTCAGGTTAAGAACAGTTTCAGGTTAAGTACAGACCTCTGGAACGAATTAAGTACTTAACCTGAGGTACCACTGTACTAAAAAGCCATTATTAGTTCCAAAACAGTGAGAGAAAAAACAATATTCAAAACACAGCTCATCATTTCAATAAGAAGTAGGGTCGAAAGAACAAGCCTGCTTAAAAGCAAAACATGTGAGGGAGCAACTCCTCTCCTTTGGGAAGAAGCCTCAGAAACGTGAGGCCATCACTGAAAAGGCCCTGTTCCTTGCGTTCAACAGCCTAGTTGGACGTTAATTGCAGATACTTAGACCTGGGCAGGTTCGTTGAAAATACGTTAAGTGAAGGCTGTCCTTCAAGGCTCTCTCTACTGTTGCATGAATGGTATCCTGCCATTAGACCTGGAGGCTGTGGGTTGTATTCTCTCTCTGCTAGTGCAAGGGCAATTCAGCACAACGAGCTGTGCCAGTGGAAACTCGTTGTGCAACAGATTGCACAATCTATCGGTCAACACAAGTGACCAGCAACCTACTTCCGTGTTCTCTTGTGCAAAACACATCAAGTAGGTTATTGTATACAATAGGTTATTGTATTTTAGTGTTTTGTTGGAAGCCGCCCAGAGTGGCTGGGGAAACCCAGCCAGATGGGTGGGGTATAAATAATAAATTATTATTATTATTATTAGTAGTATATGGCTAAGTGACTTTAACTTAGCACTGCATTGGATACGACCCCTCTAATCCTGGTAAGCACAGAAAACTTTGCAAATGCAACACTCTGGATAAACCAGTCAAATGGAGCTGTGTATTTCGAAGGCTATGCCTGACTGTGAGTTTGCACCTATGTTCCCATGTCCAAGTGGAATATGCAAGAGGAACCCTGCACTTTTTCTAAAAATCGGCCACCAAGACCAGCCGTTCCCCATGCCTTCTGGTGCCTTCCAGATCTTTTGGACTACAGCTCTCCCCAATCACATACTAGCACAGCAGTGTTGGCTAAGGATGATGGGAGCTGAAGTCCAAAATATCTGTAGGGTATGAACCCAGGGAAGGCTGAACTAGGCCATCGTTCTGTTTCCCCACAAAAGCCCAAACAAATTATTCTGGGAGGCCCCAAAAGAGAGGGTGGAAGGCAGATGTTTATGTCTCCAACAACTGGGACAGACAGCCTCTGAACATGGAGGTTCAGTTGACTAATAGCCACTGACAAGCAGCTCTTCAGAAACTGGTTTAATGCCCTCTTAAAAGCTACACTAAAGCCTCTGGTTCATTGGCGCATCCTGTGGCAGCAGATGCCACAAACTGCAGTCAACTTCCAGGAATTGTAGACAACTTTGCACCTGTTTCAGAAACCAGGCCATCAAAACAAAAACAGAAGAAAAAGCTCGAAGAACCTGTTGCCAGCCATTTTAGTAATTTTCACAGCCGCAACGTTGTCAGGAGTGGAAATTCCAGTAGGGTAGGAAAGCAAAGCAAAGGGAAGAATGCCCCACAGCACCTTGAAACTAAGGTGTGGAACATCTGTAGCAGCCCAGATGTTGCAGCAAGATTCCAACATAGTCAGTGGTCAAGGATGACAACAAGAGTTCCAATCCATGAACACCAGGGAGCACCAGATCTCAAACTGGAAATGGACTAGCAATACAACAACTTCTGGACAACCATGGACTCAGCTCAGGGGACAAATATGTCACATTTTACCTAAGCATTAAACTATTTTTCTTCTTGTCCTTCTTGTGCTCCTAACATAGTGCTTGCCCAGAAGATGTTGCCTTCCTCAACACTCTTGCCATCCTCACTCATCTTGGTTTCAGGTGCAAAATCCAGTTACAGTAATACCTTGGGTTTAAGACGCTTCAGGTTGAGTGTTTTCAGGTTGTGTTCCGCGGCGACCCGGAAGTAACGGAATGTGTTACTTCCGGGTTTTGCCGCTCGCTCAGACGCTCAAAATGACGTCCCGCGCCCGCGTAGATTGCGTTCTGCTCAGGATGCGAACGGGACCCTGGAACAGATCCCATTCGCATCCAGAGGTACCACTGTGTCACTGGCAAGGCAGAGGCCCTGGCACTTAACTAAATAATTCTAAGCTTCTTTTTATTCCGTCTTTCTATGAAATGACAGAGGGCTCTTCTGACATTCTTTGGAGTTTGCACCTTAAAGAGCTCCACCAGATCTTCTCGAGACACTTCCAGCCGTTCAAAGGGATGGTTCTTGGCGATTATCCCCTTGCAGATTTCCTCCAGGACCGGCAGGTCTTTACTGGACACAGTCCTGTGAAGAAGAAAAAAATGAAAAGCTCTTTACAGGAAACATGGAGACATCAACAGATAATGTCAAGCAATTATAGGCAGCCCAAGCAGACCCAAAATGACAAAGAGGGTCATAAAACCCCTGATCTTCAAAGTTTTGATACCTAACCAACAGACAGAAAGATAAACCCTTGATTTGGAGCAGCCAGTTCTGTGGACCAGACAGCCTTTGTCCCTGGATATGTTGTGAACTGCTCCTAATCAAGTTTATTTACTTCCCTGCTTGTTTGATCTTAGAAACTTTGGAGATTAGGGCTTTGTTATCCTGTTTGCCATTTTCTGAAGCTCACAAAGCTCCCCCCCCCTTCAACCAGCAACCCTTGCAAGTCTTCTGCTTAAATCAAACTTTATGACGATTCAGAGATTAAATCATCAGGATGATTTGGAAAGAAGTTTCAAATCTAGCAAAATTTCTCAGTACAGAAAAGTCATTGCTTGACCAGTGGCGACACCTAGTGGACAGCAGAGGTGCAACATGAAAACCCAAGGTATTGAGGAAGTCCTACAGGCCAATTCATTTCTGCAAGGCAAAAAGTGTGTGTGTGCGCATGCACACAGACCACTTTCAGAAGGAGATTCTTTTCACATTCGATATCTCATGCACCATATGCCTATCCTGCCTCCTTTTTTTCAACAACAAAATCTCAAAAGCAATTAACACATTAAGAGGAACATGTGAAGCTGCCATATACCGACTCAGATCATTAGGGTACATCTAGCACAGGGGTCAGCAAACTTTTTCAGCAGGGGGCCGGTCCACTGTCCCTCAGACCTTGGGGGGGGGCAGACTATATTTTGAAGAAAAAAATGAACAATTTTCACCCGCCCGCAAAGAGGCCTGAAGATGCTTCGCTTTACTTGTCCCAGTTGTCGTCCCAATAGCCGCAGTTGGGCTTTTCCAGCCAGCCAGGCGCCATAGCGGGGTAGGAGGCTGTGTCAGCCGGCGAAGACAGAAGCAGCAGCCCCAGCGGAGGATCCGTGGGTAGAGGTAGGGGAACTGGGGCGTCGCCAGAGCTTTTACCCACTACCTGCTGCTGCTGCTGCCTGAGAGGCACCGTGGAGAAGAAGACAGAGCCGCTCACCAATTTGCAAGCGGTGGCCGTGGCCACCGCAACAAACCGCCTGAACGCCATGGGAGGAATGAAGGAGGGAGGCGGCAACGAAGAAAGTGCGCGAGGAAGTGGCGCAGAAAAGGGGTGCAGAGAAGGAAGGAAGGAAGGGAGGGCAGACTGAGACAGAGGGAGGAGGAGCAGGAGGAAAACGCAGCAGCCGCTGCCGTCACATGCCCCCTTCACAGTGCCGCCCTGCTGAGGCGGGCAGGCGGGTGAGCCAGCTCCCACCATCGACTGGGCCTGGCGTGGGACAAGATTGCTCCGTCTCTGAGGAGAAAAGCGCCGCCATGTGAGGGAGAGGGAAAGAACGTGTGTGCTGGCGATCCATACGGCAATTTCCAGACCGTCCACAGGCCAGATCTAGAAGGCAATTGGGCCTGATCCGGCCCACGGGCCTTAGTTTGCCGACCCATGATCTAGCACAATGCTGTTGACAGTGACTGGCAGCAATGTGTCTCCAGTGCTTCATTGCAAAACAAGATCAAACCTAGCATTACGTAAAACACATTGAACAAGCACACAAAACGTAACCGGCTGTGCATTCACATAAACAATTCTCTCCTGTATTTTTATACTTCTCTTGCACATTATCAACACATAAAGTACAACAATGTAAGAAGAAGTCCCAATAGATCAGTTCATTCATAGAGTCCAATATCTGCTAGTTTCTGTTCCACGTATGTCTTTGTATGTTCATAAAATCCAAATGGGATCTTACTACAGTTCCACAGAATCTTGACAAGGATTTCCGGAATAATGCCTTGTTTCGCCCTCCTTGTACGTGTTTGTATGTAGTATATCAAGAGAATGGAACTTATGACATGGTGGTTTTGTGTTGATAACGTGCAAGACAAGTATTTGATACTGTGATAAAAATACAGAAGAGACTTGTTGATGTGAATGCGCTGCTGGTTACGTTTTGTGTGTTTGTTCTCCGGTGCTTCAGGCAGGGAGTCCTTCTCACCTCGATCAGAGACTGAACCTGGAGCCTTCTGCATGCACCGTGCGTAATCTCCCACTGAGCTCTAGAGCCCTGGATCTAAGCAATAAAATTAAGATTCCAGTCCTCATGTTTCTGAATAAACGGGTGATTTAAATGGGGACCCAGGAAGGTGGCTTATACCAAGCCAGGCCATTGTTGCATCTAGCTCTGGGTTAGGCTGCCTTTTGCCTATTTTTCCCAAGGAGCGTACCCTGTTCCATTACACCCCAGGTCAGCCCTTTGGCGGGAGAAATCATTTTCTTATTTTATATATTCGCTTCCTTCCACCCCACCCCCCAAAGGGATGCAACAAAACACCGCAAAGGATAGGTGTCCACTTGCAACCTTTTCTTATAATAGGGTTATAATAACTGACTTGGAGCAGTTCCCCGGGGGTTTCAGGCAGGGGAGACGCCACTAGGGATTGGACCTGGGGCATTTTGCATGCAGGGCAGGAGCTCAGCCACTGAGCTACAGCTGTTCCTTAAAAATAAATCAAAGTCTGCAGCCTTTATGGTTCTGAAAGCAAAGCTTAATTTAATTAGGAACAGAAGGAACTGCCTTATACCACATCAGACCCTTGATCCATTATTGTCTACAGCAAGGACCCCCAAACTCGGCCCTCCAGATGTTTTGGGACTACAATTCCCATCTTCCCTGACCACTGGTCCTGTTAGCTAGGGATGATGGGAGTTGTAGTCCCAAAACAGCTGGAGGGCCGAGTTTGGGGGTGCCTGGTCTACAGCGATTGGCAGTGTCTCTCCAGGGTTTCAGGCACAGAAAATTCCCTGCCCTACCTGGAGAAACCACTCCGGCCCTTCTGCATGCCAAGCAAGGGCTCTGCTACTGAGCCATGTGTCCCTTTCACTTGAGAGAGCGAAGGCAGGGCCTCTCCAGCGGCTCAGCCGAGAGACCAGGGACTTTAACTTCCAACTCTCTTTACATTCCAGCCAGTTGTTACATAACCTGAAGAACTACAGACTGCATCTGCTGTTTTCCTCTCCTGCCCCCTTTTCCTTTTCTGCCGCATCTTTTCAACCGCACTCCCCAGCATCGCCCTTCCAACTTACCTTTCCTCATCCAAATACATGTCGTAGAAGAAGCCATTTTCAGTGCTGGGTCCGTGGCACAGGTAGGCACCGTAGAACTGCTCGGCGGCACCTCCTAGAACGTGGGCACTGGAGTGCCAGAAAAGCTGGCAAAGAGAAATTTGGGGAGAGGTCGAGTTAGGTACCCTGGAACTCCAGGCTCCTTCCCAAAGCAGCAGCACTGCCCCCTCCCCATTTGCAGAGGCAATCTGAGGACAATGGTCAAAACAAACCAAGGGAGAATATTATTATAAGAACATCAAAAGAGACTGGCTGCTAGATCAGGCCGTTAAGAAATGTTGTCTGTCTGCAGGCACGGACTTGGTTGAAAGCATGTGATGCAGCTTGGAAAAACAATCTGCTTGAAAAGTGCTACTAGACAATCTACAAGCCTGAAAAGGAATCAGCAATTTAGGCAAATAAGCTCTGTCTGGTGCTAAAGGACAGAAAATGGAAGAACAGGCCGGGGTGCTCTTTTGTCAGACAGCTTTTAAATTAAACAAATTGGCGTTTTTCTTAAAGCTTCAAAAGTGAAACTGTTAGGGAATTCTAATTCTAAAATGTCTGCGCAATAAACAAGTCCTTGCTTGGGGGTGGGGGAAGGTGGCCAAGCTAGTTCAGGATCCTGTCCTCGCAGTGGCCAACCAGATGCCCCAATGGCAACCTTGCAAGCAGGACCTGAGTGCAACAGCAACCCTCTCACCACTTGTGAGTCTCAGCAGCTGGTATTGTTCAGAGGCATTTACTGTCTCTGACGGTAGAGGAAGAACAGTCCTAGGCTGCTAGTCACTGACAGTCTCCTCTGCCCCCTCCCTGAATCAGCCTGACCCTCTTTCAAATCTAAGTTGTTGGCCGTCATTATGTCTCATGGGAACGAATCCCAGAGTTCATCTGTGCTCTGTGTAAGGAAGTCCTTCCTCTTCTGGACTCACAGCTGTCCATGGAGGCGCAGGTCAATTCTGTGTCCAGGGCAGCTGTTTGCCAGCTCCATCTGGTACGCAGGCCGAGACCCTCCCTGCCCGCAGACTGCCTCTCCAGAGTAGTGCATGCTCTAGTTATCTCCTACTTGGACTACTGCAATGTGCTCTACATGGGGCTACCTTTGAAGGTGACCCGGAAACTACAACTAATCCAGAATGCGGCAGATAGACTGGTGACTGGGAGTGGCCGCCGAGACCACATAACACCGGGCTTGAAAGACCTACACTGGCTCCCAGTACGTTTCCGAGCACAATTCAAAGTGTTGGTGTTGACCTTTAAAGCCCTAAATGGCCTTGGTCCAGTAGACCTGAAGGAGCGTCTCCACCCCCATTGTTCGGCCCGGACACTGAGGTCCAGCGCCGAGGGCCTTCTGGTGGTTCCCTCGCTGTGAGAAGCCAAGTTGCAGGGAACCAGGCAGAGGGCCTTCTTGGTAGTGGCACCCGCCCTGTGGAACGCCCTCCCACCAGATGTCAAAGAGAAAAACAACTACCAGACTTTTAGAAGACATCTGAAGGCAGCCCTGTTTAGGGAAGCTTTCAATGTTTAATAGGTTATTGTATTTTAATATTCTGTTGGAAGCCGCTCAGCGTGGCTGGGGAAACCCAGCCAAATGGGTGGGGTATAAATAATAAATTATTATTATCTTCTCTGTTCCAAATCTTCCAGCCATTATGCAAGGAGCTAGGAAGAAGCCCAATATAATTCCGAAAGGATGACACCCCAGGAGCCTGAGGAAGGAGGGCTGGAGGTTGAGGTCTTTCTGCCTTCGCCTACAGAGCAACGTCACCAGACTGGACTTTCCTGGCAAGAATGACCACACCACCCAGACGGAGAAGGCCGCCCACCCGGACATCCCTCCTGAAAGCATCCTCTCTTGGAACACCGGCAACGACACACAGCTTGGGTTCAAGCTGCCAGACAGCCTGCCTCTACAAGCCCCTGAGGCTCACAAGCTAAGGTTTGATGCAGGCAACCAGCCCCATTTAGCTCATAGCTGTTCACACACCTATTACCCACCAACGAGCTCCTTTTAAAAGCTGCTCTTCCTGTAGCGCAGGGTCTGAGGAACCCATTTCTTGGCCAGGGAGGGCAGCTCTTTCTCTTCTCCTCCCCCCCCGCCCCCCACAAAGAAATACTGACAGGTGCGCAGGGCCAACCATCTGCTAAAGTTAACCAATAGCGGCGGGAGGGGAGAGGCTGATGAGCAGAGGGTTCAATCCTGCTGCTTGGGCCACACGCCAGTACCCTGTGGAGGAGCTGGTGGGCCCAGCCAACGAGGAATCAGGGTGTCTGGCAGTGCTGAACCTTGATTTCAGCCCCCAGACGTTCTGGTATCTGGAAGGAGAGTGAGGCCCTTTTCCTTGCTTGCTTGCTAAATGCCAGTCAAGATTTAGCAGCTCCCTTCCCTCTCTTCCGCACAAGCAAAACTCCTCTGGGTACTCACCGCCTGCCCATCCCGAGATTCGAAATCCACAAACTCCAAGCTGGCGTTGCCCTCCAGCGGGCGATCCAGGTCATGTAGGCTCCCATTCACCCGTGCCACCACGGCACCCTGTGCCAGACTCCGGCTGCAAGAGCAGTAATAATAATAACAATAATAATAATAATTTATTATTTATACCCCGCCCATCCGGCTGGGTCTCCCCAGCCACTCTGGGCGGCTTCCAACAAAACACTAAAACACAATAACCTATTAAACATTAAAAGCTTCCCTAAACAGGGCTGCCTTTAGATGTCTTCTAAAGTAGGAGGTTAGGACATATCTGACTGGCAACTGCCTCGCAACCACGAGGAGAAACGGACCAGATATTTATTTTTATTTATTTTAGGTACTTCTGCGCTGCTTGATATTAAGAATCTCTAAGCGGTGCAGAAACATATTATTATTTTTAAGGTATGACGATTGCCCCCAAAAGGCAGAAGCTGGAAACTGCCTTGTAGCGAGCTGGACTATCTGTCCACCTAGTTCAGTACTGCACACACTGACTGGCAGAGGTTCTCTAGAATCCCACAGAGGGGCTCTTTTCCCATCCCGGCCTGGATATGCCACTGGGGATAGAAACTGGACCTGTCTGCTTGCAAAGCAGATGCTCTCTCCCTGAGCTACGGCCGTTCCAGTGAATCAGAAGGTTTCAGATTCTGAGTTAAAGAAGAGCTTGCTAAGCCTTAACAAGGCCAAAGGTGCTGAATCTCCAGATGCTGCTGAACTACAACTCCCATCAACTTAGGGGCATCTCAAAAAACTTCAAATATTACTCATCTTCTAGGGATATGTTTTTACAAGTGAAGGATAGGAGCTCAAATTTTTGGGTCGCACATCTCTGTTCATATCTCAAGAGCTGCCAACCCTTTGCCTAAAACAGTTTGGTGTTTTTTTTAAAAAAAGTGTTCAAGAGGAAGCACATTTGAAGAAAGCACATAGCGAACATCTAACACACGCACCTGATCTGCAGCGCCACTTGATATGGCGTGGTCATCCAGGCCTCCCCGTTTATTTCACTGCCGCCCGGTAGGGAAATCCGGATCGGCCGGCTGTTTTTGTGGCTTCGCTCAGCGCATCGTTCAGCCGCAGCAGCTTTTAGCTTCTCATAAAACGCCAGGCGCTCAGAGATGTGGGAAGGAAGAACACCCGCCTACAGGAGAAGACATACGACAAAGTCAATCGCCATGAATTCTGTCCTCACCTTAGGGAAACGGCCACTTTCAAAATGCAGAATGACTGACAAGACCCCCATTAAAACAGAAGATGGCCAGCAAATCTAGCAATGTTAATATTTGTTACAGGACTGGGAAAAAAACAACACTCCAGGTACTACAGCCAACATAGTTCTGTTGAGGGGAAAGTGAAGAAGTTACATGGTTTGCGGGGAAATGGTACCGTTTGCCGAGAACGATGGAAAGGGGTAAGCAACTGTCTTGGAGCAGTTTTCTCCCCAAAATCGGTAGCAGATAAACCTGGAGGCAGCAGGCTCCCTTTTATACCTGTTAGGAGTGTCAGTGTGACAACTGCCAACCCAAAGAAAAACTGATATACAGACCCCTGCCCTGTCTCTCAAAGAACAGGTTTCAAGGGGGACACCCAGAACGGCAATTCAGTGCTCAGTCAGACACTGAGGGCAAAAATCAGATGCTCTCAAGACAGAGGAAAAATAAACAGCACCTACTGACGGGAGCTTGCCTCCAAAGGATGCACAACTTGTACAGAGATGCTACAGGAGTGCCTTTGGCACCTAGTCATTTCATTTAGCAAGCCCCAGTTGGGTGTGTTGCAAATGTATGGGAGCACCATCATAAAGCAAAAACCTTTAAGGTTTGGGGTGGGGAGACTGGATGATGAGCTCCAAAGGTTGTCAAGGGAAGAAAGTACTGTTTTATCTGGAGCGATGCTGGACGCCAGGGGTTGCCCGGCAACCATGCTTCTTCATTCCCAGCAGTGTGGGGGAAATGACACAGTTGCACTCTGCGCATGTTCAGAGATGCTCCATTATGCTGTATCGCTTTGCAACGTGTTTTCTCTACGCAGCACTGTCCTGAAAGCAAGGTTAAGGAACGGCCAAGTTCAGGCCAGATGGTCTCCCCTTGGTCATTCACATAAATCTGAAAGTGCCGGTGCTTTGAAGGACCTGCTACAACAGGCAAAAATCTGGCTCTACTCCTGGGGCGGATGGAAGGCCTCACCCGTTGAAAGCCTACCTGCTGGACAGAAAAACAGCAGCAGCAGCACAGGAACTCTCAAGACGAGAGGCTGCAATTTTAGAAGTTATGGGGCAGCGAGAAAAATAGGACTGGAGACTGGGAAAAGTAGGGATTCGAAAAATAAATACATTTAAATTAGAAGGCTATCAACAGACCCTGTACAGCCTGCAGAGATGGCTCTTTCCAGCCCAGATCTTCCTCCAAGGCCAAAGGACCTTCATCTTTTAGGATACCCGTGTCAAGTCCTCAGTTCCCACGTGGGAAACTGCCGGGGTCCCTCAGGCCGGTTGCACCCTCTGCAAAAGCCGCTCCAGCATCCCTCTCCACCTTGCAAACTGCAAACCGGGAGCAGCAGCAGCAGCAGCCGCCTGCGTGGGACTCTGCGCGCGCTGATTGGCCGCCTTTGCAAAGAGGAAGAGAACGCGGGTTGGTAGTCTAGCTGGCCAATAGGCTTCCTCCCCCTGGAAGGAGTTTCCTTCCCCCTCCCCTCCTGAAACAAGGACTCGAGGATGTGAAGTTCCGCCCACCTTTCCTCCCCCGCCCGGATCAACGCGACAAGCAAGACGGGGAATTGAAATTCTGCAGCCACCGAGTCTCCTGCAAATTAAGAAGGGCTTCTTGGATCGCAGGCTGGCACGCGAGGTTGCCAGCTGACCAGAAACTGATAGGCAGCCTTTGTGTAGGGTGCAAAGGGGGAAAGGCTCCCCTCACTGCGTACAGGTGAGAAGCACGCTTTAACCATGCTGAGCGAGGTCTGTCAAGCTGCACAGCTGCAGCGGCCAGCTGGAAAGTTGGCAACCCAGTAGGCACGGCAGGGAACGCTTAGGGCAAAACACAGCCTACCTGCAAAGGAATTTTGTGTCCATACACTGAAGAGAACTGCATGTTGCAATTAAAACCAAAACATAACCAATTTCTGCGTAACAGGCATAAAGCATGCAGCTTTCAGCCTGATAGGTAAGAGTTCAGAAAAAGCTGCATTGGTTGGATTTCCACGTCCCCTACGGTACTCAAAGGTCTTTAAAAATGCCTTTATTTATTTAAAACATATGTAGCATAATCAGTGTTCTAAATAAAGTAATTTTTTCCTATGTCTCATTTAAGTACTGTAGGAGGTGGAAATTCAACAGGTGCAGCTTCTAACACTGCCTATCCATCATAGGGAAAGGGGCAAGCTTTGAATTGTGCCCAACTGAATTCTACTCAGAGTAGACACATTGAAAACAATGGACCTAAATCATGTCCATTTGTTTCAGTGGGTTTACTTAAGAGTATGACTAATACTACATACGAACCCTTTGCCTGTTAGGCTGCTGATTCAAGGGCCCAGGGGTTCCTGTCACGAAAGAGGTCATGACCCCATATCCCCCTAGCAGCTCCATTAAATCCTATAAACCAGATTATCAGTGTGCACACACAAAAGGCAGAAAAGGCGTATTTAAGCATTAAAATCACATGTTAGAAAGCCAGACAGCTCCCAATATATTTCGCCCCCACCCCAACACCTGAAATTGATGTCAAAACCCTAACCCTCCACTTCCTCCCCAGCACTGAAAAGGACCATATTTCACCCTCTGGGTTTTTCATATTTTTAATCAGCAAATCCAAGCAGCTCATACCAGACTAATTTTTTCCTATGAGTAATGGCAGAATGGGCTCGTTTTATCCAAAGAATGCCTTGTAATTATTTTTCACATGCACAACTGAAAAACCCAAACTGTGTCCTACCTTTTAAGACTTGTTCCATGGATTACTCCCTCACAAAAAACCCCTCTCAAACATGGCCTAGCTTTTAAGGCTTGTTCTGAGGATGATGGAAGTGTTTGCGAATTACACTGGTACCTCGGTTTACATACGCTTCAGGTTACCGACTCCGCTAACCCAGAAATAGTACCTCAGGTTAAGAACTTTGCTTCAGGATGCGAACAGAAATCCTTCTCTGGCGGTGGGCAGCGGCGGGAGTCCCCATTAGCTAAAGTGGTGCTTCTGGTTAAGAACAGTTTCAGGTTAAGAACGGACCTCCAGAACGAATTAAGTACTTAACCTGAGGTACCAGTGTACAAACAACTTGGTCCTACCTACATTTATTTGGTTGCATATCCCAATTTGGCTTACTCTTGGTTGCATGTGCACAGGACTGCAGTTGCATGGATCGGGCCCCATATGTAAATACAGATAAGCTCAGCAGAACTCACTCCTAACTCTGGAGGTAAAGTAACTACTTAAGTAAACAGTGTGCTAGGAAAACAGATAACCAGGTCGTTACCTTGGCAAAATAATCAGATGTGCAGAGAGAGATGATAAATTTAAAAACCAAAACCTAAAAACAAGGCACAGACACAGAAGAAATAAATTGCAACCCAGTCCTGTAGGAAGCCTTTAAAAGGAGTTGATTCAGTTTTACAAAGAACAAAAACTGAGGTCTAATCCGAGAGTGCCCACATGAGCTATATGCACAGGCTCATGTGGTGCACTTCCAAGGAAATTTTTATGAGGCTGGTGCCCAATTCAGGTGGGAGAGGAGTGGGCAGTCTCACCCCATCCCCTGGCAACACACATGTATGTCATGTATACTACAGGTGCTGGATTTGCATGATCTATGCCTCTTCAAAAAGAGAAGGCAGTTTGTACACAGAGTACTGGTACAATTGGGCCCCCAAATCATTTGCAACGTCGGCATGAAGAGATTTAATAGACCACTGTAAGGTTTGAAGCCCCAGCTCAGGTCTGACCTGTGCATGGAACAGGGACTGGTTCTCTATAGGGGCACTAAGCACACCTGCCAAAGGACAGAAGTTCAGAGTTTCTAGGCAAGGGTGCTGTAGGTATCAGAACGTAAGGAAGGAAGAAGAGCCTGCTGGATCAGGCCAATAGGCCATTGAGTCCCAGCATCCTGTTCTCACAGTGGCCAAGTTGCCCTTAATGGGAAACCTGCAAGCAGCATCTCAACACAAGAGCCCTCTGCCTGCTCTTGTGGTTTCTAGCAACTGGGATTCAGACCCATTGCCACCTCCAACTGTGGAGGGCAGAGCATAGCCATCACGGCTAGCAGCCATCAGAAGTCCTCTCACCCATTAATTTAACTAATCCTCTTTTAAAACCATCTGGGTTGGTGACCCATCACTGTTTCCTCTAGGAGCAAGTTCCACAGTATCACTAAACACTGCATGGAGAAGTTTTTTTTCTCTGCCCTGAACCTTCCAATATTCAGCTTCGCTGCACATCCAGCACCCAGACGTGTGCTCCTACAGCAAAGACGCTCAGCACATGAACACGGGCCACGCTTGCACTCCATGCTCCCAGCAACGTCACTCTCACAAGCACAACTCAAGCCTGAGTCCACTCAGCTGACGTTTCCAGCACACCAACAGATTTGGCTATTTCAGCATCAGGTGAAGCTTTTGTCTGTGCAACTTTATTCTTAGATCTTCCTGTCCAAGCCCTTTTGGCACAGATGCTGCCTTTGGTTTCGTATTACTCCCCAGGGTCTTCATTGGACCAGGCCTTCTATCGCCCTAGGATTCAGAGCACCTCAAGCCAATGGCTTGAGTAGAAACAATTCAGCCAATAGCAGCAAGACGCACTTGTGTGACAGGGAGCAAGCAAGCCAATTGGAGCCATAGGTTTGTGCTGCCATTGCACAACACCTGCCTCCCCAGGAGATTTTTTTGTAGCATGCTGCAAATATATGCTGTAATCTTCTCTGCCCTCAGGGCTTTCCCTGTGAACAGAGATGTTCTTAGAATCATAGAAATGTAGAGCTGCAAGAGACACAGAGGACCATCTAGCTTTGAAAATATTCACCCCGTGAAGTTGCTTTAGCTGGTTGGTTTAAAAAGCGCCCCCGAGTCTTTTGAGCCAAATTATGAACCATTGGATGTTTCTGGCCATCAGGTCACCCCACAAGAACAAGAGTCAATTCAGGCAAAGGAACAGAAGCCAGTCATTCAACGGGCCTGAAGACCACACAGAGCTGCTCCTCCTTTCCCCTTCTGCTTGTGGGAACCACCAGTGCCTCAAGGCCTCCGATGAGCACGGTCCTCTATTTCAAGCTCCCCCAATCTGGTGCTCTAAAGCTGGTTTTGGACTTCAGCGCTTCATCAGCCATGTGTCGCCACTTTAGGCGAAAACAGCGCTGCTACTTGCACTTGAACTTAGCGATACTGCTGACAGCAGCGGCACCTTAAAAGCAGGAACCTTAAAACCCAAGGTTCCACGGCTTCTTCAGCTCCCTGTCAGCCTTTCGGAGGAAATCTTAAGAGTAGGTTGCTGAATCTTGTGCTTGAATAGTCCCATGCACATCTTCTCAGAAGCCATTAAGTTCAAGGCGGTTCACCCCCAGGTAAGTGTGCAGTGGGTTACAGATCTGGTGAATTTTAACCCTGCTCATGGCTCTTTTGGATAAGATTTCTTAGGGACACAAGAAGCTGCCTTATACAGAGTCAGGCCACTGGTTCGCATAACCCAGATCTGCCTACACTGACTGGCAGAAGCTCCTGTTTTAAAGCAAGGGGATTCCCAAGCTTTACTTGGGAGAGGTCCAGGAATGAACTGGGAACCTTCCACACGCAAAGGGAGTCCTCTCCCAGTGACACAGCCCTTAGGAAGAAAAATAAAAAGGAATGCTGCTTTAAGCTGTAACAAAGCAGATTTTAAATACTGGTTGGTTGAAAACCAACGTAGACAGGTGGCACAGTTCCTAGAGCGAAAAGATTACATCAGGGTAAGAACCTGGCCAACCTTACTAGTTATAGGCAAGTTTGGAAAGCTTTGTGATGGCTCTTTGGTGTCTCGGGTGGAAATAGTTCCCCAAAGTGCTTTTCTTGGTATGGAGATGCAAGCAGGGCCCCCACTTGCCATCCTCTTGAGATCAGCTAGGCTAGACATCTCCCTTTGCATGTTTAAAGAACCAGGCCTGAGACCAGAGAAGTCATACTTGGCAAGCAGGAAGGCCCCAGATAACTGAGATGGACTGAAGTGCTCAACCCTTGGGAGCAGGGAGCCAGTCCAGTGAAGAAACACTGCCTCACCTGTTTCAAAATATACTTTCCCCTCACATAATCATCTTTCTCCAGTGGGGATTTATGGGCCTCTGCGGGTCTGCCGTTGTCCTTGTTACTCGCCAGCCCTCCACACAAACTTCTAAGCCAGATTTCTATGCAGCCTTCTGATTTCACGGGCACAAACAGTACAGATGGGTCCCCCCCCCCATTCAATTGGGGGTGCTATCAGGCATACCCTAGTTATGCCTGCCCCAAGAGTTGGCAGAGTTATAAATACTTAGGTACGGACTTGCAGAAGATCCCATAAAAACAAGACAAGCAGGATGAGCATGCAACAGTGTGTAGAGCCATTGGGCTTCCACTCTGCAAAGCTCAGCCGCCCCCCCCCATGAAAACACTTCCTAAATGCAGCCACTGACAAAAGGGTGACTCCTGGCTGCAGAAATACTGTTCAGTCAACAAAAAACCCAAGCAAAACCAGTTACTAGAGGCTCCTTAGCTGTCCCCACCCCTGGAAAGATTTTTTTGCAATGGTAGTCTCCTCCACAATGATGGACATTTCTGTATTCTTCCCTTGGACGCATATGGCCTGATAGTATTTTGACCACCACCGATCACAAGAGTGGGTGCACTAGTGGGAAAGCTTTGCACCCTGAAACTAGTATTCTCTGATTTAAAAAACCCAGCCTGTCACTGCTCAACTGGTTGACTGAGTGCCTGCTGCCCCCACTCTACCCCGGTGAGAAGGGCGAGGGGCTTAATGTTTGAGCTGCCGCTTGAATTCCACCACAGCAGACTTGAGCAATGAGGACCCTGGTCCCGTAAGGCCACAGTCCTCTGCAAACCAGCGCAAGACGGGAGGTTCGCTTCCGAAGAGACAGCGTTTGGATGGGTGTTTAGGAGCGAGTCTAGCAGTAGCTGGCACTGCGCAAACCAGTTTAAGCAAATCTACTGAGACAGCGGCAAACAGCGGACTGTTAAAGGTTTTGGCTTTGCCAGGGTGGTGGCATGAGCTAAACACCCCCCCCCCCCAACACACAACTTACCAATTGTGATGCTTTTAATGAATCATGGAGGATAAAGTGATCCATGGCTACTAGCTCCGATTTGCCTTAACTACCTCCCTACATGTGGACTTCCTATAATAGGCATCCGCTTGGCTGCTATGAGACCAGGATTTTGGACCACACGGGCTCCCTCTGGGCAGATCCAGCACCCACAATTCTTAACTCTTGTTTCAGGCCTTTAAAAAACTTTACATGTGCTGTGACAGTAGCGAAGTACCTGCTCAGAATGACTTTATCCGGTAGATTAAATGGGAAGCGCTGTTAAAACCTCCCACTCCCCTCCCACACAGACACACACACACACACACACACACAAAATAGGCACAAAGTTCCCTTGGAAGGGACCGCAAGAGTTATCTAGTTCAACCCCCTGAAATACAGGAATCACAGCTAGAGAGTCCCCGACGTATCAGTAAAGCACTGGTGCACTGAGCTGCTGCTACTGCCTGAGATTGCGAATGCAAGCAGACGCATACAAACACATTTTCTAAAGGCCACCTTCTCCTTTGTACCAAAAGGAGTGAAAATAAAGCTCTCCTTGTCATTAGGGTGGGGGGTCATATCGTAAGTCTTTTAAGTTCAACTGGAGGCACGCAGATCCTTTCCCATGCTGTAAGTACATTCCTTTATGAAAATATAGTCAAATTTGTGCTGCCGCCCAGGTCAGGAGCCAGAAGTGCCAGACCTAGCTGCGTTTTAGAAGGCTTGTTTGTTCCAGCAAGACTGCGCCTTCTGAAGACGGTAAATGTGGGTTCTCGTGCCCTCTACCCCAAACAGATGTCTAAAATTATTTTAAGAACTACCCGTCTACCAAATACTTAGCCTCAAAACAGTGATTATTATTATTATTATTATTATTTAAAAGAACTTTTAACATTTTATAACCAAGAGGGAAAACGGGGTAGGGGTTGGACACAGAGGCAAAATGAGCTTTGCCCAACAATGGAAACAAAGATTTGACAAAAAAACAAAACACCCATTCGATTTCTTTCAGAATTATCTGCAGGTCAGGAACGGTCAAGATGCACAATCCCCACCTCCCCACCCCAAATAAAATAAAATGTATCACAAGCTGCCCTGGAGCCCAATCCACAGGGCAGAGAGCTGGGTCCCTTTTCTCCTAGAAATGGAGGCCACAACAAGTCAAGAACACTTTATTAGTATACAATACAAAAATAAGGAAGGAGGGAGAGAGGGCAGGGGAGAGAGAGAGAGAGAGAGAGAGAGAGAGAGAGAGAGAGAGAGAGAGAGAACCTCAAAAAGCAAAACAAAACAAAAAAACCGCACTGCTCCGATTGTGTTTTAAGCTTTGGAATTGGTTTCCAGACCTCCTTCCAACACAGAGACAAGATGCATAAATTAAAAGAGCAACAGTCAAGACTTCCTCCAACGGGGAGAGCTGTGGGTCTTTCGGAAATCGGAGGCGGCTCTTCCATCTGCTCTGCTCTTCCCCCTCCAGGCTGGGTTGGTGCCGAAGAAACCACTTCCGGCTCCGATTCCAGGTTGCAAAGCAAGGAAGGGATGGATGGGTGGGGGTCCCGTTCTCAACCTTATGCACCTATTGCACACTTAAGAGAGCACTTATTTACAAGAAGTGTAGATATATATATATATATGTATATGTATATATAAAACATTCAAACTAGGGTATTTTATTAAATTGTGTTAATATACAATCAAGAAGATGGTCTGCAGTTGCTTGCTCTTCAGCCCAATGCACATCTCGGCCCCCCTCGTTCCCCCTTCAACTCCCCCACAAGAAAACACTTGAAAATAAAACCAAGCCAACAAATATTAAACTCTCCCCGCCCCTCCTCTTAAAACAGGCACACACAAAGAAAATGAAAAGCACATCGATTATGTACAGTGTTTGTTTCCCCCCGCCCTTCCAAAATGGCAGCACAGCCGCACACTTCCGAGGCGAATGGGGTGGATCCCCAAAACATCTGCTCCCTTAATATGGGAAGCAGGTTCCCTCGCGTTCCCCCAACCCTGAATGCTACCCGCTGCCCGAGATTCGGCTCTGCAAACATGCCAAGTGCCCCACCACCACCCCAGAATGAAAGACGCTATTTCCCCTGTGCTATGCAAGTAATTTTGCCTCGGAAGGTCAAAATGCGTATCTAAGGGGGAACTGCGCCGGAGGAATAATGGACACCAAGAAATCTGGGGAGGGTGCTGCTCCCCACCCCCACCCCAATGACCCTATAAAAATCTGCCATGAAAGTTCCTTTTTTGTCATCAATGAGAAGTGGGTTCCATAAACGGGATACTTTCAACCCCCGCCAGACACCCCCCTTTCCAAAACAGCTGGAAAGTAAGGGGGGAGGAGAGACTTCTGTGCCTCCCTTCCTCTCCTAGGAAATTCTGCCCTTCATGAGAGAGACTAAGGTTTTCCTTAAAAAATACATGTTTATTTCTTATTTCCATTTTGTTTCTCTCCTTGTCAGGTGAAATACAAAAGTAACAGCAAAGGGAAAGGGTGTGTGAAGAAACCAGAGACAGGGAAATCCTCCCTGTCCAACAACCTAACCTTTTTTGTTTTGTTTTTTTACACACACATATGTACATTGCTAACTGTGAACATCTTAAAGTAAAAGCACAAAATCATTCATATATATATGAATATATAGATCATTCATATATATATTAAAATATTTTTGTCTTTCTTACAGGTTCCCTTTTCCTGCAAGAAGCCCTCCCCCTGCCACAACGGCACCCCCCAATTCTTAGCATTCTGTGGCAATTTGAGTAGCGGTAACTCTGAGGGTGCTTTTCATTGCCCACGGGTTAATTTTCTTTTTTAAAAAGGATCCATGGAATCGCCACAGAGAGAAAGAGAGCAGCAGAAATAAGAAGTTTCACATTCTATTCTCCTAGGAAGGAAAAATAAAGAAAACTGCGCCACTGCCGCCGCCAAACCACCTTTGCTCGTTTTCAATATTGGTTTTGAGTCCCTCTGCAAATTGTGAAGCCTGTCTGAAGAAACCGTGGGAAAATCTAAGAAGCCGACTTGGGGAACGCTTCACAAGAAAGCTATGCTAAACAGGCCACGTCAAAACGAACTGGTCTGACGTGGGAGAAAGCTGCGATGGATTTCGGCCCCGTGGGTTTATATACAGCATAATGCAAGTAAGTGATGTTTCTTAGGGGGGAGGAGTAGACCGACAAAACCTCCCTAATGTCTAAAGATGAAACACTTTAATCTAGAGTGGCACCAGAAGCCATGCAGTTAAGAGAGAGATTAGCTGTACAGATTAGCCACAGACTGTTGTTAGCTCCCTCGTGTCACAAGGTGGGGAGGAGAGAGATGTTGTTTTTTTCTGAACGACAGGTGCAATTGGACCTTCACAATAGTGAGGTTAAGCTGGTTTATCAGATGGGCGCCCCCTCCCTGCAAGCACTTTTGGGAATTTCAGTTCTGGGGAGGGGTGTTAAGGTTCCTGTGCTCACAAGCCAGTAGCAACCAGGGATCTTTGAGAGGGGTCCTGCCGGGTGCACAATAAGCTTGCGAGAGGATTTAAACTCAATTTTCCTGCTTCCTGGTAAGAGATGAGCTCAATAACTGCTAGTCACAGACCCCTAATATGGAGAGTGACAATCTCTTCTGCTTGGGATCAGAACAACAGGATCTGAACGAACTTGAGTTTACCCTTTTGAGGTTTACCATTCGCTAAAATTAATTTTTCAGGGGAAAAAACCCTGGGAGTAGACATCACCCAGATTAGATGGGTCAAGGAGGACTGTAGGGAAAACTACCCCCCTTTTGTAGAGCCTTGGCATTTTAAAACTGTCAGGTTTTAATAAAACCAAACTCTTCATAACCCATGGACCTTCAAGATCTACCTGATATATAAAAACTGTTCATGCTATGTACTTTTTTTAAAAAAAGGAAAACTGTGCACATATGAGCTGTGGAATATTGTTTCAAATGCACAGAATAGCAGATTATTCCTAACATTTTTTATTTTTTTTAATGCAACTTTCCTGTCGCCTTAAATGAAACGTGGCTATTAAGTGAATCCCAGTTTTTACAGAAAAGTTGTCTATGCCCACAGCTGTGTTGAGAGAAAAATAAGGAGGCAAATGGGCAGGTGGGAGGGGAGACAGTAGAGAAGAGAATCTGGGTGGATCTGGGATCTGGAGAACAGCTCCGCTCTCGAGGAGGGATTTTGGGGGAGGGAAAGCGGGAAAAGACTTGAGCAGAAGGAAGCAGGAGTCGCCTGGCATCAGGTACAGCCATTCTCCGTGGAACCCAATTGAAGGGAGCTGAAATTCACTAGGCCAATGTGTCTGCTGAGGCACAGATGCCTTGTAGAAAATGCTATGCATTAACTGTAGACACCAAGCTGTTTTCACTGACTGATGACACCTCCTTGCCCATTCCTCTCCTTAAAGAGCACAAAGCTCGCTATCTGAGCAAACTAAGTTCAGAAAAAGCAGGAGAGCTTGGCATCTCTGCCCTCTTATGATTTGGGGGTGAGGGAGGGATTTAAAAGCAGCAGCTTTTAGCAATGCATAGCTGGCTTCAAGAGGAAGGTGACCAGGGGGAGAGCTTGGGCCATATCTGCTCCCCGCCCCCCAAATGACTCTAGCAGCCTCAGCCAGCTATAAGCACCAGCATAGAATTTGCCCATTACCCACCCTGTTTTTAACCCGTCTCCAGATAACAATCTCTTTAAAGCCCTTGAGACCCCAGGCAAAGTGGAGTTATTCTGGCATGGGCTTCTCCTGTTCCCATCCCTTTGCCAATCTGAGAAATGTATGAGAACTTTAAGAACCTAAAGAACTGCAAGGAAGCAAGAAAAAGGGATTAACAGGTGCACAGAAATAGCAAATCCTTCCCTTTCCCCAACGGTTGACTCAAGCAAATATTAAATGTGCCCATGAAGAATCAGCCCAGGCCATTGAAGGGTGCGGGGAGAGTAATTCTGACCAAAAAAGGGGAAAAAAAGGAAAAGAGGCACAAGAAGAGTTAAAAGCGACAGCATGAAAGGCAAGCTTTGACTTCTTGGACCTTTTCTCTTCCTAAATTGTGTTAGGATCTTTTCTCCTAACTCTGACTTCAATGCTAGGGGAGTCCCAATTTGCTATGCGTTGGCTCAATATATATATATATATAAAATATAACCCTATGTTTCAGGAACTGAAAAGTCTTTATTTCTACGTTCACTTTATGGTTAGGTTTTTAGTTATTCTGCAAAAAAGAAAAGCCAAAACCAAAACTCACTCTCTAAATTTAGGCCGTCAACTAAAAAGCCCCTCCAAACAAGCAAAGAGAATGAAAATTGGGGGTGGGGGGAGGGGGAGAATGCAATAAATGCATTGAAGTACAGAACATACCTTAATTGACAACGAAAAAAGTTGTGGGGCCCTTTAAGGGGCAGATTGGTTTGTTGTTCTTGTTTTTAAAGAAAAGACTTTAAACATAAAACGAAAGTGAGCATGTCACTTCCGCCGCTCTCTAGAAAAGTTCTGGAACACCTTCATTCAGTACCTGGGAGGGAAGAAGGGACGTTTTGGTGCGAAGAAGGGGGGGCCCCTGGCGAAGGGGGGCCGAGGCCTTTTTAAGCTGTTAAAGGGGTCTCTGTTTAAGAACAATTCCCTGGGTCGGAAATCCGGCCTCTGGTTTCTCATCCCCAGCCCGCCTCGGTTTGTGGCGTCCCGGTGAGGGGGGACAGAGGAGCTGATGTTAAGGGCCGCGCCCAGAGGATCTCTTGGGAGGGTGCCCAGACCCAGGTTCTCTCTCGCCCGGCCGCCGTGGTCGCGCTGCCCCTGGCCTAGCTGGTCCCGAGATGCTCCCGATGGCATGCTAAAATGCTCCTTCATTGTCCCCTGGTGCACGGCCAAGGGGCTCTGGCGCTCGGCGGCTAGAGGGGGAGCCGGGAACGGGAGTCCGAGGTCCCCAGGAGGGGGCGGCGGGCTGGAGAACGGGACGCTGCCGTGCTCCCCGGGGAGAGGAGGGGGCGGCTGGGTGGGAAAGGGCACCCCGCTGCGTTCCAAGGAGGGAGGCGGGGGCGGGGGGACTCCGTGGGGCAGGCCGAGCGGGGAGGCGGCTTCCTTTGAGAAAGGGCCGGCGTGATCCACCGACGGCATCCGGGGCGGGGGGACAGAGTGGTCCCGAGAGAAAAGGCTGCCGAGATCCTTCGGAGGCAGGGACTGAGGCCCTGTGGGGGGAGGCGGCCCAATTTGGTCCATGGGGAAAGACGCCCCGTGCTCAAGGGGAGGGGGCGGCACGTGGCGGTCGAAGGCGGCAGCGGCAAAGCCGCCGGGTCGGAAGTTGTTGACGTTCTCCTGGAACGGTGGCCCACGGTCTTTGTACTGGGTCGGGAAGCCGGACACGCCGCTGCCGCCGCCACCACTGCCGCTACCACCCATGGGCGCCATCTCCGTCGTACCCGAAGGACCGTTATCGAAGGTACTACCTGCGCTGCTCAACTCAAACCACCCCGCTCTGGGGGTCTCTCGCCCGTGGCCTCGGCTCCCTTTCCCAAGGACTCTTATGGACTCTACTGTCTGGATGGGCTCGCCAGGCATGCCTCTGCTGGAGGCATTGTGGTAGCCCAGTGTTTCGATGGGGGCTCCCTTCTCTTCGGTGCTGTCGGGCAAGTCTAGGCAGGATGACGACACCCTGGTCTCGATCCGGTAATGCTCCTCTTGCTGCTTCTGCTGCTCCCCCCCGGGAGGAACCCCCACCTGGCCGAGGCCTGACAGGCCCGTGCTGTCGCTGGGGCCCCCTTTCGCAACCTGGCTGAAATGCTTGCTCTCGTCCGAGGGCTTGCGGGAGGCGTTCTTCAGCATGTTCTTGAACTCAATGGTTGAAGTGGCGGAGATGGAAGACACGACGGGCTTGTCTGCGTTGCTCGTGGGGAGTCTGCTGGCCGGGGCCAGGAGCGCGTTCTGCGGGGAGAAAAGCGACCTTTGGGGGACCAAGTGCGGGGAATCCGGATACTGCTTCTGAGGCATGGGTTTGGACAAGCTGTTGTGATTGGAATCCGGTGGGAAAAAGACATCGTTCTTGCTCGGCGTAGGCGAAGCATCCGAGCCGGAGTCGTTTCCCCGCAAACCGTAGCCTCCGTATATTCCAGGCGAAGGCAATGGGTCGCAGCTTTCGCTCTGGTCGTGGAGAGCTCTGATTGACTGGGGGAAAGCAGATTTCAGGCCAAACCCGGAGGCACGTTGACCGTAACTCGACAGAACAGACGGGTACTCGGAGGGGTCAGAAAGCTTGGTGGACTTCAGGATTGACTTTCCTGGCTGCTTCTCCAGGTTCACCAAAGCAGAAGGCGGTGGGCCGGAGTAATCAAAGTCACGGTAATCTTCATCCTCCTGGAATGAGGTGTCTGGGTAGAACTTCTCTTGCGGAGAGTCCATTAAAGAGGAAGGCAACTCTATCCCATCGGAAGACTGCTTGTACATGCTGGCTGGAGAATCTCGGCTCAAGCTGAAGGACTTGTACACCGAGTTGGACAATTCTTGGGGGTAGCTGTCATCCCGGCTCTGAAGGGGTGACCTTGTGCTACTCGGAGTAGAGGATCCGGGGCTGATGATCTTTGACAGCAGCGACATGGTGTCCACGTTGCTGGATGACGGCTTGTCCATCATCTCATCCTGAGTCGGAGTCCCGCTCCTCTCATCCCGGACGGGAGTCCCATCAATGCTGTCCATAGAGGTGCTTGTGGGTCCGCGGTTGAAATCAGAGGAAGACGACTGGCTCTCGGGGGGCGCAGCGGCAGACCCCAGGCTGCTCAGAATGGGGATGTTGAGGTTCAGGCCGCTGAAACCTGGGTTCCCCTTCAGGAAGTTGTGTATCTTCATTTCCAGACTTGGGGAAGGGGGTTCCAACTCGAGCTTGGCCTCCGCCAGCTCGGAGGATTGGCTCGTGGGGTTCTCAGCCGGCCGAAGGGAAGGGCTGACATTGTGGGAGCCGGAGAACCCCAAGGAATTGGTGGGAGGCTTGAAACTGGAACTGGGGAGGCCCACACTGTGCCCAGAAGGAACCTTGTTGACTGAGGTGGAAGAAACCTCAGCGGAGGAGGAAGAATTTGGAGAATAGCCAAAACTCTGGGGCATGAAGGGCTGAGCATTAGAGGAAATGTTCCTTCCTTTTACAGAAGAAGCCGTCGTGTTGGCCGGCGATGCCGACGTACTCTGCGACGCCATCTCGGTGGGTTGGGCTGTGTTTCCAGCCACACTCTGGAGGAACGAGGACAGACCTGGAGCGGAAGAGGAACATTTTGATCAAGAAGCAAGAGGGGCAAGAGAACGACCTCCATAAAGTAGCAGCCTTTCAGCGAACCTTTGCCAGTTCTTTTAAAAATCCTTTTAGAATCTAAGCCAACCCAGGTTGTTATTTTATCTAACCGTTTTACTGGACTGTTTTGCTGCTGGTCAAGGGCCCGGGAAGCCCCAATCTGCAACCGCAGAGTTGTGCCAATCTCAACTTAGCCTCCAAGAGCCCTAATTCCCCTCTACCTGAGTCAAGCAGGCAAGGGACCACAAGTTATTTTATGTATCACTGTGATTTTGGGATACTGGGTTGTCTCAAATGTTAGTCCTACTTATGAGCAGAACTGCTTAAATTACCCAACGCAACTGAATCTCAGTCCATTAAGTAGAACTTACTTGGATCCCAACTTTTGCAAAATGAATATAAACTGAAGATGGCATCCAACATTAAGGCGGCTGTTTCCAATGGGTTAACTAGGAGTATGAAATCACCCTAAATAAACATTCCCCCTGAAAACAATACTAAGGACATTCTGGCACATTTTAAGCTCGAAGCTGCTCTTCAAGGAGCAAGCTGCATCAGCCAGGGGGGATAACTAAGAAGGTCCATTCCAGTAAGGGAGTCTCCCATTGATGCTCGTGGGAGGCCCAGTCTGACCACTGGCCCCATCCCTCCCAGGCTGACTACCTCCTTACCTTGCAGGCCTGGTGCAGACTGACTCTGGCTCTTGGAGAGCACTGAGAGGATACTTTCGGGGGTGATCTCGACTTTGGAGAAGATATTGGCCAAAGGGTTTGGAGGGGCAGTCAGGGGGCCCATCCCTGCGGTCTTCAGGCCGCTCATAAGTGTTGTTGGGCTGGTTGGGGTGCCAGGCGAAGGTCTCGAGGCAGGACTGACGCCTGGAGGGAAGGAAAGGTTGCACAACGTGGAATTATACAGAAGCCTCTGGGCCTGACACACCCCAGAGCCAGGATAAAGACCACGGTTCACCCCAAAACTCCAAGAAGCTCACGCACCGTATAAAAAAAAGCAAGAGGGAGAGAGGGTACCAAAGGCTGGGAAGTCAGGTTGGGCTAGGACTTTGTGGAGGTGAAGAAAACCCGTAAAAAGCAGAGTTTGGAGGAGAATTCAGTTTCCCAAACATTTCCACTTTTTAAAAAAAACTTTTCTAGCTCTCTTGGCTACAAAGATATGCTGGAAAAAGGGAGCAAGCAGACCTCACACCAAGAAGGGTGGCCAAGTGCGGTTTCCAGTGTTGGGGGCTTCAGTGCCGCTGCCCCTCCCACAACTAACAAGCACAGAGGTAGGTTATGCAAGGAGAACATACGCCCAGTTTGCGTCATTTATTCAGCCTGCAAAGGACTCCACCCCTTGACACAGATGCCCAAGACCCAGTCCAGTTGTCACAGAGCCCCAGGACACGCGACTCTCACCTGTGTTCTTCATCACCGAGGTGAGGCTGCTGAGAATGGAGCTGATCTTGGCCAAATCCACATTGGCGAGGTTCGGCAAGGCGAGGGCAGGGGACTGGGGAAGGGGTGCTGCTGGGGTGGCTGGCTTAGGGGTTGTAGGGGTGATGGGGCTTGGAGCCAGCGTTGCCACAACAGGAGCAGGTAGCGCTGCTGCTGCTGCTTGCAGTGGTGGCACTGCTGCTGCTGCTGCTGCAGCTGTCGTGGAAGGAGACATTTTCGGGACGCTTTCAGCCATCTTCGCAGGGGGCATTGTGGAAACAGCTGGCTTCTCTTTCCGTTCGTCCACTGGTGCAAAAGACACAGAGAGGAGACAGTGAGGAGAGGGCATTGCTCAGTCCACACCAGCTTTCCCTAAGCAGGGACCCTCCAGGTGTTTTAGAATACACTCCCCACAGTGGATAATAGGATTGGCAGCCAAACATCCAAAGGGCATGAGGTTGGAGAAGGAAAATGCACAGAATTCATTCATACGGTCATTCATGGTGTTTGCATTACTCTGTCTGTGTGTGCGAAACAAAGTTTAGAACAATTCTAACCATTTCAGTTCCTTATCCCGCCTGCCCCCCAATGTGGCAGTTTATGTGTTTCCTAAACCTTCTGCGGCCACTGCCAGCTTGGTTTCCTAAATTCATCCCCAGTGCCCCCTACTCTTAACCTATGAAAAGCACTATATAGAATAGCGCTTTGCACGAGCCACAATGGAAAGAACATGATAAAATTCAAAACAGTAATTAACTGCATATTGAATCACAAAATCTGATTCAATCTATTTAGTTTAATTCGTTCAACAAAATTGATGAGCTTGAACCAGCTCTTGCTGCCAACTTTCCAAACTCTGATAGTCATTTAAAACTCTGGTGCCCCCCCTTAAGTAACCCCAGTGCCCCCAAGGGGACAGTACTGCCCATTTGGGAACCACCGCTTTGCTTGTCTCCCCGACACAATGATGCTTTCCCCACCCGTTTCTCCACAGATCCCTCACCTCTTCCCACCCCCCAGAATGGCAGAGTCCAGAACCATCTTTACATGTGGCCATTCCCTAAGTTCAAAGCCCACCCCCCCCAAAAAAACCCTGATGGACAACCTACCGATGATCTTTGGGGCCTCCTCCTCCTCCACATCAGAGAGCTCCATGTCCTCCACGTCACGATTGTCCGTTGCGGGCTCTGGAGTCGGAGACTTCTCCCTTTCTGCCCCTGGGGAAGGGGAGTTGTCGTCCTCCCCCATCCCAGGGAAGGGAGACTCCGAGCCAGTCGGGGAAGGGGCGTCCATGCTCGGGGAGGGGACGGGCGATTCTTCAGGGTCAGGAAGCGTCGCCTTCAGCTGATCCAGTTTCTTCTTGAGGTTGTTCACTCTGTTAGCAAAGGTCTTGTAAGCCTGGCCAAAGCGGTGGAATGAGAGAGAAAAGCCGTATTCATGTCTTACCTTTAACAAGCGTGCACAAATATTTGTGTTTTCTGCTGTCCAGAAAGTAGGACCTGAACCACTGCATTCAGATTACAAAAAAGAAGACTCTGGCTAAACATTGGGGGGGGGGGGGAACCTCCTGATTGTTTGACAGTGGAACAGACTCCCGCTCAGAAGGTGGTGGAATCTCCTTCATTGGAGATTTTTAAGCAGAGGTTGGGTGGCCATCTGTCAGTGATTCTTTAGCTGTGGTTGCAGAAGGGTTGGAGAATTGGAAGGGATTCCAAGATGACCCTCGGGATCCCTTCCAACTCTATGATGTTTTGGTGCCACCACTGAAGAGACTCTGTCCCTTACACCTGGGTGCTGCCCCGCCCGAACCAAGAGGACACTCTGGAGCACGCCCAATGCTCTCCTGTGGCTGCCCAGAGCAACACAGAACTGGGTGCTTGCTCACCACCAATCTGTTCGTTAAGAAATCCTCAGTAGAGTTCTGGAGGAAAACTGCCCTCCACTCCCAATAGCGCAGTTTGAAAGCCACAGGTTTCCAATGAACATGAGACTGCGTTAACTACACTGACTCAGTTGATGCTTTAGCCTTTCTGAATTTGGTGCCTGCGGGACATTTCGAATGGCAACGCCACCAAGCCCCCCTGGCCAATGCCCAGGGCTGATGGGTGTGCTCAGCCGGGAGGCTGCTTTATGGAGTGGAGAATCCCCTTTGCACTCACATTTGCCACCACCTTGACCTCCTTGTATTGCGCTTCATAGAAGATCCCCGCGTTCTCGAGCACCTCTGTCAAGGATGGGCCGCTTTTCACCTGCTTGTCCAGGCTGTTGACAAACTCTTCCAGCTTGGCACTCGCCTCCTCAAACTCCTTGGAGAATTTCTTTCCCCCTGTTTTGTCTGAAAGGGAAAGGAGGGGGGTTTTTTTTGGCTTAGCAGGGGGAGGAGAGAAAGCAAGAGAGACCAACCCTTCCTCCCCTGAAAGAAATCAACAGGCGATGGTCAGTGCTAGTCCTACTCAGACCCATATATATACACACATATACACTGAATCTTTTCAACATACAATATAATAAAAAACAAACTAATCAAACTCATCTAAATAAAAGTAAAAAACAAAACAACAACAAAGCAAAACAAAAGAGAGAGAAATTAGAATACAATACAAAGCCCTCTCCCAAAAGTAGATTTTAATTCTTGTCTCACACAGAAGGTGTGTGACACCCTCCCATCTCTCACCTGGGAGCTTCCTTTTCTCCTCCCAGCCTCCCAGCCTGGGAGATCTTCAGAGCAGACCCAATTAAGTTAGTAGATCTAACTACTCTGGATCTACTCTGAGCAGAACTTTGTGAAGACAAGCCATTGACCCTACACCTTGGTGGTGGTCATGGGAGGATAGGCGTGTGTGTATTTGTATACAGTCAGGGATATGTAAGGGTTCGGGCAGTTCTTAAGGCAACGTGGCTTAAGGGAAATCCGATGCCCAGCCCCGCCTGTGCACTGCACCTTTCAAGCACTTCAGGGTCTCGGTGCTGCAGACGTCGACTCTCATGGTGGAGAGCTGCTTTTCCTTCAGCTCTATCTGGTCCTCGGAACGCTTGTAGCAGAGCAGTTCATCAACCAGGGACTGTGGCTGGATGGGGAGGGAGAAAATGAGAGAGATGTGGATTCCGTCAAGACACAAAAATGGAAGCAAACTGATTTATGAAGCTGAAAGTACTTTGTGGTGAGGCAGGCAGGGAGAGAAGAATGCAGTGCAAATGCTTCCAATTCTTGGGGTAGGGGGGAGTCCCACTGGTGTACAGAAAGATGGGAAATGCAGGTGTGGGGCATGCAAGACATTTTTCCGGCCTGGCATTTTTCTAGGGTAGCTTCTGTGTCCCTCTCTCCACCAACACCCAATTTCCCTGACCTCCCTCTCTTGTACAGTGCTGATCTCTGACCTCTTGACTGCCATCTCAATCAGCAGTGCAACACCGCACCACACTGTGTGGCAGTGGGCAAAAGGTGACCGTTAAATACACACCCAGCAACAAGAACACGCAGGCCCCGGATATGCCCAGGATTCAGCATCTCTCTCTTCTCCTCCTCCTCCTCCTCCTCTGGTTGACCAAGCTGCTAACAAGGCTCCAGGATCTAGACTTTGGCCCTGCAGCTTGCAGCAGAGTCTTGCCCTGCTATTCTGGCACATGCACCCCAAAACAAATTGCCTTTGTAATAGGATTTCCAAATCTGTCCCTTCTAATATTTTTTAAATATGTGGATATGTCAAAATGCATCCAAGCACATGACTGGTTACGTGTGTGTGTGAGAGAATGAATGAATGAGCAAGACATGCAAGATTTTATGTTTTCAAATATAGGGGACTGGCCATATTTGTGCTGCTTCCAAAAAAGCACTTCTTCACGGGGCTCCTTCTAAAAGTACGGACTACCCTCTCACCGAGGTAGTTACGCCCCTCAGCTTTAAAATAAGACTGGACAAATTCATGTAGGAGAGGGCAACTAGCCACAATGGCTATGCTCTGCCTTCCCGTTCAGACCAGCTGCTGGCAGCAGCAAGAGAGGCTGGTGCTATTGTGCTTGGATTCCGCCTGTGGGCTTCCCTTGGTTGGCCACTGTGGGAACAGGATGCTGGACCAGATGAGCCACTGGCCTGATCCAGTAGGCTCTTCTTAACTTTCTTGTTTATCCCCACATCCCTATGGGTAGCTCAAAAAACGTGCAGAGCTCCTTGGAGTGTCTAGCCTATCCACTCTGCTACCTCATTGACACTCCATCTTAAGGCAGATATGGGTGCAGAGTTCAAGGCAGGGGCTGGGAACCGGTGGGCCTGCAGTTGTCTCTGGATGCCAGCTCCCACCAGCAACCTCCCTGGTCACAGGGGCTGTACCAGCTGCTGGGAGTTGGAGTCGAGCAACCTCTGGTCCCCAGGGCCTGCTTTCTGACTTGAGCACCAAGGGCCACCAGTTTGTCATCCCTGCTGCAAACTGATGGTTTTTCAGGTCTCGTGCCCGCGCACAAAGTGAATAAGGTGAAGAGGTTCCTGGACTTACCCGAAATTCTGCAACAATCTTGGACTTCAGTGCGGCTTTGGGATTTGTAGAGGCTGTGGGAACAAAGGAACAAGGTGTTTAAAGAAGATAGTGCAGGCAGGTACAGCATTCTAGAGGAGAACCCCCTCCTTCGTTTCCCACATGCAAGGGTCTGTGCAAAACCCCCCAGCAGGAAGCCACTATCCTCCCTCCACACTCAGTTGTAACACGGATGCTTCACACATGCAGGGAGAGTGATACACCCGGGTTGGTTGCTCCCCAGGAACAGCCCTCTGCACCAACCCTGCCCACCCCCCTAAACCTCTGAGCGCACTGCTGTGCCTCTTACTCTAAAGAGGCAAGAGGAGGAATCCCCTCCGCTCTCTGCATGAATGCCTGTTCTGTCCTAGTGCAGGGCAGCAACTAATGCAGAGATGCGATGGGCAACTTCTTGTGAGAGGTGGGTCATTCTGCGGTACCCCCCACCCCTGCCAAATGCTTGCAAAGCAACGCCTTAGCTTCCTTGCTCTAATTTGCAGCTTCCAGAGAGGAGGAACGGAATACTCCTTTCAGGATAAATCCAGATGTTGCTTAGCAAAATGAAGACTATTTGCAGCCTCCGTTACGTCTCTTCTCCTGACAGAGGAACAACATGCCGTTAGAGAGACAGGCTTTCGGCCTTGTGCCAAACTGGTTTCCAGGTGGATCCAAGCCCAACTCCCAAACATTAGTCTAATGCGGTTGACAGAAGCCTTTCCTGTCTGACGTCCCATTGGTCATCTTCTCTTAGCCATTTGGGGCTTTCCTGTCTGTACTGCTGCTGTGCTGGTGGACTTATAAGCTGTTCTCCGAGAATGCCAAAGACGGTTTGTTATCTGCGTGCTCTCTCTCTCCCCGATGCATTTAAAGGAGCCTGCTGTTTAAGTTAACCTAGTCCTGTGCCACTGGATGCAGGTCCTTGGCTTCAAGTCTGACCGGCCAGGTGTAAATTGCCACTCACTAATCATGTGTGCTGTCTCTCCCTCTTTCAATATACTAACGCCAGCTCCCCTAAACACCCCACCACATCTTTTCTCTGTACACCATGGGCTAATTTAAACACAGTCATATGTCCTGCATAATTTTAAGAAGTCCCTCTCTTGGTGCCTTTAGCAAAGGATGCTGCCAGCCTGACGAAGAACACAAGGCACCGTGAGTGCCTACGGTGAGGTGTGTTTTTTTGGTGTGTGTGTGTCTGTTCTAGGCTGTTCCTCAAGGAGGTTAAAATATCAAAAGCTCAGACCGTTTCCCGTGAGGATTTCCTTACTTTGAGGTTTCTTCCATGACTTAGTTGGCTGTTTGCTCTGAGTTTCTTTCTGCTGCTTCTGAGCTTTGAAAGTGGAACCTGGAAAACATTTTTGTTTGGTTTTGTTTTTTGTTTTGCAGTCTGAGATTATGGGATGCCCTTTAGGAGTCTCTATGCATGTTTAAAATAAAAAAAGGGAGAGAAAGAGAGAGACCAATAGAGGTTGATACCTGCTGGCAAACATTTTACAAGGCAAAGCAGCAGGAGACTTAAAACCAAAAATCTGAGCTTACAATGCGGAAACTTCTGAGGACGGGTCCCTCCGCCTTTCAGGATTTCAATCAGGCTTTACATGAAAAGGACGAAGTTGGCAATCTCAAGGAACAGAGTTGGGACCTCAAGTGAATTTGCAGGCAGTAGTTTAAAAGCCCCTTTCGCTTGGCTTGTGAGCGTAGACAGGAAGCCTTATGTCCATGGATGTCTGGCAGCTTAAATGGACTTGAAAGATTCCACCGTGCAAATTAAATACGGAAGTCTCTCACACTTTCTGAACATGCCACTCCCCACAACTCATTCTGTTTTCATGGCCCACCCAGCCCAGCATTTATACTGTAGGGGCTCTGCAGACAAACAAGCTCTGAGGAACAGCAGGGCTATAGATAACCTGGAAATCAACGTTAAAAGATCTCCTGCTGCAGCGAGAAAAGTCTGTTGACTGGGGCACTAATCCAAGGGCAGCGTTACAAGGGAGATGGTACCTGCTAACACTAGCACCCCAGACGAAAAGCATCGTCAAAATAGCAAAAGCAGGACTTATCGTGCAACATCATGACCATCTGTGAGGCTTCAGTGTACGAATGCTACTCTGCGGGGCTATTAGGTTAGTCTGGACAAAGGAGGATCCTGCTTCCCTGGAGAGAGTTTCCTTACAGTTGCATACAAAAATGTACTGCATGACGTTTCCACTGGGAAATGCTGAACTGGAACTTTGTTGCCCCAGCAAGCTAAAAGACTGCATCACTCACCAGTGTCACATAGAATTGTAATAATAATAATAATAATAATAATAATAATTTCTTATTTATACCCGGCCCATCTGGCTGGGTTTCCCCAGGGCTGGATATTTAAGTAACCTTTCAGGTATTTAAAATTAAGGATGGAAATTAAGTGGCAAGTGGTGTAAACCACAGCAACCTGGGGCAGACAGTTCAGAATTCTCTTCCCTAAGCAAAATGCCACTACTGACTTCTGTGCAGGTGCAGAGAGATGATAGCTAATGGATTTAAAGGATAAAACGTTGTCCTCGTAATCTCAAACCAAACTCTGCCTCACTCACCCTCTAAGTCATCACCACAACTGCACAGATGTGAAAAAGAATAATGGAGAACTTACTTAAAGCTTCTTTCAGTAACATGATGGTTTCTTCTGGATACACATTTCTATCTTCCCAGATTTTAAAGATTCTTTCTATAGATTTGGAGACTGATGGATCTCTGAAAAGGACACATAGATAACACATGACTGTTTCTAGCGCATCAATTTGCCCCCTCCTCTGTGGACATACAAAGTGCCAGAAGAGATGGCTGATTAAAATAAAATGCAAAAAGGAGGCTTCTCACCTTACCTTCTCTTTCAATAATTTTCTGCAGGTGGGGATAGCAACCAGCACAGGTTGGGGCAAATGACAAAAATATGTACAGCTGATATTCCCCCCCCCCAATTCCACAAAAAAACATGTACATTCTGACATAGATAATAGTCTTAGCCTCAGCATATCTTACAACGCTAGTGCAGGGATCTGCCACTCGCTAAAGTCTCTTCCCCCAAATTCTCCACTCAAGAGGTGCATTCCTACCATGAAACAGACATACGTCTAAAGGGTGAAGCTGTAGACATATGCAAATTTAATAAACGCAATGACAGAGCTCACAGATGGACTAAGGTGTCTTTTCATCTGGCAAGGCCCTGGCTTTCAGTTAGCACCACTTGTCCTTACAAAGCAGCAAACAGTGCTGTGCTTGTAAAACCAGGGGTTAGATCAAGGCAGTCAAGCAACACCTGCAAAGAGGGATAGTTCGCTGAGAAAAGGCAAAAATCTCCCCCTAATATCTTTCCCTTAGGACAGTTTTCATCAACCTGATGTCCTCTAGTTTGTTTTTGGGCTACAATTCCCATCTGCCCCAGCCAGAGCTGAATATCAACACAAAAGCCTGTGGCTTCAGAGCTAAAATCACAAAATTATTTTAGATTTTAAGATCTTTGGGACAGAGACCTTCTGTCTTGTTCCCTGAAAAGTGCCAAGGAGTGTTGTCACTTGGGTGTTGTTACTTAAGCACAGCCTACCTAAAGAAGCCAATGTCCTGCCCTCGCACTGTGCTTTCTGCTTCCTAAGAAGTACCCTGTGACAGAACCTGCTTTCACACATGCCTTGCTGTTCATTCACAAAGCAAACAAAGAAATCCAGCCAGCCTCCTCCGCACACCAACTTGAGTTTGGCGAGCAGCGAAACAAAAAGACTTTTGTTGTGTTGGATGAGAAATGCAGGGGGAAGCCATCAACTTACTTCACCAAAGCGGCAGCCTCCGGGAGCACTTCAGCAAACGTGTCACGGAACACAATCGCGTTTTTCCTTTTGCAGTTCTGGATGACATCATTGGCCAGGTAGAAAAGGTTCAGCCGATGCGGAAAGGCAGCTGGAAAGAGCAAGGAGGAAGAAGGTCAGTTGGTAGTAAAGCCACGGGATAAGGCGACAATGTAGGGTAGAAATTATTGCAACACTTAATTTTCCTGCAGAAAAAATATGTGTTTTGTAAAGTTCATCAGCGACAATGAATGGATGTGGGATGCAACTGCAATATTAGGCAAAGCATGGCAGTTTGGGCATTTTTAAGCTTCTCTTGCCAAATACTAGTAAAGCAAGCATGCTAATGGGAAGCCCCTGCCAAACTGATGCCCTCCAGATGTTCTGGGTTACAACTACCTTCAGCACCAGCCAGCACATGCCTTGGGTCAAAAGGCTCCCTATTGAAAAGCCCAGCAGAAATGGGAGCATTTAAAAAATGTGACCTGCAATTTTAAAAGGTGTTTCTGCTCATCCCTTTCCACAGCCTGGCAGAACAGATTCTCACCCTGAACAGCACACAACCACAATGCCACCATCTGCATGAATCCTTGTGATTCTGCCTTGCAGAGAGGCAGGGTCACTCTTTGAAGACCAGCTTGGCAACTATCGAGAACCAGCAGTGCTCAGGAAGCCAGGGCGGATGCTGGAGTCAAGACTTGTAAGGAGATGTATAAGAAGCTGCCTTGGACCAAGCTGATCAGTGCTGTTGACCCTGACTGGCAGTGTCCCTTCTCTGCCTGATTAAGATCCTTCAGTTGGGAAGTCCAAGCATTTGGAACAGGAGCAGGAAAACTTTCTCAGCCTGAGGGCCACATGTGAGTGGTGGGCGGGGCCAGGGACAAAAATGGGTGGAGCAACTAATGTAAATTCTATTCTACAAACAACTTACACACTCCTCTCTATTCTGAATCCAGGCAAGCAAGAGGCAAATCCTCCCCCAGCCAGACAGGGTATTCGCCACAGTGTGGGGAAAGCAGAGGGCAGGTGAAGAATGATGTTTTCCTATCCACCCCACTGCTGCTGTCACAGATTTTCCCCTGGCCCTACTCTGCAGCAGAGGAGCCACCAGGTTTCCCAGACTCCACAAATGCGGCCCAAGTTCAATATCCCCACCCCCTGACGCAGAACGATGGCCCCTCCTCAAGGAGGCAGCCACACACGGGCTACTGCAATCCATGCAGTCGGGCCATTCAAGGGCAGCGCCAAGTCCATTCTGCAGCCCTTCTGATCTCTGCTCCCAATCTGTAAGCCAGATGGGCAAGTCTTGTCCCTGAACTGCTGATATGAAGATCCGAGCAGTGCAACAGACTGTGCTCCAATCCGCTCCCATCACATTGGGGACAGAGGGCAGGGCAGCCTCGGAAGACGCTCCTCCTGCGTATACCCTGCCCGGAAGCAACCCAAAAACCTGACTCAAGGCTATGTTCAGCAGGTACTGTTGCTAGATCTCATTTATTGCCTCAAAGGGAGAGACAGTATGTTTTCGAGCACAATTCAAAGTGTTGGTGCTGACTTTTAAAGCCCTAAATGGCCTTGGTCCAGTATACCTGAAGGAGCATCTCCGCCCCCATTGTTCTGCCCGGACACCGAGATCCAGCGCCGAGGGCCTTCTGGCAGTTCCCTCACTGCGAGAAGCGAGGTTGCAGGGAACCAGGCAGAGGGCCTTCTCGGTAGTGGCACCCGCCCTGTGGAACGCCCTCCCACCAGATGTCAAAGAGAAAAACAACTACCAGACTTTTAGAAGACATCTGAAGGCAGCCCTGTTTAGGGAAGCTTTTAATGTTTGACAAACTACAGTACTGTAATTTAATATTTTGTTGGAAGCCGCCCAGAGTAGCTGGGGAAATCCAGCCAGATGGGTGGGGAATAAATAATAAATTATTATTATTATTATTATTATTATTATTATTACTAGCAACAATTGTTCCTTGCTGGGCCCATATACTGTTAGTAATGTAAGGAGGAGATGAAACGCAAGATGTAAAGCACCTGAAACCTAATAAAAGGTTACATACCCCTTTTAGCTTTTTTAAATTAGTCTGTTCTCTCTCTCATGATGCAAGGAATGTAAGCACCGGCAAACAGAACTAAAAAGCACAGAACAAAGCTTCTCACTGTAGCACTGGGTGGGTGGGAACCTCCAGCCTCCAGACCTCTCAATCTGGTCCTCAGCACCGTCCCCAGGACACACCTCTGTCTGCCACTGCCCTCTCTTGTGCCTCTGCCTGGCAGGAACACAGGCCTGAGCTGTGGCAATGCCTCTTGCCTGGCTGGACAGCACAGAACAGAATCTAGCTCACCGGACAAAAGTTAAGGAGTCACAACTGCTACTTTGCCCACTTTGGTCTTGCCCAGGAGCGAATGCAGCCCTGACTGAAAAGAGGTCCCTCCCCAGGGCAGTGTAACAGAAACAGCGCTATCCAGTCCAAATTCCAAATGTGAGAGATCCAGCCTCTCACACTCATCAAAATTACTAGGACAGCACAGTGAAATCTTGCCTATTTCCCCATGCCATCACACACCCTGCACAGCATCAAACCATTAATTGTTCTAATTAAGTATTTATTTGCTTGCAAGCACTCCTGCCATCGGTGAGGTTTAAAAAACAGAACAAGCTGTCCTGGCTGCAAAGTGCTCCAGAGTTGTGATAAACGCCTCTTACATGTCTGGATGGTAGGGTGGAGAGGTAGGTGCATGTAGAAAGCTGTGGCTTGCACAAGGCTGGTACGTAGCCTACTGCATAGGTAAAGGTAAAAAGAAAAGGGCCCCTGGATGGTTAAGTCCAGTCAAAGGTGACTATGGGGTTGCGGCGCTCATCTCCACTTTCAGGCCAAGGGAGCTGGCGTTTGTCCACAGACAGCTTTCCGGATCATGTGGCTAGCAGGACTAACCCGCTTCTGGTGCAATGAAACACCGTGATCAGGGTGGATAAAAATCAATGATTAAAAAAAAAAAATAAGTAAATAAATAATCTTTTTTTTTAAAAAAAAAAAATTAAATTTAAATCAGATTTTTAAAATAAAATGCTTTTGGAGGAAAAAGCTTTCTAAATATTTTTCTATTTAAGTTACATTATAGTCCAAAGGCTATTCATCAGGAAATAAGGATGTGTTTTAGGTTTTTCATGTGGGGTAAAACTCAGTCTAAGGTTTTTTGTTTTGTTTAAGTTTAACCACATCAGTTAACAAACAGGGATACATATGCTACAATGTTATTGCTTTGGTTGAATAAATTGTTTAAATTGTTATTAAGGAAATGATCATTTTTCTCCTTCCAATAAAGTACAGCAGAAAAGGTGTCCAAATATAAAGTTAACTTATTAAACCTCACAATAATTTCATAATTACCTGTCTATGTATTTCTAATAGTATAACAAAATTAGTAATTTTTGATATAACTGTAAAAACTACTGTGAAAATTTATTATTCCAAAAATGAAACCTTCATCTGCTAGTAAATATTAAGAGTATACCAGCAAGAATAAGTCTTTCTGTAAAAAAAAATATTTAAACCAAGTCTTTAAAAAGAAGGTAAAGGACCCCTGACAGTTAAGTCCAGTAAATCAAGTCTTACTGACTAGTGATTTAAATTTGATTTAAATCAAATCTACCCTGATCATGACGGAAACCAGAGCGCATGGAAACGCTGTTTACCTTCCTGCCGCAGCGGTACCTATTCATCTACTTGCACTGGTGTGCTTTCGAACTGCTAGGTTGGCAGGAGCTGGGACAGAGCAACGGGAGCTCCCTACGTCGGGGGGGGGGGGATTCAAACCACCGACCTTCTGATCGGCAAACCCAAGAGGCTTAGTGGTTTAGACCACAGCACCACCCACGTCCCACCTACTGCATAACAGCAAGCATCACAAGACACTGATTTGGCTTGGACAGCCACCTTGGCCCCTGGCCCTCAAAAGGCTGCCTCCCTTGGGTTGAAAATGTGCCCCACCCCTGCAATATAAAAAGAGAAGGAAGTAGGGCCAATTTGCATTAGCTACCAACTCCCAAGGTAAAGCCGTATTCTAACGCTCATGATATGCAAAGGTTGAAGTCTATTTTTAAGTCATCGGAAACTATAAAAAGCTACAACACAAAATAGCATGCTTATTCCACAAAAGACAGAAACAGACAACAGATTTTCTTTTGCCTGGCCTATCAGCATATTCTGCAATTACCACTGATTCATCAGTGAACCGACAGCCACCTGCTCTTCAAACCAAACATAAGGCAGGCTGAACTGAGATCTGCTAGTGGAGACATACTTTTGTCAACAGGCTCTACAGGGCCTGGTTTTAAATAAAAAATAAAAATTTCAAGCCACTAATTTAAATCAAGCTGAGGCGTCAACAGACTCAAGGGACCTATCTCTTTGATCAGTGGTTTTGTATAGGTAGCTCCCATTATGCTAAGAAAAGCCTTTAATAGTTTGTGCTGTCACATTTCAGGGTTCCAATTCTGCAGAAAATATTTGCAAAGATATTCCTCATTATTTTAATTGTTTCTGTCATTTATAAATCGCTCCCCATAAAACACTCCAAAGTCATTAACAATAACATCAACAGAAAAAGTGTATTTCCAAACAATTTATTCAAGTACAGACAGGTAGAGACAGGTACAATCCTCCCCTGACTTAATCACTTGTCGGGATATGAAGGTCTTCAGTAGGTGCCAGAAAGACAGTACGAGATGCTGGCTGCCCTGATACGTAATGGGAGGGAGCTCAATTTCCTTTAGTGCCACTCCAAAGGCCAGATTCCTACACTGTACCAAACAGACTTCCTAATGTCATGGTATCCGCAGAAAGCAGAGATTACTCGGCAGACAAGCACAATTTGGGGACTGGAAGATGCTCTTTTTTAAGAGGGTAGAAAATTAGACTGCAAGTCCTAACTCTTGTTAACAAGCACCTCTTGTTCTCAGCTTACCCCAGGTGTTATACAAACCCTGGGATTCTTCTGAAGCTTATAAGGGTTTTTTGGTTTTTCTGAAGATCAGTAATGGTGGGTAAGGGATGCGGGTGGCGCTGTGGGTTAAACCACAGAGCCTAGGACTTGCCGATCAGAAGGTGGGCGGTTCGAATCCCCGCAACGGGGTGAGCTCCCGTTGCTCAGTTCCTGCTCCTGCCAACCTAGCAGTTCGAAAGCACCTCAAAGTGCAAGTAGATAAATAGGTACCGCTCCAGTGGGAAGGTAAACGGTGTTTCCATGCGCTGCTCTAGTTTGCCAGAAGCGGCTTAGTCATGCTGGCCACTAACCCGGAAGCTGTACGCCGGCTCCCTCGGCCAATAAAGCGAGATGAGCGCCACAAACCCAGGATCAGCCATGACTGGACTTAATGGTCAGGGGTCCCTTTACCCTTTACCTTTACTAACGGTGGGTAAAAGCAGCCTGCCCAGAATTACTCCTCCTCTTTCTATGAAGGACAGCAAAAGGGGGCTAGAAACATTCTTGGGCATACACAGAGCTCACAGAGGGTAACTTCTGAGCCTGAGAAGACATGCATGTGTCTCATGGGAACTTAAGAGATGCTTCTTGCTATCTCAAAACACACAAAGAAGATGCAACAGGGCTCCTTGGCAATGGCAAGCAGGAGAAGGGTCATGGCTCAGTGGTACAGAATTCAAGCCCTGCATGTGGAAGGTTCCAGGCTCAATCCCCAGCATCTCCAGGTAAGGCTGGCAATATCCCTTGCCTGAAACCCTAGACAGCTGCTGCCAGCCAGAGTGGACAACACTGAGCCAGTTAAACCAAGGGACTGACTTCCTATGTTCTTATGTGAGTGTGAAGATCACCAGCTTCCTTGATCCTTTGGGTTTACCACCAGCTCCAGGAACCTCATTGGACAATAAAGGCACCAGCTTAGCTCCCAGCACCCACCCACAGACACACACATATACCCACACACCCCGCCACTTCAAATGCTGCTTCGCCCTGTGCCCAGTTCCACGTCCAGCCTGAAACAAGCAGACCTACAGCAAAGTTTCATCACTCCATTCTTCCCCTTCCCTAATCTGGAGGTAGGCAGACTGTGGACTCTAAGCCCATCATCCCTGACCACTAGCCACAATTGCTTGGAGTCTAGAAACATCGGGGGGGGGGGTCCTACAAGTTCCTTGCCTGTTTACAGGTCGCTTGGCAGAGAGGCGCACAACCCCTTGTACTCCTACCAAGCCAGGGACCTGCTGGAGAAACTCAAGAGTTGAAACACAACCACCTAAGCCTCTAACACAGAGACACTGTTGTCCCCAAGCCACCTATGGCAAAGTATTCCCTCCCCAAATAGCACAATCCCAAGCATGTTTATTCATACACTCTTTACTTTTGATTTTAATGTTTTGTTTGTTGTAAACCGCTTTGAGGTTTTTTAGTATCAAGCTGTGTATAAATGTTCTGAAATAAATAAATAAATAAAAATAAAATGCCACTTGAAATACTGCTTAGTACCTGTACACAGGACTGCAAAGCCTTTGCTTTTAAAAAAGTGCTTTTTATCGTGCTCATTAAAGAAATTGTCCAATGCCAAAAAAGAAAGAAAGAAAAAAGATCAGAGGAGACATTGAAGAACAGTCAATGCAAGGCTGCACTCAAGGCAGGAGGCCTCCTTTTCCTTCAGAAAAGGCTCCCCCCATCCCACCTCCTAATTCTTCTCTCCCTTTGCTATGCAGAAACAGCACAAGGTCTGACCAAGATTCCACCTCTTTCAAAACTCTCACCCAGTATTTGTTCCCTTGAGAAAACAAGATGCACCAAGCACTCTCCCCAGCTCAAAGTCTTGAATGGAGCAGCAAAATCAGAGGAGAGTAAAGTTCCCTCTCTTTTTGGGTGGGGGCAAGGGCTTTCAGATATACTGCCATCTGTGTGTACTCTGCTAACAACCAGCGACAAGGCTTCAAAACCCTAAAATGTATTTTATATAATTGACTTTTTATTTCTATTCTTTGTATATCGTATTGTTTTATCGCTATGGCCGACGGCTGATGCAAATAAAGATCTGTTCATTCATTCACCCACCCACCCACAAGGGGCAGGTCTGGCCACACTAGTTCTAAAAGCTGCCCCTCTGTGGGGAGCGGGAAAGACCCCAGACAACGGGCATCCAAGCAGCAGCAAGAGAACTGCCTAGGATGGGGGGCAGCCACATGGCACCCATACATGTGCCTTCCACAGCCCCCTTCCAGCACCCACAGGGCTCCTCCCCTCCACCTGCTAAAATCAGCCTTGAAAGAAGCATTCTATCGTAGCCAGTAGAATATGCCAGGGTGAGGGGCTGAGTTGCGATGCTCCTCCAGCATCCACAATAGTGTAGGACTAGCTCCTGAAATGCTCAGCACTGGCCCCTCTGAATCTGAAATGATTTTTCCAGCCCTGCCGCCTGTTAGCTCTCCCCCTCCCACCCCTGATGTTGTTATTCATTTCGCTTCTATACCGCTTTATATCTTCAACAGAAAAATAATAATCTCAGAGCGGTTTACAACACATTAAAACATCAAATAAAACAATTCAGAATGGAACATTGCTGCAGAAAATCAACAAGTATACATTCTTAACAGGAAACTAAATATTATCCTAAAGATTTTAAAATAAAACATTGCAAAAAAGAGGTCAACGGCAGAATGCACATTTAATGTAGCATAGCTAACCAAAATAAATAAATAAATATCTTAAACATTTCAAAAGAAAACATTAGCAAAGGAAGTCAACTATAAACTTCACATTCAAAACATCATAACTAACAAGAGAATAAAATATTATCATAAGCAAAGAACGTATCTGCTGCCGATCCTGCCAATGGTGGTTCACGGTGGGGGGCAGGTTTACACTAAGAGACAGTCAAGATGGCCTCTTGCTACTCCTTCCAGCCACCTACACCCTCCTTCCGTCCCTCCAGTTTCTCTCAGCTCCTAAAGCTGGAAACAAAGCTCTTCTTTGGCCTCCGGCAAGCACCAAGTTCACACACCAACCAAACCTCACACATCCCACTTGCTGGTGGCCAAACACACTCTAGGGGGTCTACTCTGTGGTCCTGGCTTAGCAGAAGGAGACTCTCCCTGCCCAGGTCCTTTGGCACAACTGCAGGATGAATTAACCCATCTGGGATTGAAGTGGCAGCTGTGCGAGGAGCCCGAGAAGGAATGTGCCCGCCCCACACAGCCAGCCCCGAATCAAGGAAGGAGCCTTGCTTTTCAACAGGTGAAGCCAGAAATATGAGAAGAGGCGTTCAGGATCTCACTCTCCAGTGGACCCGAGCTCAAGAGCCCTCTCCCCTCCTCTAGTTTTCAGCAACTAATACAGTGGTACCTCAGGTTACATACGCTTCAGGTTACAGACTCCGCTAACCCAGAAATAGTGCTTCAGGTTAAGAACTTTGCTTCAGAATGAGAACAGAAATCGTGCTCTGACGGCGCAGCGGCAGCAGGAGGCCCCGTTAGCTAAAGTGGTGCTTCAGGTTAAGAGCAGTTTCAGGTTAAGAACGGACCTCCGGAAAGAATTAAGTACTTAACCCGAGGTACCACTGTATTCAGAAGCAGTACTGCCTTCCAGTCCCTCCCCAAGAGTCACAATAAAATTGCTCAGGGGAACAAGACAACTTCATTTCCTCACCTTTGTTCCAATGGGAATAAACAGGAGTGGAGTAATTAAAAGAATCTCTGGAAATTTCCTAGGATCTCCCCAACCCATCGTCTCCTCCCCTGTGCCTGGGATGAGGAAGACGTAGCAACCCAGCGGTGATTTTACACATTTGGAGATATGAAACAGCTGTGCAGCGCATGTGTGGGTGTGGGTGTGGAGGGAGGCTCTCAGCACAAACACAAGCCACTTGATCCTTGCCGTGGGGCTGGGAGGCCTTGTGAATAGAGCACTTGAAACCTCTTGCCATAAAACACAGGGCCTTGGGAAATGCAATTTGTGCGCGCAACGGGAAAGGAGCAGCGCATGAGACAGACCTTCAAAGGTGAAACTTTCTTGTAACGAATTCGTGGCTGCTCACTGCACCTTTAGGGCAGTAGTTGATGCAGCCAGTCAAAGACCGGCAAGTGTGCTGCTGTGGTTAAGCAGCCCAGAGGGAAACTGATCCAGTGGCTTTTTGATAAAGCTGTAATGTTTCAGGGCATCACCAATTCAATGCTATGGCTGCTTAAAAAGGGGAGGGGACCTCCTTGGTTCAATTCTCATGCCTACTCCCCACCGCTGCCAGCCCTTATCCTGGCTGAACCATGTAAGCAGAGCTTTGTAGGTACTGACTGTATTCACATGTCATGATAATAAGCCAGAACTGCGTGCTCTTGGCTTCTGGGGAATTAGCAGCAGCCCTGTTCCCAAGTAATGCGGGGCAGAAATTTCTACAAAGCCAAGTTTTTCCCTCCACAGAAAAACTTCCCATTTCTGAAGTTTGATAGTAAGTACGCACAGGTGCCAACTGCAAACACAATTATTAGGCAAGCTTGGCCGTTTCAAAGTTTCTAGCTTTATTTCCTAATTACAAAGCAAAATTAACATGCTAAATTAGATGGGCAATAGGACATTTTCTGTTGCAAACCAAGTATTTTCCAGAAAACCTACACCACTGTCATGAACACTGACCAATCGCTCCCACTTCTCTCTTCACCAGTGCAAGAAGCAAGCTGAGATTCAAAAGTGACAAACAAACCTTGGTTTAAGGCTGGCTGGGGATCCTGGCTTGTTAGAGAAGAACAAGCCAAGACCCCCAGTTCTTTAATTGTTGGGAAGCCAACTTAACTGTGACTGCTAGCTTATTCCTCCTGCTTGTGCCAGGCAGGAATGAAGTGGGGGCAACTGGGCCATGTGGGCCCCTGATGTTCCACAAGACCAGTACCATTGGCTTATTCTGATGTGTGAACAGCGGCCACTGGGAGAGTTAAGCCCCTCAAGGCAAACAAACCAAGCTTTTCCCATCTTGCCAAAGTGAAAGAGAACATCTGCTAGCGACACTGTCTGGTGCCCCTGTTCTAAGCAGGGAGAAACACAGGGACCCAAATGGACCAGAAATGCATCAAAAGAAAGAGGGTCTGGTGTTCTTAGAAAAATAGTAAAACTTAGATCTGATTTATTTCTTTCATTTTCCAAAATCCCTGTGAGCAAAATTGTTCCTCACTCCCATCCCAGCTTCAAGATGTATGGAAGTTGCAAATGTCTAAATCACACAGCCTCTGCATTTTATACTGATTGTTGGTTTTTAACTGCATACTTTTGCCATTTTTGTGATTCTTATTCTACATTTTGCTTTAATGTAAACCACATAGAGGTCATTTTGACAAAATGTGCTGTACAAGAATGCAAAGTAAGTGATAAATGAATAGCATCAGTTCCTAATGCTGTTGCTTCATTGGCTGAAGAATGCAGCACTATCTTTCTTGCTGGCTATATCACATCCCCAAACTATTTTTCTCTGCTCTCCCACTCAAAATTTGAGCTCCGCTCTGGCTCAGAGGCACATCTAGCCTCCTGCTAACTTCCAACCTTCACAGACTGTTTAAGAAACATCTTCAAGGTATTAATTAGCTCCCATTCAACAAACATCAAGCACCAAAAAGCTGGCAAACTCCAAAGTCCAGAGTTAGGCAATACCTTTATTAGGCACAAAGAAGGCACAAAAGTGTGGCAAGCTTTTGAGCGCTGCAGAACTCTTCATCAAATAACGTTACACAAGGTAGGGCATGGCTGGATGAGAATTTCTTTTTTAAAAGGAAAGGTTAGGCGGGTTGTTGTATGGTGAGGTCAGCCTGTATGCAGACTCCATTCTGAGATGGAGATTTGCAGGCTGAGTCCCTCCCAGGTGTTGAGATATCAGGTTGCACACCTGGGATTCTAGGATAAAGAAGCAATGGCTGCTCCCCATCTCTCAGAAAAGAAACGTCTGGCTTGCGACCTACTTTGGTCATACGCTGTTAAACAAAATACACAAGCTCTCGGGCAGGTAGAGAATTGAAGCAAAGAAGAACATGGCAATATCAGCAAAGCCAGGAGTTAATTTAGGAAGATGCACTAGATAAGAGAGTCACAAAGTGTAGTGCTACCCAGTGGCTGGAGGTAATGTAACTGTATCATCTTCAAATTGTAGAAGACAAGCCTTTAGCAGCTGCTAAGGTATTAGCAGGCTGTTTTTACAAATTTATTTAGCCTGCTACTGTTTTTATCCGTTGTTTTAATGATTTTTAGATATGCTATGTTTTAATATGGTGATTTTATTATTTAATTATTACAGGTGTTGCTGCTAACATGCTGGGAGCCCCCTTGATAACAGCAAGCCAGAAAAGCTGCCTATAGATTAAGGATTGCAACCAGCTATTAATGGGCATGACTAACTTAGGTCCATTAATTTCAAGGTGCCTATTCTGAGTAAACTTAGTTGGATACAACTAATGGAATTTTAAAAAATAAAAATGGAGATCTTACTTAAGAACCTCTACACTACACATTTTGAATAGAACCTTGCTTTAGAAACTGTTTCGCTCACCATCCCAAAACAGTTATCATTTTGTTGTCATAGACTCCCCCCTCCAGGTGTTTCCCAAATTTTCTGCTGACATCCAACTAAGCCAACTGTCCTCTGAGCATAAGGCCATTGATTACAATGGGTTTACTCTCGTGTGTGAGACTAACAATGTATATCACCCTTACAATTATTCTATCAGAAAAAATGAAAAAGTCTATCAGAAATGAAAAAGAGAGGAAGAGGAATAGGAATAGGAATAGGAGAGAAATCAGAGCATCCCTTTTTTTCTTTTTGGGCCTCCACATTTAATTGTTCACACATACAGCTCAAAACTAGCTACCCGGTTTGTTGTCCCTTGACTGGTCACACATTTCAACAGTAGCAACTTTTCCATTCCAATTGATGAGTCATTTGGCTAAACCTGAAGGCTTTGTTACAGACAGCCATGTGAACAAGAAGCTTGTCCAATTTTTTACATACACGGTCTCCTTGTGTCTTTTCCAGTTTGGAAATAGCAGTCAATCCATTTATTTCCATCCACGTATAAAAAAATCCCTGACTCTGAAGGCGAGCAAGACTTCATTCACCCTCAACTCCTCTAAAGAACCATGTGAGCCACCACAAGTTCCATTGGAGAAATGGTGGGATATAAATTAAATAGACAGACAGACAGACAGAGTTGACTCTTGGCTTGGAGAACAGAAACAAACATTATTCAAATATCCTTTCTACAGGCAGGTTCCCTTTTCCCCTGTGACACTCAAGTCAATATTTACAACCAGACCCAGAAGTTTCTAAAGCAGCTTTGCAGCAGTGGGCAATTCTGCAAGGGAAGAAAGAACCAGCCCATAGATTACTCTACCATTCTGCTACCCCTCCTCTCTTCAAGGTACAAAAGAAAACAGAGAAGGGCAACTTCTGTGTCCTCCAGTTCTAAGCTTCTTGAAGCAGGTGTTCAGTGAAAATGAATGAGATTTCTGAAAAACAATGCCTGGGATCAGGGTGTTCCTCCGGTGTGAGAGGTATAGTATTGCTGGCATTGAGGTAGGGTGAGCTGAACCATCACACACCGTCTGGCACATGCAGGTGCTTCCATGTTTCCACTAAGTTCATGCGTACAATCTGTGCGTCAGCAACCAGGTCCCAGGAGTTCCCAAGGTCTCTGACAAACGATAACAACTCTTTTTAAAAAATCACCTAGAAATCAAGCCAGGTGTTTGCAGGAGTGTGGAAAAAGAATCTGCTCAAGGCTGAGTCCACAGAAGAACCCAGAGAAGTACAGGCAATGGTGGAGCCTCCATCTTCAGGAGGTGCTGCTATTAAGACCTGATCCTTAAGTGTGGGATTTGCATGCAAGCAGCACGTATGAGAACCAAAATGTCGAGATTCCTGCATTCCCTTCCAACTCTGCAATTCTACGATTCTATAAAAGGCTACCCTTGCCCCCAGATTGTAAAGTATGTTGTTGGATTACAACTCCCATGATCGCTGACCATGGGCTGTTTTGGCTGGGGCTGGTGGGAGTTTGAACCCCACAATCTCTGGGAGAAACCAGGGCTGCTGGGGAAGGTTGTCCGAGACCAAACTCTCTGTCCATGCTCAGATAGAATCAGCAAGCCATGGTTTGTTTACGAACACCGGAAGCTGCCTTAAACTGACTCAAGCCCACTGTGGTCAGTGTTAGAAACTGAGATAAGAAAGCTAGGAGCTAAATGGCACCTTAAACCTAGGTTATGGGCACAACAGAATGTCCAGGTGCGCTTTTTTATAGCAAGAATACAAAGCTGAAAATGAATGAACTGCAGCTAAAATTCATGTTCATTTTTCACATGGTCTAGTCCTCCCCTGCCCACCCCCCTAATATTCTTAAGAGGGTCTCTTCCCCAGACTTCAGAGAGTAACTGGAAGTGTAGAGATAGAAAAAGGTCCTCCTTTCCTTCCACTCTGCAGTTTTAATCTGAAATCTTAGGTGCAGTACTGCACCCAGAGCTCAGAAACTTCTCACGCTAATGAAATTTCCTGCTGCAAAATGCGCCTAGAACAATGGGAGTTTTGAACACTGACTGGGGTCCACCTAGCTCAGTACTGCCTACACTGACTGGCAGCGGCTCTTCAGGGCTTCAGGCAGGGATCTCTCCCAGTTCTGCCTGGAGATGCCAGGGACTGAACCTAGGACTTTCTGCAAGCAAAGCAGATGCTCTAACACTCAGCTACAGCCAAATGGTGGTTGGTTGAAACTTCTGAACAACCTGGCAGACCAACCATGGTTTGTTTTGTGGCAACAAACCATGGTGTGAAGCCATCGTGTGTGGCTGGCTTGCAAACCGTATGGCTTCGTTCTGAACCCAGCTTAGCCATGGTTTGTTTGCCTCCTGTCACAGATGCTTGCCAAGCTTCAAAGGCACAAGAGGAGAAAAATGAACCAGTTTTGGAGAAATAAGCTGTGTGGCTTGTTTGCTCATCTAAAAAGACAACTCGTGGCTTCTTGAACAAACTATGGCTCAGTTTTATGTGTGAATTCAGCCACTGTGTGCACACCAGAAACCTTTTCACTGAATGTGTTCTTTAGAAACATCTCATTTTAAAGATCACAAAACTCCCAAGAACAGCTATTTTGCAATTCATTAGGATTTTGATAAGCAAACTTCATTTTTCTTTTTAAGACTTTTGTTACGCCCAACTGCCTTTTCCGTATCCCACCGCAACTCCTAAAGTTGCAGATTCTAATTAATGGAAAGAGTTCACATAATACATAATCAGAACTCTCACAGAGACCGCCTATGAAATAGTCCCACAAACGCCGTTGTCACAAGGTCTGGAAAGATAGTGTGAATGAACCAAAATTATCGTGAAGGACTGGCTCAGGGATTCTCAGATAACCACCATGCACCTCCAGACTATGAGGGGAGCAAGCAGGAGTCTACATTTCACAAAAAGAAAAGAAAAATAAGTATGTGATCTGCTGCAAGTTCAGAAGCTGATCCTTGCAAAAGAGATGTATGAGAACATCCCTAAGCAGCCAACATTCAACACTACCAAGTGCATTCACGGCTAGCGAAGCACTCTTGACTTGTAACTCAGATTTGCATATTCCTAAAACTAGCAGAAGTTGTTCCAGTAAAATCTTACTGCCTTGGCTTATTTCCTTCCCTTCATCGCTAGGAAGCAAGCCAAGTGCAACTGTCTAATACACTCCTTTAGAATACAGCACTGACTGCACCAATATAGTTGCTCACTTTTGGAGTTTATCTTGCTGCAATTATAGCTTAGGCAATATTTTGCCCCACAGGAACAGGTTTCAGCTCAGCTGCAGGTACAGAACAGAAGGAAGCAGTTAGCTCAGTTGGTTAGAGCATGGTGCTGATAAAACGCCAATGTTGCAGGTAGCGATGTTAAATTCTCGAGAATAATCTTTTGGAGAAAATTCTCGATTAATGAGAATATAGGTATTAGAGAATTTTCATTTAAAATAGGAAAATATTCATTTTAATGCATTGAAAATGATATGATTAGTTAACATACATGTTTATTCATGGGTAAACTTGTTCAAACGGCAACCAAAAACTGTACAGATACTTTTATTAAATGAGGCTATGCAGTGAATTCACATTCTTTGATTTTTTTTGCACTAAACTTGAAATTGAAAATTCAACCTGAATGACTCACATTAATCACTAAGCCTGCCACTAACTGAGAATTTACAGTTTGTGGAGAATATTCTCTGGAGAATTTTCTAGCAGAGAATATTCTCCAGAAAATATTCTCACCTCACATCACTAGTTGCAGGTTCGATTCCTATAAGGGCCACCTCTGTTTCATTGCAGGGGCTTGGACGAGATGACCCCCCGGTTCCCTTCCAGCTCTACAATTCTAAAATTCTGTGATCGGACAGATTCAGATACACCCCAGGCCCCAGCCAAATACACAGAGTACTGTAGTGAGTAGTCTTGCTTGAAAATGCAACCTACATTTCAAGCTTCCCGGTGCCTCAAGAGGGCAAACTGAAACAGTTTGCTCACAGAAAGGAAATTCAAAGTGGTTGAGATATCACGGCGATCCTGCTACTTCTTGGAAAGGACAACCATGTTGAGTACCAGCCGGCAGGTCAAACCTAAGGCGCTCCAGGTGTTGCACTTATTGGGAAGGACCGTAGCTCAGTGGTACAGAATCTGCTTTGAGTGCAGAAGGTCCCTGCCCTGATGGCAGGTGTCTCCAAGTAGGACTAGGAGAGGTTCCTGCCTGAAAGCCTGGGGAACTGCTGCCAGTGTGGACAATACTGAGACAGATGGGCCAGTGTGTAACCCAGTTGCATGCAGCTTCCTAAGTTCCCACTGGCCCCACCTAGCATGTCCAGTGGTCAGGGATAACCAGGGAGATGGGAGTCCAACAACACCTGGAAGGCCATAGGCTCTTCATCTCTACTTAAATGTGGACAGGACAGGGCTCACGATCCAGTATGTTAGGAGAGAGGTGGAAGTGAGGTGGCTAAGAAGGACACACACACACACACACACACACACACACACACCCCTCCGTACATTTACAAACATTAATACAGGCTTGTCAATTGTCACTTGCCCAGCAACTTGTGGTTGGAATTGACTGCCTTGAGGCAAGCTGGGAAGATTTACAAGAGTGTTCTTTTTTTTTAATAAGACAACAGTGACTAATAAGGCATTCATGGGTGGATGGTCCACAAGCCTAGCAACTTTCATAGACTTCTTTGCAAGGCTACTCGCATCCCCTCCAGCTCGCTAATTGCAAATATTCAAGTGGAGGGGGAAGGTTTATTTACTGGCCAGCCTGTTGAATCCCTGTACACCGTCCAATATTCAGATTTAGCTATGCACTTGAGGGGAGAACACAGGACAGTCAAACTTGCTTTTGAAAACAGCAGCAGCAGCAGTAGCAGCAGCAAAGGAAGGTTTGCTGGCTTTCAAAAGCAGATTTAGCACCCTGCTGCTCAGCGACACTCCAGGCAATTCACGACAGATAAAAAACGTGAGAGTTTTTTGTCATCTAGAATTATTGTTAAAAAGTCACCCACATCCATTCTACTTATCTCATTCTGTACCTGAAGTAAACAGCTTGAATGCCATGCCCTCATTCAGAACCACCCCCAATGTTTTCCATTTCCCAAAGCAATAAAATCTAAGATGCTGGATTCTCACTCAGGCAGGAAGTTCACTGAGCAACCACAACAGCTCAGTTCTTGCAACTTAGCCTACATTACAGGGGTAATATGACACATATAAGGGCTAACAATAGGAGAATGTGGCACTTTCTCTAATTACCCTGAGCTGCCTGTTATCTTAGGGAATATTCAGGACAACCAAGCAGGTTCAAGATTCAAACCTCATGCCACCCACCAAGTTGCTGGGTGGCCCTAACCAAGCCACTACTCACTCAGCCTCAGCACCCTCCTTCCCAAATCTTCACCAAAAGGATTGGAATCCATTATTTAAGTGTTCCTTACCGCAGCTTTGTACAGGATACACGCCATCACTTCAAGCATCTGAACAGTATTACTGCACCAAGGCAGACCAATCCATCCTTTTGACCTAATGTATGCAAAGCGTTTCTATACTATTGAAATGTAGTGTATGGGTGCTAATAAACTAAGCCCACCTCACTTTGTGTGGGAACTCACCCTACCCCCGCAAATTTTGGCCCTCTTTACAAAGTTATTACATGGGTCACCGAGATAATACAAGCAGAATCCTTTGGCTTCTTCAGATGCATTGATCAGCCTGCTTGCCATACCACAGACCCTCTCTCAGAAGCAAGCCCCGCTGGGTTCAACTGAACTTAATGCCAAGTAACACAGGTGCAGGATAACAGCCTTAAACATCACCCTTACACCAATCACCTTTGTACAGATTGCAGACCCCTTTGCACTGCCCCACAGCCCCCATTCTTAGCCCACTAAAAAGAATTGCTGCAAGGCAGAAGTTACATATTTGCCTCTGAACACTTTGAAGGGGAAGTGGGGAATGACAAAGTTTGTGTTATTTTATCCATTTATTTGTTGCATTTTTATCACTCCTTTCCTCCAAGGAGGACAGCGCCTTGTTCTCCTCCCCTGTAGAGGAAGTTAACCCTCCACTGTCCTCTTGCTGCCTTGCTGACCATAAAGCAGAGGGTCTCACCACCACTTTGCAATCCCTTCATATTCAGCCCACCTTAAGGGACCCTTGCAAGGAGCACCAAGGAGAATTCACTCTGCATAAACATTTAAGTGTGTACACTGCACCAATCCCAAATGTTTGCATCAACAGCAAGAATCACCATCATAGTAATTCTTATCATAAAGACCTGTTAAAGTGTTATACTAAACCTGTTATACTAAATTTGTATACAGTGGTACCTCAGGTTAAGTACTTAATTCATTCCGGAGGTCCGTACTTAACCTGAAACTGTTCTTAACCTGAAGCACCACTTTAGCTAATGGGGCCTCCTGCTGCTGCCGCGCCGCCAGAACACAATTTCAGTTCTCATCCTGAAGCAAAGTTCTTAACCCGAGGTACTATTTCTGGGTTAGTGGAGTCTGTAACCTGAAGCGTATGTAACCTGAAGCGTATGTAACCTGAGGTACCACTGTATCATCTGTAGATTCACAAGCTATATTTACCAAGTGAGATCTGCACCCACATAGATGTGATTTTCTATAAATCCGTATCTAGGGGCAACAGAGGAAGCAGACTTATCCTGAGCAAGACCTTTGGTCCATCTAGCACAGTGGTGTCCAAACCTTTTCCAAAGAGGGCCAACCAAAGTTGTTGACCTTTTTTTAGGATTGGAGTTGTTGAGGTTTTTTTAGGATTTTACCACAGGAGATAAACTACCACAGGGGCCAGATTAAATTGACCAGTGGGCCGGATTAGGCCCCCGAAACAGACTTTGGACATGCCTGATCTAGCACAATATTGTTCTAGACTGACTTGAAGTGTCTCTCCAGTGTCAGGCAGGAACCATCCCTAGCCCTACCTGGAGATATCGGTGACTGAACCTGGGACTTTCTGAATGCATAGCAGATGCTCTACCACTATGGTCCTTCCCCAAACATTGCACTTACAAACACCAATAACCACAAACAATGGCAGGAAATCCCACCCAATCCCCCCTGCATCTACTCTCTCCATTCTTATTTCACCGTGCAGGGCTGTTGCAAAGACCAAAGTTGTTGTACTACAACTCACACCTTCCCTGATACACGAGTATGGAGGTGGGGTAGGCTGTATGTCTGAGCATGGACTCAATTGCTGGAATAGCCAGGCCAGCCTGGTAATGGCCCGCTAAGTATGGGTCCCTAAGGGGACCAGAAGGCAAATGGGTGGGCTTCCCTCCCTCAGAAGGCTGAAGATGAGGGTTGAGTGATGTGAGCTAGAAGCTGCAGGAAAAGCTGCAGGCTTAAAATGCAGGGAAAGAGTCAAGCCTGATTTCTGCAGGCACCCAAGGCTGCAGCTATGGGGGAAGCAAGGCCCTTCTTGGGGTGCTAATGCTGTGAACCCCTCCATGGTAGCCTGAGGTGGTATATATGTGTAAATAAACCGTATGTGATGAAGACACCACAGACTCCACTGTGCCTCATTCCAAACTCTGGGTAAGTGTTCTGATCCATGTATATGATGAACTTTTTCTATGCCAATAAAGGAGATTGATGGATGCATTATACACACACACATAGTGAAAGCATAAAGTGCATTTGACCTCATCATCAACGTAGGAATATCAGTAACAGTGCACCCTATATAAAATGCTGCGTCAAATTCACACAGATATTGTGTATGCACAAACACCACAGCAAAATTAAGAAACTGCACGAGTTGCCAAGTAAACTATGCATATCTTGTACACGCTGCCATAATCGTTGCCACCACAGTCATCACTACCACCACTGTAATAGTAATAATGCACCCTGTATAAAATGAAAAGTAAATTCTACAAAGTGATTTTGCGCATAACATCATCATCAACCACCACAACGTAGCTTATCATAGTACTGTTAATACAATGCCAAAACAGGGACTTCTGAAGGACTACCCTACCCTGAGGGAAGCAGGGAGGAAGCATTTGCCACTTGTCTAAACAAATCCTTGTCTTTCAGCTAAATAAATAATGCACACTATAAACTAAAATATAAAATAAAATCTGCCAGCTAAGATATACACACCACCAGCAGCACCATAATAATCACAGCAATACTACTAATAATGAATCCATTATAAACTGTCAAGTAAACCTACATGTTGTACTGAGATGGTGCCTCTGTTGTAGCATCAATTATCATAGCAACCTTAATTATGCACTTTGGATAGACTTCCAAATGAAATCTACACAGAAATACTGTACGCATCGTCAGTGCTACCACCAGAGAAATATAATCACAGTAATAATAATGTACCCTCTATAAACTGCTAATCTACATAGATATGACAGCACTATGAATAATTATAGTAATATCAACAATTACAAACTACCAACTAAAATCCACGCAGAGAGACACAGGATCAGTACCCTCGACATAATAACATTAATGGTCATCATCACAAAAATATTAATAATGCATACGATTTTTAAAGCCAAGTAAAATCTTCACCATCATAGTAACATCGCACCCTGCATAAAACACCAAGCAAATCTACACACAGGTATCATTATTAATAATTTTATTTATGAACTGCTTCCCAGGAAGCATCTTGGAGCAATTTCCTTTAAATTATGCCATACATGACAGTTACATTTATAAAAACAACAGGTAAGTTCAAAACAACAGCGCCTACACTAAAAAATTCAAATCCGAGACAGATACCAAGTGAGGCAAAGATTTTAGAAGGCTCCTTGAAAAAGGAAGGTGGCAGAGAGAGAGGAAAGAGACAGACAGACAGCATATAAAAAACAGTTACATTTATAAAACCCCTTGACAACAACTGCGTACAAAAGCAACTTAAAACAACAGCAGCGGCAAACCTTTTCAAACAGCACATAAAAAAACCAATTCAGATCCGGGAGCGATACCAAGTGGGAGGACGATCTTTTTCTTTTCTTTTTTTTTACAAGGCTCCTTGAAAGAAGAAGAAGAACGCGGGAGGCGGCAGCGATGCCAGGTATATCCCACACCCCTTGTGTTATCCACACGCCACACAGAAAAGCGGCGCATAACAGAAACGCCAGCTCAAGACAACCGCATGCAAAAAGAACTTTTTTGGGGGGAAAGCAGCTATTTGGAAATCCTGTTTAAAACAGAAAAATACAAATATATGTGTGTGTAAAAATAAAATAAAAGAATTGACGCGTATATCCGGGCGGGAGGGAGATTTCGGCCGAGGCTTTGTTGAAAGGTGACGGAGGAGGCGTCGCCAGGTATCCCACCTTTGCCACCACCCATTTCCCTGCCCCCCCCAGGCCCTCAGGTGAGCCCCTCCCCGCCCCCCGCCCCGCGCACTCACATCTGCGCATCCACTTGATCCAGTGGTGGACGATGGTGCTGTGGTGCCGCTTGTTCTCCAGGCACCACGACGACAGGCCCTGGATGGACTCCATGGTGTTGGTCACCCCCTGCAGCTTCCTGTCCAGGGACGCCTCCAGAGGGCCGGACGACGACGACGACGAGGCCGGCCCGCCCCCGCCGCCCGCGGCAGCGGCGGAGGACGACGACGACGAAGAAGAGGAGGACGACGACGACGACGAGGAGGCCTTGCCGCCGCCACTGCCGCCGGCCGCCATCTTCCCTCCCCTTCGGTCGCACAAGCAACGCCGCTCGGGAGGGGGAGGGGAGGGGGGACGAGAGCGAGGGAGCGCGAGGGAGGGAGCGTGTCTCGGCGCGTGCGCGCGTAGCGTAAGCGTGCGTGCGCGCGCTCAGTCCGCCCGCCTCGAGCGCGCTTCTCTCTCTCGCTCGCCGTCTCCAGCGCGCAGGCGCACTCGGGACAAGGCGGAGCTTTTCCCCCGGGGATGCTCATCGCGAAGGGCGGGGAAAGGAGGAGAGGAGCTGATATCGATTATGGTCATAGTTAAATCGAAGCTGCGCATTTAGCGTTATGAATACGAATACATTTCCCCCCCCCAAAAAAGTTTTTATTGGTTTTCACAACATTATAAACAAACAAACACATAAAACAAACATAAATCATAACCTTATTAGAAATTGTTAAGTGACTTCCTCGCTTCCCCTTGCTTGAATTTCATTGCATGTCCTTTTAACGGTTTTCCAAATCACAGTTCTTGTAAAATTTAACTTAAACATTAACATCCTTAGATCTTCACATTATGAAATTAAACATATTAATTCATCACTTAACTTAAAATCCTAAGCCAATTAAGTACCTGCAAGCTGTTTTCAGTTAGTTTAACTTAACATATTTAACTAAGTAATCATTCAATTTGATCTTCCTGATACTCCTCCTCCTTCTGGTCGCAGACTTCCGGTTAGGTTGGCTAGCTACGGAAAATCCATCATCTTCATCTGCCATTCTTCTATCGCTGGTAATTCTTGGGTTTTCCACTTTTTAGCTAACAAAATACGAGCTGCAGTTGTGGCATACAAAAATAATTTAACATCTTTCTTGGGCAATTCCAAACCTGTTATTCCAAGAAGAAAGGCCTCTGGTTTCTTTATAAATGTATATTTCAACATTTTTTTCAATTCGTTATATATCTTTTCCCAGAAGTCTTTCACCTTGGGGCAGGTCCGCCACATATGCTAAAATGTTCCTTCCTTTTCTTTACATTTCCAACATAGATTGTCACACTTATGATATATATTTCCTAATTTTACAGGAGTCCTGTGAATACGAATACATTTATTGGCTGCGTTGTATCGCGTTGCATTTATTACACTGGTAATACGCCGATATCTATCGGTTTGTTGCAATAACTTGAAAACAATGAAACAGCACAATTGTTCTGTTTATTGCATAGGTAGGCAAACTAAGGCCTGGGGGACGGATCTGGCCCAATCACCTTCTAAATCCAGCCTACAGATGGTCCAGGAATAGGCTACAGAATCAGCGTTGCTATGGGAATCTACTCATTCACATGAGTAGAATGTGTGCTTTTATTTAAAATGCATCTGGGTTATTTGTGGGGTATAGAAATTAGTTCATTCCCCCCCCCCAAAAAAATATAGTCTGGCCCCCCACAAGGTCTGAGGGACAGTGGACTGGCCCCCTGCTGAAAAAGTTTGCTGACCCCTGGAATTGTGGCGATAGCTACGATAATTATGCTTATGAGCATCGTTGCAATAACTTCACCATAGTATTATATTGGTATAATAAATGAAATTGTTGTAATATTCCTTTTATTAATTGCGCTAATAAACATAATCTTGTGGTAGTGATGCATTTATAGCCGTGCACTGTTTAGAAGCCGCGGCAGCGCAGGGTTTTTGGAGTTTTTCTCATTTCCGCTCTGTGACAAACGCGGATTCCGCCGTGCGCGAGGGGGTGTGGCCGAGTTGGTCCACGCTCCCCCGAGCCCGATCACGCACCGCGGTGCAAAGTAAAGCCAGCGTCACTTGCGCCCCTCGCTTTTTTGCAAAGGTTTCCCAGCGATGCAGGGAATCACTGCTTGCCCAGCCTCTGTGCAAAAGATTTGTCAGTGCAAAATGTTCCTTGCACCGATTTTTTTTTTTAGGGTAAAAAATAAAACAAAAAACCTCTTCCGCTGGCAATGGATCTTTTATAAAAAATATATATTTGCAAAATATATATTTATATATTTGCAAAACATATATATATATATATATAATATTTATACATATTTTTTGCAACTGGCAGCCCCGCCCCCCTGCACGGAGCCGCCGCCGCCGCAGCTAAAGCAGCCGCTCCTCCCACGTGACCAAGCAACGAAAGTTTCTCGGGTTGCTTCCCCCCGCCCGCCTCCGACGAGCCGGTCAAGTTTAGTCCTCGTCGAGCGGCGATTGGTGGACGCCGGCGCGCGCGTTCACCCGGCCACCAATGGGGAAGCTACAGGAGAGCTGAGAAAGCCCAATGAGGCGGCAGCGGCGGCGCGACGCAGCCAATGGGAAGCGAGAGGCGGAGGAGCCAAAGAGCGCAGCAGCCGCTCCTCTCAGGGTTGAGTGCCCCGCCCCCTTTCGACCGTGAGGCGAAGGGCGATTTAAACCGTCGCCGTCGCCCTCATCCAGTTTAAAGGCTCAGCGACGCGTTGAACGCCGTTGCTACGACAGGCTTCGACAAACCGCCATTTTATATATAGCAAGGGGGGCGTTGTCCGCTTTATACGCAACGTTAAGACTCAAAAGCGCGCGCGCGTGCGCAGCGCGCCGGCCCGAAGCCCCAGCGCATGCGCAACGTGCTCCAATCAAAACTCCTTTTCGATAGCGCGAAGCCGATGTGCAGCATAAAATGTGAGGCGGCTCAGTCACTTCCCAGAAGCCTTTGGGCACCAACTTGGCCACACTCCCATAATTCCATGGGCCAGTTCCCAGCATTCACTGGGGGACAGGCCAAGGTTTCTATTTCTACTCCCCTATTTTAAATACTTGTATGATTTAAAACAGTAAATCATCTTTGGTGATGTATAAATAAATTTATTTTTAAAAATGTCTTTAAAAACCCTTAATACCATAAATTTAAACATTTCCAGCTCTACATCAATATATATTTCGATGGGAGCCCTTTTCTGGTTTCCCCCCTCGTCAACATTTATAGTTCATGAATTTTGAAAATTCAAGGGGCCCAACATTTTTCACTGCCCCATTATTATTTTGAGGGGGCAGCCCCCCAAGGTCCAAAAAAGGGCCAAGCACGGAGTCCAGCTGAGTGTAACTTCAATGTCCAGCATCTCCTCCTCCAGGAAAAGCAGGCCCCCAACAGTGGTGGCAGCAGCAGGAGCCACTGACGCCACATTCAGCTCTGCCTCCTGGCTCCTCCGTTCTGGCAAGACATTGGGATGTCACACATGTGACATCGCATGCAAGTGCGCATGCGCGCACACACACAAATCTCCCTCACAAGTTTTCACCTCTGATCCCTGGCCTTCAAGTGGTGTGTCAGGACCTCTTACAGGGTCACAGCCCGATTGATCCAAGGCGAGTCACAACAGGAGCACTACCACCGTTCAAATATATGGTAAAAAAATCAAGGAATGGGTTCCCAGATGCATGTTTGGATTAAAGGCTGGTTCTGAAAAGGTTAAAGATTACTGCTCTAGAACAGTCTTTGCCAACTTGGTGCCCTCCAACTGCTTCAGACTACAACTCCCATCAATTCCAAAGGAAGGATTCAGAGGCTGCTGCAGAAATAAGAATTTTTAAAAATGAAAAGCAGTTCTGAACGTGTGCTGAATTTCTTCTGGAAGGGGAAGCCAAACCCAAAGTAGTTTTGAAAGGAAGCATAAAAGCATCCCCTCTAATTCATACTTTTGTTGTCCTGAGAGCCCAAGGATAAAACCCTAGCTCGTGGACAGCTTTCTCAAAGATTGCCTCTAGACCAGACCTAACCAACTTTACAGGAACAAAGAAGCCCTCTGCCATCGCTGGGATCCTTTGTTTTCCAGAGCCCTCACCTGGAATTTACACATTTCTACCAAATCACAGCACAGTTCTGCTTCACCCTCACAACCCTGCACGGGATTTAATATTGCTTCAAAGGGACTGATACTAGCCACCTCTAGACCCAAGTGTATCACATTCCTAATAAAACCATTGAAGTTAAAGGACCTCAGTAAGCTAATGTGAATTTAACATCCTTATCGTGACACCAAGGATCACAGCGGCACATAGACACAACCCCATTAATAAGAATTTCTGAAGGCACACCCCTGGACACCACAATTCACAATGCAATAGAAGGTCCTAAGGTATCAAGCTACTTTGTCCCAAAATTTAACTTCACCTACTTTCCTCTGCAGAGTGGCAAGCTGGGAATGATGTGGCACCTTCTATTTTGTATGGAACAGATACAGACTCTAGTCCCAAATCCCAAGGCATCTGGCTGGCCACTCTGAGAACAGGATGCTGGGAGTAGATGGGCCTGATCCAGCAGGCTCTCGTATCCTTAAATTGAAGGGGGGTGCTGAAATGTGAAATATGCTGCTTCTAGAGCACATTTATCACAAATAGTGAAACCAAAAAATTTGCATAAGGATGGGTGGCCTGTGGCCCACCTGATATCGATGGATTCCAACTCCCGCCAGCCCCAACAAACATGATCAATGGTTCCTGGTGAAAGGCTGGCAGGGGGGAGCTTCCCAGAGGTATTTGACAAGGCCCTAGGCTGACATCCACACCAGTGTGGAGTTGCAAACTTTCTCAGGGGCCCAGTCCACTGTCGCTCAGACCTTATGGGGGGCTGGACTATACTTTGGGGGGGGGGGAATGAATTCCTATGCCCCACAAATAACCCAGAGATGCATTTTAAATAAAAGCACACATTCGACTTGTGCAAAAACACCAGACAGGCCATACAAAACACGCTGATTCCCAGACCATCCATGGGCCAGATTTAGAAGGCGACTGGGCCAGATCCGGCCCCTGGGCCTTAGTTTGCCCACCCATGGTTTAGTTAGTGTGTTGGACTAGGACGCAGGAGACCACTAGGTGTAAAGTCTTGGGCCAGCCACTCAGTCTCAGCCAGGCTACCTCACAGGGTTTTTGTGAGGACAAAATGAGAATTATGTACACCACCTCGAGCTACTTGGAGGCAAGGTGGAACATATATATGGAACAACAACAAAAAACACGTTTGAAGTACTGTAGATGGCTCCTCGCTCCTCAAAGAATCCTGAGAATTGTGGGTTGTTGTGGATGCTGCGAACTGTAGCCTTGAGAGTCATAAACTACAGTTCCCAGGATTCTTTGGGAAAGGCCATGTGTTTTAAACGTGTAGATGTGACCTGCTGTAAGCAAGATGAATGATGAGATGGGACCCTTTGTCTGATCCAGCAGGACGACTCTTTCTGCTGCTACCCACAATGCAGTTGGTCTTCGGTCATACCAAGCCTTGAAATCATAACCACTTTGTTTAATGCACAGTGAGCAGACTTGCTCAAAAGAAACAGGTAAAGAAACATGGTTGGGTTTTCCTTTTTTTTTTTTTTTTTTTTTGCTTTTAACTTCTTACCAAAGAAAAAAAAAGTTTATTATGTAAATGTAGGATGCGGGCTAAATCCCCAGCTCCTAAAATCTGCTGTACAAGTTTCCAACGCTGCGGTTTGCCCTCTTAACGTCCAACGAAGTCGGTGACCCCACAAGTGCTCCTTTCTCCCCATCACGGTGGTGCCTGGCTGACTTGCCTAATGTCCAAACAAACCTACTGAACTGGCAAAAAAAGAAGAACAAAACCAAAGAGCTGCGTGTGGTTAGGAGGCCAATGGATTTGGAAAAGAGAAGACCTGGGCGGCGTACGGATTTCTTTCGACGCTTTCTCCACGGCCTCCAAGTCGGATTGTTTCCAGAGGGCATGACAAGGGAGCTAAAAAGAGCGCACGTCAAGATCCACGAACCGTTTCAGTCCAAAACAAAAACAGAAAAACCCCTAGGTAGTTTTGCTCTGTTTTTTAAAAATATTTCTTTTAATCGTATGCTGTCACACTGCAGGGAACTTGAGGGGAGAAAGTGGGCTTGGGGAGGGGGGGCGCTTGGATGGCAGGGGGAGAGGAACCTCCAAGGCCAAAGTCTCAGCTGAGTTCTCACTCTCCAAACTGAACACCACAAAAAGCCAAGAGAGAGAGAGGGGGGGCCCTTTAGTCTGTGGATTCTAATACGGACTCGCTCAGAGCCAGGTCCCAGTAGTGCTCTGCTCCGTGTTTTTTAAAGTGCTCCCGTGCCATGTTCTCGGTGGGGCACTGCTTGAATTTCATCTCCCCGAAGCTGCGCTCCTTTGCTGTGCCCTGAGGGGGGAAAGACAAGAGTGGGTGGAATTGGGTTTAGGAGTTAAAAGAAAAGAAAGAAGAAAAAAGACCACTAACGTTCTTAGCGCTGTGGACCAAGAAGTAAACGCTTGAAGCTTAAACTGGTTTAACCAGGACAACCCTCCAAACAAAACAGAGTTCTAGGGAGGAGGCTGGCAATCCCAAGAATAGGTTCGGTATCTTTTCACAAACTGTCTGGTGGCCACACCTGCGACATTGCAGTGGGTGGGAGGGGAGATACAGGCAAGATATTGGAAGAATGGGGTCCAACAATTTCAGCGTGGCCCAGAAAACAAGGTGCAAAGACCTAGGAATTTAAGTGGATACTTACCTCCCAAACCAGAGAACATTTGTTTGACTTTTTCACAGACTCCTCGTCGGATTCGTCGTCATCTGAAGAAAGGAAAACCGGGGGGTGGGAGGGAGAGAGAGAAGGCTGTGCTTAAAGCTGAACACTATTGGACTATCAGCCTGAAGGAGGGCTTTTTCTCAAGTGCTGCATGCATCAGACTGGGACCTCTGTTTGGTAAGGAGATTCCAAAAATCAGCTAGTACAAGAGAAGAGCCTGCTGGACCGGGCCAACGGGCCGTCTGCTCCAGCATCCTGTTCTCACAGTGGCCAATCAGATGCCCCAATGGGAAGCCCAAAGGCAGGACCCAGACACAAGAGCCCTCCTCTCCCCTCCCGTGGTTATACAGAAGCCTTGCTGCTTCTGACCATGGAAGCAGAACACAGTCATCATGCCTGGGAGCCATTGATAGCACTCTCCTCTGATCAAAAGGCCTTGTGGCTATTGGTTTTTTTAAAATGCTCTGATAAGTGCTTAGAGTTTTGATTTGTTGTCAACTGAGAGAGTGGAACCGCAATTATATACGAGATCTTTACTGTCATTGTCCCACACAGAACAATGAAATTGAAAATCTACATAAAACATTCAAAAACCCCTAAAAACTCTGAAACCCCATTTTAAAATACAATATACGATAGAGACTCCTTATGATGCGTTTAGAACCAGAATTGCATTTGCGTAGAAACTGTTTCTCAGGCAGCTAGCCCTAGTCTTTATAACCCTGTACCTTCTTCCAGAAGGAAGACGCTGAAAGAGATCGTTTCCAGGGTGCGTACTATCCTGCGCTATCTCTGCAAATTTCTTATAGCACCTGATTTATTTTAAAACACCATTTAAAATAAATACTGTACTCCCTTATGCTGGGCATAAGAGGGTTATGCGAGTGGGGTGGGTTATGTGTGTCCTTACCGTCTCCTTTTGTATTTGATGTCTGCTCATCCCACTTTATTCGATGCAACATGAGCCGTTTGAATTTTTTCTGTGCTTTAGGGCCTGGGAGGGAAGAGAAAGATCACCGAGGGCCATTTTAATTCTGAAGGGAGTGTGGGCAGTCAGCCAAAAAAGCAGCGTTGTTACGTTATTGCGAAAGGTTCTAATAAAGCGGCAGGATAGCCCACATTCCTTCGAGCACATTTTGAACACGAGGGTTGGAAAAAATGCTCTGTGAAAGGCTTGGGTGGGAGAACGGAGTCTGGGAAAGCCATGCTGCACATCCAACCCACACACCCTCCTGCAAGCCCCACAGGTTCTCTGGAGAACATCCTTTGATAAAAGCTCCCCACTGCAAAGAACTATCCTGCAGCGAGGAATTCCATGCGTTAAGCTGGGGCTTCATGAAGCAGGTGGCTCCCTTTCAGGCCTGATTTGCTGCCGAGTGATTCCAGTGTAGGAACCCACGTCCCAGAACACGTAAACCAAGCACAACCCATCCTTGCCCGCCTCACCTCCTTCTACCACCACCACATTGACATCTTTGTGTAAAACCACAACTCCTGTTAGGTACAGTTGGCCGGCGTTCGCTTCAATTTTGAATTTCTTTGCCGGATTGCTTAGATTTCGGACTCTGAGAGAGAAAGAGATGTTTAAAATTTTCATTTTTTTTAACCAACAACCAAAACACAAACAGTGAAACCCCCCAGGCAGCTGATACAATGGGTATACATAATCAATAACAACATATTCAAATCAACCATATGTACAATTTTATATATGTTAACACTCCTCCATCCACAAGGTTTATTTAACTTTTAACATTTTAATTGCCCTAAATTGTTCAAACCTATCCAAATAATTCAGTATCTTCTCAAACCAATCCTCCTCCTTCTCACTGACCTTAAACCCTTTCATTCTGTGTATCTTCACAGTTCGATATTCTAAAATTATAATATTACAGTGGTGCCTCGCAAGACGAAATTAATCAGTTCCGCGAGTCTCTTCGTCTAGCGGTTTTTTCGTCTTGCGAAGCAACCCTATTAGCGGATTAGCGGTTTAGCGGCTATTAAAGGCTTAGCGGCTTAGCTGCTAAAAGGCTATTAGCGGCTTAGCGGCTTAGAAAAAGGGGGGGGGGAGCGAAAAAAAATCTCAAGACTCGCAAGACATTTTCGTCTTCCGAAGCAAGCCCATAGGGAAATTCGTCCTGTGAAGCACATCTAAAAACGGAAAACCCTTTCGTCTAGCGGGTTTTCCGTCTTGCGAGGCATTCGTCTTGCGGGGCACCACTGTATTCAGATTTTTCCTCCATTGATTCACCCCTGACTCTTTTGCATTTTTCCAATTACTCGCTATAACTTGTCTGGCTGCAATTACCATCAATTTTACCCATTTACATTCCTCTTTTGTTTTTAACTCTGTGCTACTCAGACTAATAAGAACCATTAATTTAGATATTCCCACCTTCCTACCCACAATTCCTGATATTTCTATACCAATCTGTTTCCAAAATTCATTTGGAATTTTGGAGAAAGGGAAGAAAAATGCGTTAAAGCTGTTCTCTTTAAAAGCTTTCCTCTGAGTGTGGGGGGACAGGGATGCGAAGAAGGCGTGGGCAAAGGCCACAGAGAGGCCTTTGCCTCTGGGGATGGAGGAAACTCACCTATAGACAGCTACGTGGACCCCCTGTGAAATATCCTCTTTCAGCTTTTTAACCTTCTTGGCTTTCCTCTGTTCCACGGTGAGCTTCCGTGCAGCGTTCGCCTCTTCGTGAGCTCTGGGGAAGCAAGATTATATATGCATTTACTTTCTCTGCTATCGTTGCTGTATTTTTGAAATAAAAGACTCCCGTGTGATGATGCATCAGCAAGGACAGAGAACTGGGTCTGGATGGTACCAATTTATGTGCACGCACACACAAACACATGCACGCACACACATGCACACATGACAAAGAAATCAGCATCAACCTTACTTTTGCCTCTTGGCCATCTGTGCACGAACATGAGCCTCTACTTTGGTTGGGTCCTGAACGGCTTCCGTTCCCAGAACACGCATCAGGTTTGAGATTCGTACTGCAGAGGGAGAAACACCGACGGCATTGAGAGCAGAAGTTGAGAACGGAAAAACAGCCCTGGGGCAGCTGGATCGAGCCAAAGGGGCCCATCTAGTCCAGCACCCTGTTCCCACAGTGGCCACCCAGACGCCAAAACAGGAAGGATCTGAGAGCAACAGCACCTCTCCCCTCCCATTTCCAGCAATTGGCATTCAGAAGCATGTTGCCTCCGACAGTGAAGGCAGAACATCGCCACTGTGGCTCCTCTTTTCAAGTCATACAAGTTGGTGATCAACCATGGGTAGGCAAACTAAGGCCCGGGGTCCAGATCTGGCCCAATTGCCTGCGGACAGTCCAGGAATCAGTGTGTTTTTACATGAGCAGAATGTGTGTTTTTATTTAAAATGCATCTCTGGGTTATTTGTGGGGCATAGGAATTCGTTCATCTTTCCGCAGGGCCTGCAAAACAGAGCTGTTCCACCTGGCCTTTGGTTTGGACTCAGTCTGACCCTTATGTTTCCCTCCCCTTATTGTTTTGATTTATGGGCTATTAAAATGAGGCTGCATTTTAAATTGTATTTTTAACCTGTATTTTAAATGGTTGTTTTCCCCCCTCCCCTATTATGTTTTTATTGTAATTTTACTGGTGTTAGCTACCCTGAGCCCAGCTCTGGCCGGGCAGGATATAAATAAAAAATTCTTCTTCTTCTTCTTCTTTTCTTCTTCTTCTTCTTCTTCTTCTTCTTCTTCTTCTTCTTCTTCTTCTTCTTCTTCTTCTTCTTCTTCTTCTTCTTCTTCTTCTTCTTCTTCTTCTTCTTCTTCTTCTTCTTCTTTCTTCTTCTTCTTTCTTCTTCTTCTTCTTCTTCTTCTTCTTCTTCTTTTCTTCTTCTTCTTCTTCTTCTTCTTCTTCTTCTTTTCTTCTTTCTTCTTCTTTTCTTCTTTCTTCTTCTTCTTCTTTTCTTCTTCTTCTTTTCTTCTTCTTTTCTTCTTCTTCTTCTTCTTCTTCTTCTTTTCTTCTTCTTCTTCTTCTTTTCTTCTTCTTCTTGTCTTCTTCTTCTTCTTCTTTTCTTCTTCTTCTTCTTCTTCTTCTTCTTCTTCTTCTTCTTTTCTTCTTCTTCTTCTTCTTCTTCTTCTTCTTCTTCTTCTTCTTCTTCTTCTTCTTTTTCTTCTTCTTCTTCTTCTTTTCTTCTTCTTTTTTCTTCTTCTTCTTCTTCTTTTTTTCTTCTTTTTTTCTTTTTTTCTTTTTTTTCTTTTTTTCCCCCTTCTTTTTTTCTTTTTTTTTCCTTCTTCTTCTTCTTCTTCTTTCTTCTTCTTTTCTTCTTTTTTTTTCTTCTTCTTTTTCTTCTTCATATAGTCCGGCCCCCCAAAAGGTCTGAGGGACAGTGGACCGGCCCCCTGCTGAAAAAGTCTGCTGACCCCAGGTGACCACCATGCCTACATCTCGTGGGAACCGGTTTCAGAGTTTAATGAGGTGCTGTGTGTCTTTCCCACATTCAGCATCACTGGATAGCCCCCATCCCAAGTTTATGCGTTAGAATTCCAACTTCAAGCTTCAGGTGTTGTTTTTTATCTCTCTCCCTCTCTCAACAGAAGCCCCACCTGTCCACTACAAAAATCCCTACCTTTTGGTTCAGGTGGCGGCATGAGGCCTAACCTCACTTTCTCCTGCAACTCCTTCTGCGCTTCCCTCCGGGTCTGGCGCCGTAGTTTCTTCTGCTCTTTTTTGGTGAGGTAGACCCCCAGGGTCACCGGCATGTCACTGTCCACTGGGGTTGGGGTGGGACACACACATCACAAGGACAACAAAGCAGAAACACAGTCAGAGACAAGCAGGGTTTTCTCCTTTTAGAATGGGGCTCACCCACCAAGCTTGTTCCTTCCCACCTCCGTTATAATTACTTAGACGTGTTGCTCACTTAAACGTCTCCGAGTGGCTTACAACACTTTTAAAAACATGAAAATAAACACATTATACTCATAACAGCAGAAGGAAGCTTTGGCAGGAAGCTTATTCCCTCCCACACCTTTGTGTGTGCTTCATTCTATGTGATTTTTAGACTGTTTGGTGTCTGGGAACAACAATGATAATAATAATAATAATTTATTATTTGTACCCCACCCATCTGGCTGGGTTTCCCCAGCCACTCTGGGTGGCTTCCAACAAAGATTAAAGTGCGGAATATTGAGTATTGTGCCTGTGATATTATAGGAGCCTTCTTTTTTCAAAAAAGTTAGGCCCCCTTTCCCATTATCCACACATTCCCCATACTGTTCAGTTCCTCAAAGACTACTGATCTGAAGACTTGGGGGGGAGGCAGTTAAGACCTTTGCTTCCTGCACTGGTTGTGGGTGGATTGTGAGATACAGCAGCAGTAGCAGCCCAGTGAGGAAGGTCATGCCCTGTGTGGGGTTGACACCTAGCTACTAAAGCAGTCAATCCTAAGCAAGGAGATTGGAGCATCAGGCGAACACCACACACACATCTTTCCCCTGCTGTACTGCCTATTGGATCATTTCCTATTTCACTGTGTTTAAAACGTATTGCAAGCTACCTCGAGAACTGTGGTTAGTAGGCAGCGCACAAACACTCCTAAAATTAAAAAAAAAAAATGATCTGGGGCTTTTAGACTAACCAAGCTCGTCATTCCCTGGGGACAGAAAGGGTGGGTGTTAAGGGGAACGGAGCAGGGTTTGGCATTCCACCCATCTGTTTTGCTTCCAATCTTCTTGTCTCTAAGGAATCCGCTCTCCCCCCGATGCAGAAGCAAAGAGATGGAGCGTGCTCACCTGGAGGGTTTAGCTGAGCTGGGTGCTCCACTAGGTTCGTGATGCCAAAATAGTCCTCTTTTTTAAGCGAATCGGCGGCTTTTCTGAAACGGGAAGGAGAATTCGCACAGTTGCGGGTGACGCCTCAAGAGGAGGGTGCTTCTCTTCTTAGCCTATTCTGATCCTCACGCTGCTTATGCCTGCTGCAAGGAGCGGAGGCTTGGAGAACTAAGTGCTCATCTAGGAAAACCCTCTCTATGGCAGTGCCCCAGCTGTCACCTCAGAATAGCTAGCTTGGGAGCTAAAGGCCCCCAGCTTGATTTCCCCCCATCAAACTCATCAAATGCCCAAGGTAACTGTGCTGTGTTGTGTTCTATTAGCCTGGCTGCCGACATGGATTAAGTCTAGTGGACAGCTCCAATTTGGGAACCATCTCAGCAGGGCTGGCACCTGGCGCCAAATTTAAACAGCAGGCCCTGCTGGAAAAAATGAAGAGCTCTCCTGAGTGCTCCTGGACAAGAAGGGCTCCCCGTGCTCTATTCCTGATGTCACAGGACGCCAGCCGAGCCTGTGCAACTAAAAACGACCATGACCTAGCACACTTAATTTGACCCATGAGCCAAGGGCTCCCCATCCCTGCTCTACAGCAGAGACAGAGGAATCTGTAGCGCACTGGAATTTGTGGGACTACAACTCCCACCATCCCCTAACCGCTGGCCATGCTGAGTACTGGCTACAGATCCATCCGCCCCCCACACTTAAAAACTGAATGCCTTCAGTTCTTTGAAGAAATGTGGTCTTACAAATTCAGGAAAGCAGGCAGCAAGAAGGGTGGACTCACCCCAGAATTAATTCTAGCCCAGAGATTTAAGAGCTGAAAGGCAGAGCAACTCACAAATCGATGCCATTAGGTATGATGTAGGAGTCCCACCATTCCACCTCGGGGGTGTCCCCTTCCTTCAGCTCTTTCTTGGGGGTGATAAGGGCCAATTTGGTCGAGGTGTGGATTCCCGTCTTCTTGGCAGCTTGAGAAATCTCGGCCTGGAGTTTTTCCAACTGGGCCTGAGGGAGACAGAAGGGTTTTCAGGAAGGTGCACGGAAGAGAAATAAAACACTTAATTCAAAATATTAACTGCCCTAGAGGCGCCAGTTCTCTCTGACGGGGCTTTCCAAGTATCCATGGCAAGGGTGTTTCTGGAGAAGTCAAAGGCCCCCAGTGCAGTGGGCCTGATCCAGCCCTCGCCAGCATCAGCCTGATAAAGAACTATTTGTCTGCTCACCTGCGGCAAATATGCACTGCCAGCAGGTGCCCATTCAAGGGAGCCTTTATGAAGTTTAATGTAGTTATTTATTTTAGGTTGTTTTTAAGGAGGATATTCTGCTCCCCACTCCCTAAGAAATATATTTTCCTTAAGAGCAAGCAAGCAAGAGCACCATGCTATCTATATACACGGGTTGACTGTGACTCAGACTTTGCCTTCCCAGGACAGGAGGAAAGCATTCGCTTGTGCTGAGCTCCTGCTTACAGGCTTGCTTCCCTGCCCCTTTCTGTAAGTTTTGACTTGTAATTAATTGGCAAGGGGTTGCTGGGAATTGTCAATCTGCGAGGGATACTCTACAGTGCCCAGAATTCTTTGAGAGAGAGAAATGTGCCTCGAATATGCTTCAAATGCATTGTGTGTGTGCAACACCTCTGTATAAGGCAGATTCCTATGTTCCATCCATGGTCAGAGGCAGTGATGCTTCTGAACACCAGTTGCTAGAAACAACAGGAGGGAAGACTGGCTCTTGTGCTGGGGTCCAGCTTACGGGTTTCCTACAGGCACCAGAAACTCCAGGGGGTGCAGAATGCCGCAGCGAGACTCCTTACAGGGTCCTTGCTGCGGGATCACATTCACCCAGTGCTATACCAGCTGCTCCCGGTGGAGTACAGGATCAGGTTTAAGGTGCTGGTTTTAACCCAGGATGTTGGGTGAGGAGGTTAGGTCTGCTTGCCAGAAGGAAAGTGCTGTACCTTCGTCCGCAACCTCTGGGCGATTTTTTCGAATTTGCCCTTGTCGTGGAACTTGAAGGTCCGCTTCGGCCGCTGGGCCGGGTTGATGTAGACCCGGGGGTCAAAGTATGTGTTGGACTCCATGTCCTCAGAGGGCTTCTCCTTCAGCTGCTGCTTGAACTGCTCCCTCTTCACGGCCCGAATGTTGGCCTTGAGGGTGGGCATGCGGTGTGTCAGCTCCACCTCCTTGCCGGTGGCGTCCACCGTGCGGCCTTGCTCGTCCAAGATCAGCGGCGTCGGCTTGGTCTGGTCCTTCAGCTCCACTTTCCTGGGCCAAGACATCCCCAAGGCAAACTCTGGTTACAAAGCAGCCCTGGCCAACGGCCTTGAGCCCACTGGGTATGGGGCAAGAGTCTCAAGCCCGCTCAGTCTGAAATAAAGCCTACGGAACAAGGGATTCTGGGAAGCCGCCTCCCACAAAGAAAACTCAACAGTCCCTGGCCCCTTTTTTGCCTGTCGGGGTTGTGTACAGAAAGGATCTGCAGGATTTCTGACTCTTGACTGCTCCCCCACCCCCGCCACAAACTAGGCTGCTGAAATAAAGCTTTGAAGGTGGGCAAGGGAAGGCCTTTGCGTGGAAGGACTGCGATTTCCCAGCTCTGCTTCTAAAAGCAAATTTCTGGGCTAAGATACCCTTAGAATTATGGAACGGGGCATTTCTCGAGTGCACGTCCTCTGCCCCAACCCCTCTTTCTAAGCCACTATTTTTCTACTTGAACCCAGCTGGTGGGGCTCGGGGGGGGGGGGAGGGTTCTAGAAAAAACAACATCACAAAATAGATCTCACAAGTCTGAAGTCTGCCCACCCACACTTTAGAACAGGGGTAGGGAACCTCTGGCCTGGGTGCCAAATGTGGCCCCTCCAGGCTTGCTAGCCGCTCCTTGGGACACAGACAAGCCCTCCCCCCAAGAAAAACACCCCTCGCCGGCTCTCCTCCACACCCACCCTCCTTGAGGGCTTTGGCGTGAAGTGTGCCAGTTCCATATTCACAATTTACATGATTTTTGATCAGGGCCGGAGGGAGAGATCTGTAGCATGGATGGATGGATGGATGGATGCAGCCTCCTGTATGAGGTGAGGGAGGAATCAAGCACCAGTTGCCCTGTCCATTTTGGCCTCTGACCTCCAGGGAATTCCCCCCGAGGGTCATGTCACTTGGCAACGGTTCCCCACCCCTGCCTGAGACACTTCTCTTGGGTCACACGTGCCAGGAAGGGCTGGCTGCTACTGGCTTACCGCGTACAAGGGGCAAATCCCTGTGTGATGGGACATTTCTGCCCATGTGATCCATTTCTGTCCAATGAGAAAAAACCATTCAGTGGCGTTTCATCAGGCTTGTCAACTTTGCAGACCAATAAAATCGAGAAAGAAAGAAAAAAAGAACACAAAGCAAGCAAGCAAACCGAAAGCACATCCCACACCCCATCCGCCCCCCTGGGCAGAGTGTTGCGATACTCACGGCGGGGCGATCCCCATGGCGTGCAGGTTGGCCAAGCCAACCATGTTGGTGTTGCCGATCAGGCCAGGCTTCAGGGCCAGCTGGGCCTGGATCCGGGCCTGCAGCTCGGCCGCCTTGCGGGCCTTCTCAATGGCGTCGTTCATGAAGGTGGCCGCCTGCGAGGGCTGGATGGTGTTCCCAATGGGGAGGCGCTCCGGCTGGGTGGTGGTTGTCGGGGCTTTCGGCTGCAGAGGGAGAGAGGGGAGTCACTGGCTGGAACAGCGGGCAGGAAGGGCTTACTGTAGGGCCCTCCGAGAGAGAGATACAGCCTCGCCTCCCTTGCAATAGGGAGCAAAGCCGTAAGAAGGGGGCGAGGAGAGGGAAACCGACAGGGAGGCACGAGCTGGAGAGGGTGGGAACCCCGGGCTGCATCCAGCGCAAGTCACCCTCCAGCTCCCATGGTGGCCTCTCTCTCCACCCCAAAGTGTCACCACAGGGGCATCTGAAGGACCATCTTGCCGTGGGGGGAGTGGAGAAGAAGCAGTTTCATTCCCCCCCCAACCAACAAGTTGTCTTTTCCATTCTACTGTAACTTAAAAAAAACAAACCCCCGCAAAGAAGGAATCAAATAAAGAATTAAAAATAGTTGCCATCATCTTGTGTAAACCGCTTTCTGAGGTCAGTCTGGAAAGCAGGATCAAAATGCCGTAAATAAGCAGATAACAGTTCTACTCAAGAGTAAGCCCACTGAAGTGAACACACAACTAACTGAAGTCCATTCTACTCTTAGTGGGAGACAACCCCCAGCTTCTACAGCTCAGAAACCTTTTTCTGAACTTAGAGAAATGTTACTGAACTCCCTCTTTCTAATCTTTTTTTGCGGCCAGTGCATAAAACGCCACTTTATTTCAAGTCTATATTGAAGAAGGGTTTTGGTGCCTACCGTCTGCGATGCTCAAAGTGGGACCCTCCCATGACTTCAGTATTTCATGCCCACAAACTCAAGTATGGATGTGCCTTGGGAGAATTAAATCTCAGGAGGGGCTCAGCTCTGCAGGACCACCAGTGCAATGGCTTGTGCAGGCTGCAACAAAGGCTGTACCTGTGGGGCAGGGGGACTGATGAAACTCAGCTGCTTTTTCCTCTCCTCAATCTGACGTGTGGCAGCTTCCATCATCTGCTTGATCTGAAAGAGGGAAGAAGGGGGAAGGTGTTAGAACTGGACCCCAACAGCCTGTCTTGGTATAAGGCAGCTTAATAATAATAATAATAATAATAATAATAATAATAATTTATTATTTATACCCAGCCCATCTGGCTGAGTCTCCCCAGCCACTCTGGGCGGCTCCCAATCAAATGTTAAAAACAATACAGCATTAAATATTAAAAACTTCCCTAAACAGGGCTGCCTTTAGATGTCTTTTAAAGATAAGATAGCCGCTTATTTCCTTCACATCTGAAGGGAGGGCGTTCCACAGGGTGGGTGCCACTACCGAGAAGGCCCTCTGTCTGGTTCCCTGTAACCTCACTTCTCGCAATGAGGGAACTGCCAGAAGGCCCTCGGCGCTGGATCTCAGTGTCTGGGCTGAACGATGGGGGTGGAGACGCTCCTTCAGGTATACAGGACCGAGGCCGTTTAGGGCTTTCAAAGTCAGCACCAACACTTTGAATTGTGCTCGGAAACATACTGGGAGCCAATGCAGATCTCTCAAGACTGGTGTTATGTGGTCCCGGCGGCCACTCCCAGTCACCAGTCTAGTGTCCATGTAAAAAGCCAGGCCCCCTGAACTTTTGGTCCACAAACAGCTGAAAATCCACAGGTGCACTGATTACGTTTATATTCTACCTTTCCGCCAAAGAGCTTGAGATGCCAAATCTGGTTAACCCCTTCCTCCCTGCCCATGTTGTTTGATCCTCACCACCCCTACAAGCAGGGTGGATAAAAATCAATGATTTTTTTAAGAAAGTAAAAATCAGATTTTTTAAATTTAAATACATTTTTTTTTATTTAAGTCAAATGTTTTTATTTAAATTGGATTTTTTTAATAAAATGCTTTTGGAGGAAAAATCTTTCTAAAGATAGTTTTCTATTTAAGTTACGTTATAGTTCAAAGGCTATTCATCAGGAAATAAGGATTTGTTTTAAGTTTTTCATGTGTGCTAAAACTCAGTCTAAGTTTTTTTTGTTTAAAGTTTAACCACATCCATTAACAAACATTGATACATATGCTATAACATTATTGTTTAAGTTAAATAAATTGTTTAAATTGTTATTAAGGAAATGATTGTTTTCTCCTTCCAATAAAGTACAGCAGAAAAGTTGTCCAAATATAAACAGTTAACTTATTAAACCTCAGAATAATTTCATAATTATCTGTCAATGCATTTCTAATAGTATAGCCAAATCAGTAATTTTTTATATAACCGTAAAAACTACTCTGGAAATTTATTATTCCAAAAATGAAACCTTCATCTGCTTGTAAATATTAAGATTATATCAGCAAGAATGAGTCTTTCTGCAAAAAAAGAAAAAAAAGAAAAAAGAAAAAAGGATTTAAATCAAGTCTTACTGACTAGTGATTTAAATCGATTTGATTTAAATCAAATCCACCCTGTCTATGAGGCAGCTAGGATAGTCCAAGGTCATCTGGTGCCTGTGTGAGGATATGTACTCCGGCTCAACAGATGTGCCATCCCAACGAGCTAATTGTGTTACTTTTATTGTTGTTAGCCGCTCTGAGCCCAGCTTTGGCTGGGGAGGGTGGGATATAAATAAATTATTATTATTATTATTATCATCATCATCATCATCACTGTCCCAGACAAGCACTCCATGCCTTGCCTCTGCTCATTTGAGACCAACCTGCAGCTTCGTTAGCATCCCGGGGCTTTCAGTCGGGGGTCCAGGGATCACCTCGGGCTCCTCCTCCACTTCTTCGAAGCGTGGGATGCGGCGCTTCTTCACCCCTGAAGATTCCTTGGAAATCTCAGAGTCATCCCCAAAGACATCCTATAAGCAAAGAGGGCAGAGGAAACTTTGACAGTGACCAACACCTAGACATCCAAGGAAGCACAAGCCAGTCGTAGTCACGTGACTAGTGGAGCCTTCACATGGAACTTTCACAGCAAAGAATTATCCTTCATACGACAGGCTAAAGGCTTTACACATCAACAACCAACCCACAGCTTCTTGAGCACCTCATCTGCTTTCAGGTGAAACAAGTTTCTGGTCCTCATGAGTTCAGGCAAAATTGCAAGGGGGAAACACCATGTCCTATACACACACACACACATACAGATTTTTAAAGCTTCACACAGCACTTTCTGAAAAGTTTGTTCTGGATACTTTTTTTTTTGTTAAGTCATTTTTATTAATTTTCCAATAAAAAACATCCAATTAACATATCCAATCATAATGGATTATGCTCTGGATACTTTTAAGATGCAGTTAATCACTAAAATATGCATTTGGTACAGTGGCTTAAAATAGGCATTTTTGCAAACACATTTCAGCTTCTGCTTTCTTCAGTCTAAGAAGCAGCCAAAGAATGTGAAAACTAAAGCATTTTGCTATAAAAGCATTAATATATTTTGTTGTTATTATTATCTATATAACACACACACACACAATTTTAAATGCATTCCTGTCAGCAGAGAAACCCTTTCACACATGGAGCAGTGTTAATCTAAACCTGCGTGAGATTTTATGTTCCTCCTCCCACCCTCCAAAATGAAAGCATTTTTGTGCTGAAGGAACATGGTCTCTCACAGCACCATCCATGTCCTCCTTACTCCACTGGGCCAAGGGAAGCAAATTCCTCCCTGCTGTGTCTCAAGAAAAGGGACATGGTTGATTGTGGGAAGAAGCTGCTATGATCTGCAAACAAAAACACGGCATGCATAGATACACAAATCCAAACCGCCTGCAAGCCTTAGCTGAACTGCTTTCATTGCTATTATGGACCAAATTCTACATGGATGGCTCCTCATACAAACAGGGAGCTTTGAGGCACACCTACCAGTTCAAGAGAAACAGCTTGGCAACAGCAATTAATTATTTGTACTCTAAAGAAATGTATGCTTTTAAAGTCTCCTAAAATCTCTGACAAGTCAAGAATTAAGGGCTGAGAGGAGGAGGAAGGCAGATGTAGGAAGAAGACCAATAAAGAATGAAAGATGCACACACTTTCTGTTGCCATTAAGGAAAAAGGCCCTTTCTCTTGAATTTTTAGGCATTTCAACACACAACACTCCCTGGAAGAAGAAAATGCAGTGAGGCAGTATTGCCACCTCCACAGCCAGATCTGAAACTCTCTGCTGCCTTCATAACAAAAGAGGATGAAGCGTTGATCTCACCTTCAGCTCCCTCTTCCGGTTCCGGTCGCTGTTGGATTTGGAGTGCCGGGAGCTCCGGCCTTCCTCCACGGCCTCAAAGAGCTTGTCCACAAACCGCAGAGTGGAGTCATCCAGAAAAGGCTTCAGGTGATCTGTGGGGGGTGGAAGAGTGAGGTGGGGGAAAGAGAGATAAGCAATCTAGGCCACGCCTGCACTTTTCATTTAAAGCACTATTACACCATTTTACATAGCCATGACTTCCTCATCCCCAAAGAATCCTGGAAACTGTAGTTTATAAAGTATGCTGACAGTTAGAAGAAATGCCCTATTGTTGTCAATTCAATAGAAGGTAAAGGGACCCCTGACCATTAGGCCCAGTCGTGGCCGACTCTGGGGTTGTGATGCTCATCTCGCTTTATTGGCCAAGGGAGCCAGTGTACAGCTTCCGGGTCATGTGGCCAGCATGACTAAGCCGCTTCTGGTGAACCAGAGCAGCGCACGGAAACGCCGTTTACCTTCCCGCCGGAGCCGTACCTATTTATCTACTTGCACTTTGACGTGCTTTCGAACTGCTAGGTTGGCAGGAGCAATGGGAGCTCACCCCGTCGCAGGGATTTGAACCGCCAACCTTCTGATCGGCAAGTCCTAGGCTCAGTGGTTTAACCCATAGCGCCACCCTTACAATAGCCTGTTACAATTCCCACAGTGGTTTAACAATCAATTCCTTTTCCCAGAGAACTCTAGGAACTGAAGCTCTCTGAGGGGAATGGGCAGGACTCCTCCTGACAACTCTCCGCACCCTTTATAAACTACAATTCCCAGAATTATTTGGGGGAAGCTGCAACTGTTAAAGTGGTGCAATACTGCTTTAGCTGTACAGTGCGGATGTGTCCCTGGAAGCAACTGCATGCAAATATAAAGAACTCCACTGCAACAATATTGCTTTTTATTCATTTGTTAGCTGCACCATAAGGAAGCCTACAATTTAAATACAAAACAAGGCATGAAACCATTTTACCAAATAAATAACACTGGGAAACAAAACTTATTAAGCAGCCACCCACCCAAAGTTTTAAAAGGCCATTAAGGAAATTGATTCCACATGAAGTTAGGCAGATTCCGTCTCATCTTCAAGACCAATCATATTATTATCATTGTTTTCATAATATATTACGCTTGTTACCCCGAAGTCTCAAAGCGACTTACAACACATAAGTGCATATTGGGCTGGATGGACAATCGCTTTGTCCAGCGGTACCTTGGTTTACGAACTTAATCCGTTCCGGAAGTCTGTTCTTAAACCAAGGTGTGCTTTCCCATAGCAGCGGGGGACTCAATTTACAAATGGAACACACTCAACAGGAAGCGGAACATGTTCTGCTTCCAAGGCAAAGTTCACAAACCAAAACACCTACTTCCGGGTTTGCAGCGTTCTTAATCCAAGTTGTTCATAAACTAAGCTGTTCTTAAACCAAGGAACCACTGTATGTTCATATAGATGAGTTACTAAAGCGTGAAGTATTTTGGGGTTGGTCGGCAAGGATAAAATCAGCAGGGCCATGAGAATTTAACAAGCTACAAAGGAACTCAATTCTCTGCCCCCAGGCCGACCTCAGGAGTTGGCTCCAAGGACCTACCGGCAGCTTTCTTCTTGTCCATCCCCTTCCCAACGCAGTTCAAGGCGGCAGTGACCACAGTGGGTTCCGAGAAGCCAAGGACTCGCTTCACGGTCTTCTCCACCCATGGCTTCAGCTCGTCCAGCTCCCGCTTGGAGAGCGCCATCTTCAGGAGAGTCTGAGTGGGCCGGGAAAGGAAAGCACATCTTGTAAAAGCTGTCACTAAGTGCTCAAAAACCAGTCACGCTCACGCTAGAAAGAATAAGTGTGCTCCCTTTATGTATCCTTGTACACACACACACCCGGCATCATCATGTTTACAGCCATCAACAAAGAAGGCATGTAATTCCTAAGCAGCATTACTTTGGGTTGTGTTCAACATTAGCCATACTAATTAGACCCATTGACGTTAATGGCCACAATTAACTGAGGACCATCAATTTCAGTAGGTCTACTCTGAGTATAGGTTAGCTGGGTATAAGCCAGTGTAACCTTCTCATAGCCAGTCAGGCTGCCTCTTCCCTCACTGTCCACCAATGGCAGCAGAGGAAGGGGGAAAATCTACTTCTTCCCAGCCCAAAATCCACTTCCTACTTATTGAGGGGCTTCTAAGAATACTCCAGACTCCAAGGAGACTGAACATTGCCATTTGCTACCAGATCGTACTGAACAATAGAACAAATAAACTGTCTTTGTAATATCTTCTTTTAGGCTCAAACTATCAGATTAGCGGTCAGATCTCTCCAGGGTTTTATCTAGCTGGGGTCCAGAGAATCACACAACCGGTTCTGAATGCCCAATGGAGCCTTTGGCTTGCCTTTCTTCAATGGAAACACCCCCACCTTACCCCAGCCTCTGTGCTGCACAGCAAGAAGCTTTTCGAACTGGAAGACTATCATCTATCTATCTATCTATCTATCTATCTATTTTCATCAATTTAATTTCTATACTGAAGATCTCAGGACAGTTCACAAGATAAAAATACAGGATAAAAGCACAATATAAACAGTTAAAACAAAAACAATACAATAACCCCCACCTCCCCACAATGATATTTAAAAGGCTGTAGAATATTAATCAGCCAAAGGCCTGGTTGAAGAGGAATGTTTTCGCTGGGCACCTCAAGATGTAAAGGGTTGGGGGAGAGGTTGCTACCTATGAAGCATACATAACAGCAGTATGTACTTTAGAACAAGGGTGGGCAAAAGGTAAATCGGGATCTGACTCCCAACAATTCAACAACTGCAAGAAAAATCACAAGGTAAAAATAAACAAAAGGGACTCAGCTAAATAGTTGCACTAGCAGGAGCCAGAGCAATGAGTGCCACTGGCACAATGCCCCCCGCCCCCAAGTTCTTAGTCAGGAGAACCCCTGCAACAGTGTGCAGGGCTCCCCCTCTGGCAAGGAGGTATCCCTGGCGAGCAGAAAGGTTTGCGCTGATTGTATGATTATATTAATGCAATGAACTTCACCCATTAATTGTATATCATGGCTGGCCTTGTGCAAATCATTTGCCAGCCCTTGCGTTCCTGTAAAATATGATCACCTGGTTGCCAGGTCTTTCTGTGGTTCTGCTGGGTGAAGTTTTAGAGATGTAGGTGATCAAATGTATGATCAGCTGTGTAGCCTCAGATGATGAAGAAGAAGAGTTTGGATTTGATATCCCGCCTTTCACTCCCTTTAAGGAATCTCAAAGCGGCTAACATTCTCCTTTCCCTTCCTCCCCCACAACAAACACTCTGTGAGGTGAGTGGGGCTGGGAGACTTCAGAGAAGTGTGACTGGCCCAAGGTCACCCAGCAGCTGCATGTGGAGGAGCGGAGACGCAAACCCGGTTCCCCAGATTACGAGACTACCGCTCTTAACCACTACACCACACTGGCTCTCATGTAGATCTATATGCATCTATGCATGCTATGTTCATAGAATGTTTATAGGATTTCTCCCCTTGAGGCACTATTTTACAACTTGCTCACTCTTGGTGGATCTTGGGAGCTCTACCAAAAACACAAAATAGAGCTCCACCTATCTGACGTCTGCCGGCCTCAGCTTTAGAGCATAACACAGGCTGGGGTCAAGAAAACAGAGGGTCCCTACCCAAGAAGGGGCCTGCAACAGAAGATGCAGGAGACAACAGAGGCTGCCTTTATTTTATTGGAAGCCTGCGTGTAATTCCCTATAGAAATACATATTATTAAATGCAGTCACAGTGGCCTGTGAAATATTGTGCACAATATTGTGTTCCAATTATGCCTGCTAAAAAAATGATACTCTAGCACTGCAAAAGGTTCAAGCAAAAGGAAAGCAAACTGATCAGGGGAGAGCAAAAAGGCACCTCCTCACCAATGAAAAAGGGCCAACATTCAGGACTTCCTGTCAATAGATGTCTGGGAGGAAGAAGACATGACAGAAGATTATAAAATGATGCATGGTGAAGATGAAGTGAAGGGAGGAGGTTTTTCCTCCCTATCTCACGGTACAATGCCTCAAACTGATTGGAAATTCATTCATCACTGAGAGAGTAAAGTATTTCTGCACACAGCACAATTTTTAGAAAGGAATTCATTGCTACAAGACACAGTTGTGCCTGATGTCCTTTTAGAAAAGGACTGGATGAATTCACAAGAGGAAAAGAAGGCATACTGACAAACAACAGCCATAAGAAACAGAACCTCCATGTTCAAAGGGAGCATATCTGAAAACACAGTGCTGGAGACGAACAACTGGAGGAGACTACTCCTTCCTTACTGCTCTGCTTGTGAACTTCACAACAGAGAATTTCGCTGGCTGCTTTCCTTCTTTTCCTGGATGGCTCCCTCAGGAGCTAGCACGCAGGAGAAATTGGAGGAAGCTCAATGTGGAAAGGCAATTTATCTCTGAGGACCAATGACTTGTGAGGTTTCCAGAGGTCTCTAGACTTTTTCTTTTTGTCTGATTCAGCCAGGCTCTTCTCTTATTCAACTCTTTCTCTGACAGAGCAGGCCCATTAATTGGACTGCCAGTTAGCTTCCTTCCCTAATCTAGTCTGCATAAACTACAATAGTTTGTTTACAATTGGCTTGTTTTTGTTTTATTATGCATTCTGTGTTCTCATTTCGTATTTTTATGTTGTGAACCACCCTATGATCTTTGGATGAAGGGCAGTATAAAAAATTAGTAAACAACAACAAATACAATAGCACAATGGAACATCCATGTTCAGAAGCAGCTTGCCTCTGAATGCCAGAATCTGAAAAAAGCCATGAAAAGAAAAAAGAAAAAAAATAATCAGGCTGACAAGGAATGGCAGAGGAAGGAGAAAGAATGTTTCACTCTTCAGGGAGTCCACTAGTTCTCTATGCTAGGCATATCCACTCCTGTTCCACCAGCTTGCTCACTACTTGGCACACAATTCCTTCTCACTTCTACCAGGCTACTGCTTAAATTCAAGACCTAACTAGGAACATCAGAATAGTTGTACAGCAGGTTAATGCCAAAGGGGGCCCATCTAGTCCATCATTATTATTTAGAGGCAAAGAGTCTCCAACCATGGAGGCAGAACACAAACATTGTGGCGAGTAGTCATGAGGACAGCCTGCCACTCCTGTGGCAAAGAGTTCCACAGTTCAGCTATGTTCTATGTGAAGGAGCACTAGATCAATAGCATTCAACTTTTGCAGATTGAAGACTCATTTTTAACCTGTACGTGCATTTCTTTTCTCCTTTTTGGGGACATATACAGTGCTACCTTGGGTTCACAAACTCAATCCATTCTGGAAGTCCATTCAACTTCCAAAATGTTTGAAAACTAAGGCGCAGCTTCTGATTGGCTGATCGACCCCGGAAACAATGCCGACAGCTGAAACAGATGTCCGGCTTCTAAAAAACATTCACAAACCGGAACACTTACTTGCGGGTTTTCGGCATTCGGGAGCCGATTTGTTCCGTCAGCTAAGCTGTTCAGGAACCAAGGTACCACTGTTTTTGTATGGTGCTAGACATGCTATTGAAGCACGACGAGGTCGTTACCCAGACCAGCTGAAGATCAATGGACTAGATGGAATTCACTCCCATGAGAGATAGTGAGGGTCACAAAACAGGTTGGCTTTTAAAGAGGATTCCCATGGAGAAGAATAACATAATAATAGCTAAAGTCAGAGGGAATGAATGCCTCTACAAACAGGACTGGGAATCACAAGAGGGGAGAGCTGGGCATCTGGATGGGCACTGTCAGAACACAATGATGAACTGGATGGAGCCCCTTTGGCCTGATCCAGCTGCAGGGATCTCCTTGTGTCCTTATGAGTCTCTTCACCCTCCAAATGGGGGAGGTAAATGCCTCTGAATGATACCAGCTACTAGGAATCACAAGGGGAAGAGTAGTTGCTCTTGCGCTTAGGATCCGCTTGCTTAGGGGCTTCCTGTTGAGGTATCTGGTTGGCCACTGTGAGAGCCAGATACAGGACTAAATGGGGGGGGGCCTCTGGCCTGATCTAGTAAAGGAGACGGTGAAGGGTCCATTAGGTCCAGTCGCGACCGACTCTGGGGTTGCGGCGCTCATCTCGCTTTATTGGCCAAGGGAGCCGGCGTACAGCTTCCGGGTCATGTGACCAGCATGACTAAGCCACTTCTGGCGAACCAGAGCAGTGCACGGAAACGCCGTTTACCTTCCCGCCCGAGTGGTACCTATTTATCTACTTGCACTTTGATGTGCTTTCGAATTGCTAGGTTGGCAGGAGCAGGGACTGAGCAACGGGAGCTCACCCCGTTACAGGGATTCGTACCGCTGACCTTCTGATCGGCAAGCCCTAGGCTTTGTGGTTTAACCCACCCACGTCCCAGCCTGATCTAGTAGGGTCCTTCAAATGCTGTTATGGAGCTTCCAGGCCCAGTGGCACTCCATTTAACCTCCTAGGTTCTTAGGGTCATTTGATCTCTTTGAGAACAGGAGGCTGGGCTTGATTAAAAAAAACACCTTTGGCCTGATCCAGCAGAAGGGCTCGTCTGACGTTCTTAGGACCTCAGAATCCACCCAGCAGGGGTTCTCTTGAAAGGAGCCACTGCAAACGGGGACGGAGCCTCCACTTACCAGAGCAGTCTACCTGTACAGAGTCCCAAAATGCTGGGGAAGAAAGGAGGACCTCCCGCCTTCAGGACCTGCTTGTGGGGCTCCCAGGAGCGAGCCTGGCAAACCCACCTCGGCCTGACCCACAGACGCCAAAAAAGAGCATCCCCTCCCCCTTCCTGAGAGGGGGAGAGGAGGCCCCCAACCCCTCCCCCAACGAGGAAAAGCCACGCCCCCTACCGGCCCCCAAATCCCCTCAAGCGGCCCCCTGCCGGCCCTTCTCCTTCCTCGCCCTCCTCTCACTCACCGGGCGGCGGAAGGGCGGCCCTCCCTCTTCCTCGTCCTCCTCGGCCAGGCAAGGGAAAAGGCCGCGCCACAGAACTCCCACGGACGGAGACGGAACGTCGTCGGCGCGCTCGGGCCGGAAGCGGAAGGCGTGCTCGGGAAACGGAAGTGGCCCCCGGACCATAGAGGTGCCGGGCTTCTCCCTCCCCGCCGTTCCCTCGCGTTTCGTGAGTCTTACGGAGAGTCTTCACGTTTGGAGGCGGGACTTCCGGGTGGGCCACCTCCGACGCCATTTTGTCTCTGGTGGCGGCGGAGGCAGCCCGTTGGTAACCATGGCGACGGCTAAGCCCTCAACCGCCCATCCCTCCTCGCTGATTTCTATCGCTGTGTGATACCAAAAACAAAAAAGCATTATAAAACCCGGAGGCCTTTAAAATTACAAAACACGTTATAAACCAATAAGGCGGCTGCACGTTTAAAACCGCCCTGCGGTGCTGTAGGCCGCCGCCAACCCCGTGTCGCGAATGGAATTGCGCACAACAGCCCTGTCGTGTAGGCCGCTGATCCAGATGGGCGGGTCACAAATAAAATAATAATAATAATAATAATAATAATAATAATAATAATAATTTATTATCCTGAATTGCAAACCATGATGGATGAGCGCAGTTCATATCCTGGGTTCCTTTGGGAGGGTGGGATATATATTGAATAAATAAAATGACAACAATGAATTGCCTTGATTGATCCTATACAGTGGTACCTCGGGTTAAGAATTTAATTCGTTCCGGAGGTCCGTTTTTAACCTGAAACTGTTCTTAACCTGAAGCACCCCTTTAGCTAATGGGGCCTCCCGTTGCTGCCGCGTGATTTCTGTTCTCATCCTGAAGCAAAGTTCTTAACCATTGCTGTCAACCTTCCCTTTTTTTTTGCGGGAAATTCCCTTATTCCAGCGCTGTTTCCCGCTGCTATCCCAGATTGTTAGATATCCGGTAGACTGTCCCTGGTGTTAGGATATCTGATCCTAAGGGGTCCGGTTCCAGTCACCTGCCCCTGCTGTTAGCATGAAGGACTCCTCTCCCTTCACTGGGACTGGTGAGGCTGCTGATCCCTTATTTTCGAGGCTGCTGATCCCTTATTTTCAAATCTGAAAGTTGACAACTATGTTCTTAACCCGAGGTACTGTTTCTGGGTTAGCAGAGTCTGTAACCTGAAGCGCCTGTAATCCTAGGTACCACTGTATTGTAAATGGGGGCTTACGACAGCCCCGTCGTGAAATCGCATGTGATGCAAGCCCTGAAGTGTAGGCCATTGGCCACATTTTAAAAAAAACATTGTCGAGATTGCACTGGACTCCACTTGCCCAGATTTGGCAAAGGTTGCTGTGATTTATGCTGACTGGGATGCTGCTTCACACACAGTGGGATTGCTATTGATAATAATTTTTTATTATTTGTATGCTGTCCATCTGACGATTGCCCCAGCTACCGTGGGCGGCTCCCAGCAGAATAGTAAAGCATCAAACATTAAAAACCTCCTTAAACAGGGCTGTCTTCTGAAAGTCAGGTAGTTGCTGCACCATTCAGGCATCCTAGAGTCAAATATATAGCACCACCTCTACAATTACATCCCAGGTGCTCTCTCCAGATCCAGCCCTGGCGCTCCTCTCCCCCAGAGTGCGGCATTAACCCATCCATTTTGCTTCGATCTTTTTGTGCTCACTGGCATAGGATGTTGGTGGCTTCCCACTGAAAGCCCAACTCACTCCCTTCACAGGAGGAATGGCTAGGGAAGGGAAGGGAAGGGGACATTTGACACACCAAAGGAGAGTCTTTAACGGTTTGTCTAAAATAGAACATGGCAGAAGATCTTATGTTAAACCAGATGCACAGCCCACTCACTAGTTCCCCATTTTGTGGATAAACATGTGGAGGCTTTATTGATAACTAAATTAGCTCTCTTTCTTCTCTTTATATACAATTGCTGTTTCAAGCTGCATTGCACACTCCTTTGTTCCGCAGTTTTCTCCTCCCTTTCTTCTGTATTCTTGTTTGCACCATCATTTTTACTGCATTCTGTATTTGCTTATGTCTGTATCCCTTCTATTATGAAAAATGACCCAAAAAAATCGTTTTCTTTTTCTTTTTTTAAAAGTAGGCCACTGAACATTTCATGAGCGAGTCATAGTTCAGTGGAAAACAACCTGTTCTGCATGCAGAGGATGCCAGGTTCACTTCTCAGCATCTCCAGGTAGGGCTAGGAAAAAGACTCTTGTCTGAAACCTCCAAGAGTTGCTTCCAGAGCACACAATCTTCTGCTACCTACCTACATCAAAGCTCTGATTCTGCATAAGGCTGCTTTTTTATTTTTATTTTTTTTGTATCTGCAGCATGGGTGGTGGGGGAGGTAAAGAGACCGTGACTTGCAAAAGCCCTATAATGTAGTCCTGTATCAGAGGTGGGCCCAGGCCAAGAATGGCTAACAATAACTCTGCAGGATAGGCTACTGTAATTATCCTGGAAGTGGCTATAAAGGGACAATTTAAAGCAACCTTGGAGTGTAGCCTACTTTTGCTAAGCGCTGTTATGCAACAACACCTTTGTGCAATAAATCAGGGGTGTTGAACAGTGTGGTGCAAGTTACACACCTGCTCCCTGCCCCCAAAGCCAGTCAATTATAGACAGTATTACGCTAGATGGACCAAGAGTCTGGCTCAGCAGAAGGCAGCTTCCTCTGTTCCACTTCCAACAACAGGGAAACCCAGGCAGATGGGTGGGTTATAAATAATAACAATAATAATAATAATAATAATAATAATATATTACTACTACTACTACTACTACTACATCCTCGCTTGCTGTACATCTTTCCTTTACATTTTCTCCACTTTACCACGTTGAGTATTTCTTACTTTAGCCCTTATCCAGACAAGAGCACCTCAAAATTGCTTTAAAAACTGATTGTTTTATTGGCCTCTGAAAGAGAAGTCCATTAAAATGGCCGGAAGCTGGACATAAGCCAAGTCAATAAGCAAAGCTACAATGAGAGTGTCTGTCAACTGCCAAGGGAGAACCCTCTTTTTATTTTTTTAAATGTTTACCCAAGAAAGCAAACATACCAGCATGTAGAACTGTATGCAACAAAGTCTCTGCCTCATGTATTAGTTCTCCCAGCAAAGGGCCGATCCTCCCCATTATTCTGAAGCATTCAACAACCCAAGTCAACACCTCCAAGCAAAACTGCTTCTGCTTGGGATGGACTGCCCAGCGACTTTTGCTTAACACACAAGATATCAAACGGTAACACACTAGTGAAGTTTGTTGCTGACAAACAACATAGAATGTTGGTTTTTTTTAAAAAAAAAATTAACATAAAAATATTTTCAAACCAGAAAAAAAAGGGAGCCAGTCTTTCGGAGATTCCACTGAAGTGGATGGGGGGTGTTTTACTCTTCCACTTATTCAGTTAGCTTTGCTCAGAAAAGTCATGAACAGCTCATCTCGCAAAGGTCGGCTTTGCAGCAGTTGCTATGCTCAGATGTGCCTTCCAAGCTCAGCAACCGAGCCAGGGGTCTGAGCGGTTCTTCCGCATGAGGAAGTTGATCTTTCGAGCCATTTCCGTGTTATAGATCCTCCGGCACGTTTCGTACGCCTCCCGCTGCCTCTTGCGGCAGGGCTTCTCATAATACCGTTGGCGCTTGCTCCTGTCAATGATCCCGTCCATAGTCAGGACCCTGAGCAGAGAACAAAAAGAAGAACAGGGTCAAATTCAGGATAGCAACCCACCATCTTCCTCTGTGCCAAATACAGAAAAGCTGATAGCTGCCAGCTGTATCCAACTCCCACTCTAAAAATACAGAACTAAAATAACCACCCTCCTCCTCCTTTTCTTTTTTTATGCTGAAGCACTTTAGAGGAAATGCCATAAAAACATGATGATCGTGCTGAAGACACACCTTTTCACCCCAACCTTTGACACTTGAGATATGTATTTTCAGGAGCCACCCTAATTCCGTGACTGTAATTTGTTTGAACAGCTTGTAGTTTTGAATTTTAAATTGCTGGATCCCACCCTGGGACCTGATGGTGAAGGACGGGTGATAAACTGAATCTTTAATCATCATCATCATCATGACTTGCAAAATATCTACGCCACCAAAAATTCTCTAATATCAATTAGGGCTATCATAATTTTGGCAAAAGGACATCTTATTGGGGCAAGGGTCCCCCCTCCATCCTGGTTCCAAACCTGAGATTCAGGCAAGGCGATCTAGGGACTCGCAGGAAGGCTGTAAAATAAAATAAAAACAGCCCCCACCAAAAAAAGCTGGAGACCCAATGCATTGCAATAGGCTGGCGGGTGAGAAGGAGAATTAGGAGGTGAGGCTGCAATTATGGAAAGCCATATATAGTACTGAACACCTTTGTAGCTAACCGACCCTGAGAGGTTGACAAATGGAAGCTGGATAGTGGCTCAGAGAGAGCCCTCCAGATTCGAATCTCACTTAGCCAGCAAGTCATTCCCCCGTCACAAAATCAGCTCTCTCTGCTTTGCAGGATGAGGATAATATCAGCCTACCTTACAGGGCTGTAAGGTAGCTGAGACAAAGATATCTGCCAATCATTGCAAGGACCCATGAGACCCCAAAAACTATTCAACGGCAACTCTCCCAGGCATGAATTGTAAGATGAAATCTGCAATTTATTTCTGCGCTACAGAAGCAGCAGCCCAGACAGCTTTAAAAACAAAACAATACAAAAAATATAAATGCCAATTTTCTCTTTATGAGAGTTTAAAAACAATTCTGGCTTGATCTGCCTCGCTTTGCATTCACATGGCCTGGGAGTGCCAGCCTGTCAGGGTTGGATGAAAAATAATCCTGAATGAGCTCCAAGCTCCGCCCACCAGCACCCGGCACCCAACGAGAGGGAGCTCGGTGGCCCCCTCCACCCAGCGGGCCAGCCAATCCCAAGGCCAGAGGTTTCTCAGAATGGGCTTATGCAACCTCGTGCACATCCTTGCTCCTAGTCTCATGGGCTGGGACTGTGAGGGAAGACACATGTTTGGCTAGCTGGCGACACAGGCATCTGAAGGAAACATGCAGAGGGCGCAGCAACTGTACTTCTAGCTATTTTTAAACCCTTCACTGGAAGCCTGAGAAAAATGCAGAGAGAGGCAGGCGAGCTATCGGAGGGGAAATCGCTTCCCCCGCAACCAGGAAGCAATTTGCTCTGACCCTGCAATTATCCCCGCTCCCTGAGGAAAGCTCCCTGATGCATCGCAGGTATCAGGGAGGCCAGGAACGATTGTTTTCTCAGCCTGCCAAGAGGCTGCCGTGTCTGGAGTCCTTGCAACTTTCTGCCTTCTCCTTCCTGGCCCCACATTGCCACCCAAACTTCCAGCAGAATGTGGCAGGCCCCCATCCCCAAGCAATTTGGACGTAAAGGCCTTTAGGTTTTATAGCCTATGCAGTTCTGTCCATTGGACAATTTTGTTTTCGCAGCCGGCACATATATCTTAACACAGGTATCTTCAACCTTTGAAGCTCAGGGCCCTCTTTTAACCCAAACATGCATTTGGGAACTCGTTTCTTAATCTTTTACTAAATATTTGCATGGGTCAGGCCACAACGCAGTTGCAGGTCCGCCAGTTGAAGACAGGTGTTGCAACACATTCCTGCAGCCTCAAGCATCTAGTCCTTAGTCCTTTCCGAGCCCTCTCATTCTCTCCCTGTCTCACTCAACCCTCCTTGCATTTGCATGCAATGTAGGAACAGAGGAAGCTGCCTTATGCAGTAAATCTCTCTCAAAAACAGGTAATATTTCATGCGAACAGGGCATAGCCCATCTCCTCATCAGACCCACAGCTGGTATCAGACACTAACCAAGAACAAAAATGCTTTTGGGTTACCATGCCATGGGCACCCATTTTTGCTGAATGGTCACCCATCCTCCACATTATAAGCAGACATTGCAACACACACACACACACCAATAAAGTTCTGCAACCAAGTTAAGTACCACTTGAATCCTGTAAAGGCACACTTTGCAACTCAAAAGCCTAAACACTCATATAGCAGCAGGCGCTGGTTCTGAAGAACAGAACTCAAGCTATTTGTATATATATTTTTAAAGCATGCAGCCTGAGCCCATCATTTAAAAAGTTCCATTTATGATATCCAGCCAGCAGAGGGCATGACAGCCACATGTTGACTAAAGCTTGCTTACAAGACAGCATTACAAGTCACGACTTTCCCTTTCTCCTGACGAAGGTTGCATAAAACCACCTAACTTGACAACACAAGTCACCTACGTGCTTTTGCCCTAGCAGTCACACATGGCTGCTCAAAATACAACCAGGAAATAAAAGCAAAAGCTACTCATTCAACTCATAGAAACATTGTGAAAATGAACTATGGATGGTTAAGTTCAGTCAAATCTGACTTTGGAGTGTGGCGTTCATCTCACTTTCAGGCTGAGGGAGCTGGCGTTTGTCCGCAGACAGTTTTCTGGGTCATGTGGCCAGCATGACTAAACCGCTTCTGGTGCAACAGAACACTGACAAATGCCAAAGCGCACGGAAACGCCGTTTACCTTCCCAACACAGTGGTACCTATTCATCTACTCGCTCTGGTATGCTTTCAAACTGCTAGGTTGGCAAGAGCTGGAGCAAAACAATGGGAGCTCACCCCATAGCGCAGATTCAAAACATTTCAGCCAGTCCTGGGGCGCAGCAAGGTCAAAGGATGTCTTTACCTGTTGAGGACTCGATAGGCAGCCTCCACATTGCCATTGGGCACCATCACTGTCCGAGCGATGAATTTCAAGTGATTGGCCATCTTAGGTGTAGCTGTTTCTAACTCCAGGAACTGGAGGCCATCGGCTTCTGGCCCAAACAAGAGACTCTCCAAGAGATACCTTTTAAAAATAATAATAAAAGGACACTTCACAGCTAAACATAAAGAAAATATATTGGGGGACTACTGTTAGTGCTAGATGCACACGAAAGTCCTGGTTCAAATCTCTCTGACCCCATCTGCAATATACATTTAAAGTTTTCATACCGCTTTTTTTACAGGTATTGCTCCCCCCCCCCAAGAATCCTGGGAACTGGACTTTGTAGTGGGCGCTGAGAGTTGTTAGACGACCACCAGCACCCAGGTGTCTCTCTGCCTTCGGTCCCCCTGTTGTATTGTTTTTAAGTCTTCTTACAAATCTGGGGTTTCTTTTTATTGTTTTAAAAACTATTATAGCTGTTTTAATGACATACATATAAAAGGCAAATCATGAATCCATACCTAAAACAACAATAATTCTAAGTGTCTTCTATGGGTACACAGGCCTTTGGCTTTTTATTATCGGCTGCCTCCTTCAGTGGGTGGGATTTTTTAGTCCTGCCTTTAGAAAAATATGAATTTTCTCTGTTTTTATGCTGGTGTTAAATGCCTATGTTATTTATTTATTGCTGTAAGTAACTGTGAGATACTGAAAAAAGAAAAAAAGGCAATACATGTGATAAACAACAAAATTCAATAAACTATTATAATAATAAATGTACCAAAGTAATAATTTCTCATTTGGTTGTCCAGTTGGCAGATCTCAAAGTAGATCCATGCAGAGTGCTGAAACTCCAGTCACCTTTTTTTTTAAAAAAGAAAATACTGTCTTTCTCTGCTATTTTCTCAGTTCATGGCCCAATTCTGAAATTGTGAAAATCAGGATTATTATCCAATGCTAATTCCTAGTCAGAGCAAACCCACTGAAGTTAAGAGACAAGACTAACTTAGGTCCATTGATGCCAACAACAGGTCTACTCTGAGTAGAAATAAGCTGGAGACAACACTCAGCTGTTTTCGTTGCCCCTTCCAGGCTCTTTGGGGCCACCTAAACAAATTTACCTGACTATAATAAACAACATAAAATTATGTACGAAGGGGAGGATAATGAAGGGAGGCCCTTCCCACACACACCAATTTGGAGGAAACTGCGGAGGGGTCTCCCCCTTTTTGAGGTGACCTTGGGCCAGTCACTCATCTCTCAACCTAATCTACCTCACAGGGTCGCTGTGAGAAGGTAAAACGGGGAAAAGGAGGGGGGGGTTATGAATTTCCCCCACCTCGACCTCCCTCGGAGGAAAAGGTGGGGCATGAAATATATTTTATTTCAACAAATGAAATAAAACGCGGAGCGCCCCAACTTCTCCCGTCAACTGCAAACAACAAAAACTAAGGGCAGACCCCCCTCAATGGGGAAGGTTACCCCCCCCAAAAAAATAATAATAATTTCCACGGCGACAGGGAGAGGAACAGGATCTTTCGAGGGAACCGGCACATTATTATTTTTCAGCCCGCCCCCCGCGCTTCCTCCCGGGGCAGCGGCTCCTAATAGAGGCCGGGGATGCGCTCGGCCTACGGCGGACCCGAAGGGAAGCGGGGCAGAGAGGCGCTTCCTCGCGCGCCCCCACCAAGGACTACACTCACCCGCTGCTGGCTCAGCCGGTGGCCCCCCCGGAGTCAGGAAGGAGCCGCGAACCGGAACCGGAACCGCGTGTTTCCTCCCCCCTCCCCGCTTCTCCGGCCTGCGGCCTAGTCCTGGTAACCATGGCAACGGGAAAGGCCTGCGGGGAGAGGAGGAGGTCAAAGTCCTGCGCCAAATTTATCCTCTCCCGTTATCACCGTATAGGGACGGCCTCCTTACTGCTATTTTCGGTTCCCCCCCAATCAATTGAAGATAATAATAATAATAATAATAATAATAATAATAGTAATAATAATAGTAATAATAATAATAGTTGTGGTGGTGGTTGTTTTGGTATTGTTTTTCAAAAAAAATTTTATTGGTTTTCACAACATTATAAACAAACAAACACATAGGACAAACAAACATAAATCGTAGCCTTATTGAAAATTACACTTGTTAACATTGTTAAGTGACTTCCTCGCTTCCCCTTGGTTGAATTTCATTGCATGTCCTTTTAACGGTTTTCCAAATCACAGTTCTTATAAAATTTAACTTAACATCCTTAGATCTTCACATTATAAAATTAAACATATTAATTCGACACCTAACATAAATAAATTAAGCCAATTAAGTATCTGCAAGCTGTTTTCAGTTCATTTAACTTAACGTATTTAAGTAATCATTAAATTTAATCCACTCTTCCTGATACGCCGCCTCCTTCTGGTTGTGGACTCTTCCGGTTAGGTCAGCTAGCTCCGAAAAATCCATCATCTTCATCTGCCATTCTTGTTGTTGTTGTATTTATTCCTTCCTTCCTTCCTTCCTTCCTTCCTTCCTTCCTTCCCCACCCATCTGGCTGTGTTTCTCCAACCACTCTGGCCGGCTTCCAGCAAAACATTAAAATACAAAAATTCATCAAATATTAAAAGCTTTACACTAGTAGTCTAAACATTTAAAAGGGCGTATTGGAAATCACCTAAGAACACTGCCTGATAAATAAAAGAGCCAACAATGGCCCATGTTCAGAAAATGGGCCTTGGCACAAATATATAAAGCAATAGCATAAGAGGGGGGGGAAAGGAGGCAGAAAAAAACAACAACCCCATAGCAATAAAATGACTAATAACTCTATGAATAAATGAATTAAGCTCACTGCTGATTTATCAATAGCTTTCCCACTGCAAGCTTTTTTTTAAAAAAAAAAATCAGCCAGTAGTCAATGCAAAACTATACGTGAAAATAAAAGCATTGAACTATCCGTGGCTTCTCAACTGCTAGGCAAATCTTTTATAAAATAAAAATAAAAAACCAGTGCTTAATACTTGTATAATATGTGAAGCACAGGTTTAAGCATTTATTATGTGTGCCTGCACTGATTTTTTTATTGTTATGTATTGATGGGTTGATTGAAATAAATAAATAAATAACTAAAGGCTTGCCTGGCAATTAATAACCTTTTTTTTTTTGACAACAACAAAAATGTTTTTCCACACAGGACTGAGACAACAGCAGTAAAAGCCAACTGACCCTTGAAACAGAACTTTTTGTTGTTGTTTAGTCGTTTAGTCGTGTCCGACTCTTCGTGACCCCCTGGACCAGAGCATGCCAGGCACTCCTGTCTTCCACTGCCTCCTGCAGTTTGGTCAAACTCATGCTGGCAGCTTCGAGAATGCTGTCCCACCATCTTGTTATTCATAACCAATCAGTTATTCCATTTTGATTGGCTCAGAAGACAGAACTAGCACCACGCAAATTATTTTCTTCAGTCATTCAGGTATATTGGCATGCATGGATTTGCTATTGCTTTAGCGGCCAGGAGGGGGAGCTAGGTCCTTACAGTACAGTACTTAATTATGGTGTTCAGTGCATTCTGGTTAACCAAAGGCCAGAGAAATCAATCCATAATATCATAAACAGTTTCAAACAACTTAAAAATGCAAGCATTAAAATATATATCCCAAGCATCAAAAGCCAGGGTAAAGAGGTGCGTATAAATTAATATAACAATACACTATTAAAAATAACAAATAATCTAAACTGCGATAACCAAGGACAACCCTCATGGTGTTTTATTATTGTGGTTGCTATGGTTTTAGATTCTTTGCATGCTTCTAACTTGGTTTAAAGCTGCCCAGAGACTGGTCTGTATCAGGTGATTAACAAACTGAACAAATGAATAACACAATGCTGGCTGCTATTGTTAAGCTTCAGTCTTGACGTAGCACTGTCTAAAATATGATACACTTAATTATCCTTCCAGTGCAGCAGCAAGAAAGCATCAAATTATTATTATTATGATTTTAAATACTTTTGGAACCATGGACTCAGCTACATTAGTAAAGAAAAAGTGCTTTGAATGCGCTATAAACATGCACCACCAGATGGCACCAGAGAGCAGCAAATTTTACAACACAATTTTCCATAGAGATTTTTTTCTTTTGTTAAAACGGTCTAATTTCTGACTTATTTCTAGCAGATTTCCCCCCCTGTGCATCCACCCCCGATGCACTTTATGGGTGATATGCACTAGGGTCCTCATGAGAGTACCCCAAATGGAAGAAATGTGTAGACATCTGTTGTCTGTAGGTGGAGCATCCCAGACCCCGAAATTTCAAGGCCCAAACTGGAGACCTAGGGTGGGACCCTGGTGATGTCAAGGGAAACACCCCTCCCCCAAGATGTCACAGGGACTGGCTCCACGGACAAGTTTATTAGGAGAGGGGAGCAGAGGAGGGCAAACCCAGAGTATGGATGCTATAATTTGCACCCAACTCCTGCAGTGCCCACCTGGACATTCAAGCCCTCCAGATACCACCTGGAGACTTCAGGACAAACCTGGAGGTCTGGTAGGGGCATCTAACTTGCCCCGGAGTGCCCCCATACCCCTGTTGTTGTTTAGTTGTTTAGTCATGTCCGACTGTTCATGACCCCTTCCACTGCCTCCCGCAGTTTGGTCAGACTCATGCTGGTAGCTTCGAGAACACTGTCCAACCATCTTGTCCTCTGTCGTCCCCTTCTCCTTGCGCCCTCCATCTTTCCCAACATCAGGGTTGTTTCCAGGGAGTCTTCTCTTCTCATGAGGTGGCCAAAGTACTGGAGTCTCAGCTTCAGGATCTGTCCTTCCAATGAGCACTCAGGGCCGATTTCCTTCAGAATGGAGAGGTTGGATCTTCTTGCAGTCCATGGGACTCTCAAGAGTCTCCTCCAGCACCATAATTCAAAAGCATTAACTCTTCGGCGATCAGCCTTCTTTATGGTCCAGCTCTCACTTCCATACATCACTATTGGGAAAACCATAGCTTTAACTATATGGACCTTTGTTGGCAAGGTGATGTCTCTGTTTTTTAAGATGCTGCCTAGGTTTGTCATTGCTTTTCTCCCAAGAAGCAGGCGTCTTTTAATTTTGTGACTGCTGTCACCATCTGCAGTGATCATGGAGCCCAAGAAAGTAAAATCTCTCACTGCCTCCATACCTCACTGCCCATACCCCTAGGTAATACTAATACACCTGAGAGCCCCCAAAAAGAAAAAAAGGCCTTGTGGGGACAGGCTGCGTTTCACACGCCTATCTCTGGGTCATAAGCCTTCTGGCAGAAAATGGAATTAGTACAATCTCTGAGGATTCCTCTGACACGCAAACCCACAGCCCAGAGGGACGAAAGCCAATCCCCTACTAAGGCCTCCATGCACTAATAGGTTCTGACAGAGGCGGGGGGCAGGGGGTGTAGAGACCTGGCTGTGATCCCATGATTGACCCGAACCATGAGTGGAGGTGATTGGCACAAAGCGCATTTGATGAGAATCGGTTTATTTTCCCTGAGACACACGGCACAAGCTGCCGGTCAGTTTTCTGGCGGAGGACTCTTTAGCCAAGGGGGGTCATTGTCAGGAGAAGTTAGTGGCTCTTTTTCTGAACCACACACATGGAGCCCTGTGTCCATACAAACTCTTTACCCAACTTGCACACCCTCCGAGCGTCCCTGTTTTCCCGGGACAGTCCCAGATTTACAGAAGCCGTCCCCAGCCGTTTTGATTCCAGAATGCCCCGCTTTTCCTTAGTGCACCCCTCTTTTCATCAGAGAAATGTTGGAGGGTATGGAATCATGCGATCCCCGAGCCAAGGAGATAAGTAACTATACAACTTTAAAAGACATCTGTACAGGGCAGGTTTTTTTTAAAAAAATGTTTAAAATTTTATTATGTTTTTATATATGTTGGAAGCTGCCCAGAGTGGCCGGGGCAACCCAGTCAGATGGGTGGGGTATAAATAATAAATTATTATGACTATTATTATTATGGAATAAAGATAAAGGGTAAAGGGACCCCTGATCCAGTCGCAGACGATTCTGGGGTTGCGGCACTCATCTCACTTTATTGGCCAAGGGAGCCGGCGTACAGCTTCCGGGTCATGTGGCCAGCATGACTAAGCTGCTTCTAGCGAACCAGAGCAGCGCACGGAAACGCCGTTTACCTAGTGGTACCTATTTATCTACTTGCACTTTGTGCTTTCGAACTGCTAGGTTGGCAGGAGCAGGGACCGAGCAACAGGAGCTCACCCCGTCGCAGGGATTCGAACCGCCGACCTTCTGATCAGCAAGCCCTAGGCTCTGTGGTTTAGCCCACAGCGCCGCCCGCGTCCCTCTATTCTTATGGAATAGGACGTCCCTATTTTCACCGGAGAAACATTGGAGGGTATGGCCTTGCAGTGCCGAGCTCGAAAATGCCACTGCATACATATTAAGTTCTTAAACCATAAACTTTGCAAACCTGCAAACAAAGCCCTTTAGCCGCATCCTTAGAAGCTGGCATCGCCCAACAATTTGCTGATTTGGCTTGAGATTGGCAAGTCCGGTTTGGCTGCCTGCTTTTGACATGTGACGGTGATGTGTGCTTCTTGTTAGTCACTGCTTTCTGACGGTTGCTGACGGTGTACTGCTGACTGCACCAAATTTTCAAGGGACAGCATGGGCTTTTTTGATGCATGAACCCCTCTTCTGCAAGCCGAGTTGCTCTGCATCGTCCAACAATATGATAGCTGCTGTATTTTTCACTGCATAAGACGCACTTTTTTCTTCCCAAAAAGTAAGGGGAAATGTCTGTGCGTCTTACGGAGCGAATGCGTGGTCCCTGGATCCTCAGGATTTTTGCATTGGGTCACCCCAAATTCACCATCAGATCACATAGCATGTCCATGGCTATAGCCTGCACCAAAAAAACCACGCACCCACTGTTTCGTGGGGCCACAATGGTGCAAAAACGTGGTTACAAAGCACAGATCCACATGGATCCTCAGGATTTTTGCACTGAGTCACCCCAAATTCACCGTCAAATCACATGTCTGTGGCCACAGCATGAACCACAAAAATCATACATCCACTGTTTCATTCAGAATATATTTTTTTCCTTGTTTTCCTCCTCTAAAAACTAGGTGCGTCTTATGGTCAGGTGCAAAAAATACGGTATCTTAAAATACCCGAAAGGCTGTCTGTCCCATGGAAAACAGAGCCAGCTTGCTTTCTGCCGCTCTGGATGCTAAAGGCTCTGTACCAGTGGGTTCAAATGATGGGAAAGGAGGTTCCGACTAAACATTAAGAAGAACTTTCTGGCAGTAACAGCTGTTCAACGGAAGGACAGACTGCATCATAAGGTGGTGGACTCGCCTTCCTTGGAGATCTTTAAGCAGAGGCTGGTTGGCCCATCTCTCAGGGATTCGTTAGCTGTGCTTCCAAGCATTGCAAGAAGTCCGGCTAGTTGAACTTTGGGGGCAAACGTCCAACCTAAAATTCTCTGGCTTAACTGCAGCATGCTTTCAGTATTATGAGTAACTTTCTAATGAATTGAAGTGTTCCAATTGGAATCATTAATGCACATTTGTCTCAAAATACCGACATGGAGCTTTTTTTTTGGTTTTGTTTTAAACTGAAGTTTATGCGGAAAAAGCAAACACGAAAAAACAACCCGAAACCAAAGGACGGTATTGCTGATCTACTCAGATCCTCAGAGAACAGGCAGCACCACACATGGAGAACTGATCCTTCGCAACACTGCAGAAAAAGTACAGCAACCTCTGCGTTGAAAGCCGAGGCTCCCAGCCAACAGGCAATACCCAGATTTGCAAGCAGATACATGACAGGTGTCCACACACACAGGCCAAACTCCACTTTGATGCACGGTGCGTCAACTAATTGAATCACGAACCTGTTGTTGTTCTTTCAAGGCAGAGGCCTTCGTTACAGAGACACAGGCAGCGCCCCTGCGCTGCGATTTCACCTGGATGATGGTCACCTAAGTTGATGGAGGATGGGGGCTAGTTGGACTGCAAGTACAGAAAGGGGCAAGCAAAAACGATCAAATGGCTGAAGCAACTCCCCTGTAAGGAAAAGTTGCGGTGTTTGGAACTTTTCAATTCAGGGGAAAGACGAATAAGAGGTCACATGATAGCTTATAAAATTCTGCATGGCGTGGAGGAAGCATAGAGAGGCAAGTGTGTCTCCCTCTTTCTCAGCGCTAGAACTCATGGAAGCTGAATGTTGGGAGATTCAGAGCACGTAAAAGAAATGGCTTCTCCATGTAGTGCATAGTTAGACTCTGGAACTCCCTCCCACATGAGGCCACCAACTTAGATGGCTTCAAAAGAGGATTAGGCTAATTCATGGAGGAGAAGGGCTCGGTCCAGTATACCTGAAGGAGCGTCTCCACCTCCATCGTTCTGCCCGGACACTGAGGTCCAGCACCGAGGGCCTTCTGGCGGTTCCCTCACTGCGAGAAGTGAGGGTACAGGGAACCAGACAGAGGGCCTTCTCGGTGGTGGCGCCCTGCCTGTGGAACGCCCTCCCTTCAGATGTCAAAGAGAAAAATAACTACCAGACTTTTAGAAGACATCTGAAGGCAGCCCTGTTTAGGGAAGCTTTTGTTGCTGGAGACTGCAAGAGGGGAAAGAGAGAGCTCTTGTGCTCAGGTCCTGCTTTGGGGGGGGGGCTCCCACTGGGACATCTGTTTGCCCACCGTGAGAGCAGGACACTGGTCAAAATGGGCCTGCTTTGTCCCGACCCAGTAGAGCTCTTCTGATGCTTTGATGGAAACTCCAGGTGCAAAGGAAGTCTATCTGTTTTTTAGATATATATAAATTTTTATTTAACAATTTAAACAGAACAAATTATCAAAACAAATCATCTTCATTATTTCCCTCCCTTTTCCCCCTCCCACCTCCCCAACAACCCTCCCTTCCTCCCCCCCAAAACTCCCCTCAGCTCCTCTCTCTGGTTTCTCAACTCATGTTGTCCTCTGCATATTGTAAAATTGTATACATCCTTATATTATCTGTCTACTATATTAACCCTCAACAAATTTCTGCATGTTTATTCAAAACCTGCCAAGAAGTCCAGTTCATTTTGTTGTCTTTTTATATATTTTATACAATATCAAGGAGAGAAACTGCTGATATTAGGAATCTATGCACCCAATGAAGGGAAATCGGAATTTTACAAGAAGTTGCAGGGGACAATGCTGGATCATCTGGATTACAACAACATCATAATGATGGGAGACATGAACGGGGTCGTATCAACTAACATGGACAAGTCGCAAAGTCAAAATGTCACAAAAGATGGCAGACTACCTAAAACCATTTTTGAAATGACTGACAATATGGACTTGATCGACATTTGGAGAACAAAGAACCCACTAGGTAGAGAAGGAACATTCTTTTCTGAAGCCCAACTGACCTGGACAAGAATCGACCAAATATGGATTTCTAGAGGCCTGGCACCTAGGGTTAGAAAAGTGGAAATCTGCCCAAAGACCTGCTCTGACCACAACGCAGTAAAGATGGATATGACACTACTACCAACTGGATCCTTTAGATGGAAGATGAATGACAATTTGTTTAGAGATCAGGAAATTACCAAGAAGGCCCAAAAGTTTTGAAAGACTATTTCGAGATAAACATGAATAATTCGGTGGAAAAAGAATTGTCTGGGACGCAAGCAAAGCTGTCATGAGGGGATTCTTGATACAACAGAATGTAGTAAGGAAAAAACACAAAATGAGAAAAAGACAAGATCTTGGATAAAATAAAAGAATTAGAGAAGAAATTAAGAGTGAATCCAAAGTCACAGCCAACTCTGAGAGAAATTAAACTGTATCAAATACAATATTCTAAATTGATAAATCAGGAAATTGAATGGAAGATTAAATTAATGAAACAAAAACGTTTGAGTCGGCGAATAAATGTGGAAAACTGCTATCTTGGCAGTTGAAGAGAAGACAAAGATTAAATACGGTTACAAATTTAGAGGTCGATGGAAGAAACATTCAGAATCCAGTGGACATTAGAAAGTGTTTCCAGAGATATTTTAAAAACTATATACCCAAGGGCCGCAAGACGAAGTCGAGATTAAACAATTTTTGGCAAAAATGGATTATCTAAACTGTCACAAGAAAATAGGACAACCCTGAACTCTAAAATAACACGACAGGAGATTGAACAAGCTATTCAGAACATGCAACTTGGCAAATCTCCAGGGCCAGACGGGCTGACCTCCAAGTATTATAAGACACTAAAAGACTATTTGATACAACCCTTGATGGAGGTTAGCAATGAAATTATGGAGGGGAAGAGGGCACCGGATTCGTGGAAGGAAGCGTTTATCACATTGATACCAAAGTCAGAAGCTGAAAAGACACAACTGAAGAACTACCGTCCCATCTCCCTTTTAAATGTGGATTACAAAATATTTGCAGATATTTTGGCAAGTAGATTTAAAAAGTTTTAAATGAAGTAATTCATAAGGACCAGGCCGGTTTTCTCCCAGGTAGACATTTGTTTGCTAACACAAGGAACATTATTGATATCTTGGAACTTCTCCAAACTGACATAAATACAAAAGCAGTTTTAATTTTTATAGATGCGGAGAAGGCCTTTGATAATATTTCTTGGAAATTTATGATGGGAAACTTAAAAGAGATGGGAGTGGGACGGGGTTTTGAGAATGGGATTGAGGCGATATATTCAGAACAGAAAGCTAAACTGATAGTTAATAATGTGGTTACAGAAGAGTTTAAAATTGAAAAAGGGACACGACAAGGTTGCCCTATCTCCCCTTTGTTATTTATTTCGGTTCTGGAAGTGCTATTGAACATGATTAGAGGGGACCAGTTGGTGGAAGGAATTCAGGTTGGTCAGAAACAATATAAACTAAAAGCTTTTGCAGATGACCTGGTTTTGACCTTGCAGAAGCCAGAGCCTAGTACGAAAAGAGTATTACAATTGATTAATGACTTTGGTCGGGTGGCGGGATTTAAATTAAATAAACAGAAAACCAAGGTTTTGGGAAAAAATTTGACTGAGACAGAGTCAGAACGGTTTCAGAATGAGACGGAACTTAATGTGGTTAAAAAGTAAAATACCTAGGGGTAAACATAACAGCAAAAATCTAAGTCTATTTAAGGATAACTATGAAAAATGTTGGACAGAAATTAAGAGAGACTTAGACAGTTGGTCAAAATTGAAACTTTCTTTGTTAGGCCGAATTGCTGCGATTAAGATGAATGTATTGCCAAGAATGTTGTTTTTATTTCAAACACTTCAGGTTTTGGACAAAATGGAGTGCTTTCAGAAGTGGCAGAGAGACATTTCGAAGTTTGTCTGGCAGGGCACAAAGCCCAGAATTAAGTTTAAGATATTAACTGATGCAAAACAAAGAGGGGGGCTTTGCCCTGCCGGACTTAAAGTTGTATTACGAAGCCGCAGCGTTCTGCTGGCTAAAAGATTGGCTACTTCTTGAAGACACTG